CTCCTAACTCGAATTCCACTGCTGCTTCTTGGGTGACCGGTATTACATGACCTGAGGCGGACCGAAGGACCACGCCCACTGCTTGGGAGGCTTGCTGTTCATGATGTCCGATGAGTGAGGATCTCACGATGGTGACCATAGATCCAGTGTCCACTAGAACCAGTGCCGGTTTTCCCTGGATCCTCGCTCGACAGGTACACGTTTTGATGTGTTGGTTAGCATCTCGTGATGTTGACGGCGCTATGTAGTTGGTCTCGATGACGTGGTCGGTCATCACCTCCTCCTCTAGGTGGATCGAAGGGGCGTTTCGTCCATTCGTCGCCGGCTGGTCCCCTAATACAGCCGGCGGTAGCCGTTTCCCTGCTGGCGTTGGCTGGTAGGGCACTCGAAGGCCCGGTGTCCCGGGCGGTGGCAGTTAAAGCATAGGTTCAGGGTCAGGTCCCTCTCCCGCCTGGCCTGGTTGTCGTAGCCGCCGAACCTCCTGCCGTTCGGGAGCTCGGCGCGCCGCCATTCCCGTGCGGTGGTCGGACCGTTCTGGAATCGGGCTTGCCTTGGGAGGGGCAGTTGTTCCCGGTATTGAGGCCGGGCATCAGAAGAGTTACCGTTGGGACGGGGCGTCGCTCGGTTGGGATAGTATTTTCGGCGTGCTCCCCCTTGTTCGTCCTCGTCTCCCTCGTATTCGTCTTCTGATCTTTCGGTTACACCAGCGGGTCCGGGCTTTTGTTTCTTGGTCCTGGATGCTTCTGTTCCTTTTTCTTTCTTCTCCTTTCGTTCTTCATCTCGCATCTCCAGCGCGGCTACGATTTTCTCTACCAGTCCGGTCGTTGTAGGCTCGGGAAATCCTTTCACATAGCAGCTGAGGACTTCCTCCTCCCGGTGGCTGGCCTCCACTGCCTCTTCTTCCGCTGCGGTTTTAACTGCATCGTCGAACGTCTTACATTTCCTCCTCCATACCATCTGGCGTAGGTTGCTCCTTAGTCCCCTGACGAAGTTGGTCCTTCTCATGAAGTCCAAGAGATTTTTTCTTGCTTCCTTCTGGGCCGTCTCGGCGATCAGCTTCTGTTCCGCAGTCATTGGTTCCTCTCCTTCTTCCTTTATGCCCAAGGGCTCCGATCCCAGAGCCCTCAGCGACAGCATGCGCACCGTTTGGGCCCATTCTTGGACGGTTTTTGAGCCTTGGGTGCCCGTGTTGAGGAGGAATTGATGCCACTGCTCCTTTCCTGCTGTCTCGAAGCGGTCCTTCAGTGCCACCTGAAGCTCCGGCCATGATGTGATCTTTCCTTCGGATTTCAGCTGCTCTGCGTGTTCACCGGCCTCACCCCGCAGACGGAACATGGCTGCCTTGAACGTCGCGTCATCGGTCCAGCCGGCGAACTCTGCTGCCCTGTTGACCATCTGGATCCATTCTTGTAAGTTCTGCTGACCGTCGAAGTTGTCCACCGATCCGATCATCCTGGATCGCTCCATGATCCTGGAATACACAGAAGGGTTTCTTTTAGTGACCTTCTTCTTGGTATCGACGCAACATATGCATTTATCTCTTCCATCTTTGATCCTGCTCTTGTGGTAATGTGGATTCAATAAATACATATGTGTGCATGTATGCGTTAAATTGTTTTGTAAATGACCAAATTGTAGCCTTTGTTTTTGTTTTTGCTCTCTGGATTCATTCCTGCATGTGTTTCATTTTGACTTCGGCTCCTGTTCAATTTCTCCTGTCTTCGATCTCGTTCCTTTCTGGGCTCTGGTCTATGCAACAATACTTCATGCTGGTTGTGTGTAATGGGTTGCAATTATTCGGATAGTCAGATCACTTGTGCTCACTTGGCCGTCACCCTCTTGAATGATGTATTGTAGCACTTCCGCGTTCTATCCGTCGTTAGCCTCCTCCTCTCTTAGGTTCAGGTTGATGCAGCTTTTAATGCGTGTTGCATGCAACAAGACTGCAATATTCTTGAACATTGGGCTCCGACAATCTCCCTAGTTGTAATATCTTACTCCTTCGCAGCGTCTCAAGTCTTCGATCTTGTTTCTTTCTTTCTTGCTTCTGGTATATGGAACTCTGTTGATTGCATGTTGCATGCAACTGGATTGCAACTGCTCTGGGTCGTAGCGCCTCAGGACTTGTTGGATGATATCCTGTCTTCACAGATAGTGGATACAACGTGTTTCCTCTCCGTAGCTCCTCCAGTCTTCGAACTTGAATTTTTTTTCTTTGGGTTCGGGTATGTGCAACTCTGCTGATTTCATGTTGCATGCAACAAAGCCATTGCCCCACGTTGGGCGCCACGAATGTGATTGTGCCCCCTGGGGGTCCGGAAGCGGTGGGGAGTATGTTTTCAAAAACAAATATTGTTTAATAAATTTTTGTTCATCGGGGGTGTTTTTCTTTCCGAGAGGGTTGCCGACCTGCGCCGTGCTCTGGAACAACCTCAGGCGAGTGTTTTCGGCTGGTAGATCCTCAAATGGTTGATTAATGAGTTGATTTTTCTTGCTGTTTGATTTCTCTCTTGTTCAAACGTAATTACACACCCATTTCCAATTGCTGGTCGGTCCGTTGGTTTCAAGCTGACCGATTCCTTTCCGCCACCGTTCCTTGCACCTGGGGCTCGTCACAAACAATATTTATAATGAGGCTGGCTTGTCGCTTGTCAACATATAGTCTTCCTGCCTGGGATGGTGTCTGCATCGTAAGGAAATTTGGGATGTGGAAGTCTCCCCCTATCAACAATTTTGATGCCTCCCGTAAGGGTCAGCCCCTTAGCCACCGTCTGATTAGGGTAAAATACGAATCAACCCTTATATTTCTCCCCCTTTTTGTCCTATAAAAAAAATCACATCCCCGTTTGAGGTCACCTTTATGCTGAGGGTCAAATCTCCCGCTGGTCCTTATTCTACCGACGCGTACATCAATCTTTCACCGACGCACACTTCCTTTCATACAACGCCCATCCCGCTACGATGAATTTCCTTCCGAGTTGACCTCTCGGTCCCTCCCAACGATAATCTACTCCCTCCAGCGGTGCATAGAAGAGCCATAAACGTAAGTGTTTTTTTTTTTTGGATCCCGTGTTAAATGTAAGGGGGATAAAAAAAAAATAATTCTTGTTTCAATCACACCTCACAACGACTTATTGCGCCCCACTGTAACCTTGGATCTCTTGGTGCCCGTCCTAGCACCCTCCCTTGGCCCATCTCGGCCCACTAAACCTAGAACCCTACATCACTCGACCCGGATTACTTGTCTAAAGGTACGACGCAGTGTAGCGACTGGTTATTAGCGTTCGTCGACGGGTGTGATTGGCTCTTTCTCCCCTGCCGCTCACGGCACATCTCTGATTCCCTACTAAAACCCCGCAGCCGGACATTGGTTACTAACCCTTGCAGCCCTTCTGTGAGAGACTGTCTTACGCGTTTTCACCTAACGAACCGGTGGACACAACCCCTGCCGCCCCGACGACCGCAGTCTCGCTGGGCTCATAGACAGGTACCTACTCAGTACTCTCATGTAGTCATGGCACCCGCAAGTGGCGCCTTTGAATCATTGACCGGTGTGACTCGAAGACTCCATGACTGAATCTATCCTACAATTTTATCCGACGCCGTGGAATTCTGTCCTGCAGATGTGTGTTCAAGCGCGTTAGCGTCATGAGTGACGTATGCTGCGATCCTTCCAACGGTGGACTCACCTCATCCCGGCGGTATTGCTTCCTTCGCCTTATCCTCTATCATCTTCGTATTTACCACTCACCTTCGGCGGGGTGCTCCCTCGCCCCTGTCTGACTCTCTGTCTTTTGAACGAACTCACCTCTGTTGGGCGTCTTATGGCGTTCTATTTGCTCAACTATCTTAAATTATTTCCTTTCAACGAGGGACTATCCCCAGTCCAAGCAGGTTTCGACGTATCAGAGAGTTAGAAGCACATAGAAGTGCTGCAACATACCTCCTCTTCGGCTAACATCAATCTTATACTTCCTTGCATATCCCTGGTCTCCATGGTTAGGGATACCTAAGCATTCTACGGAAATCAGTTGGGTATCTCCTTACCTGTCTAGTTCATGAAGGTGTATGTCGGTGTCTATCAGCCATCTCATCGAGATTCGTCTAAATTGCAGTTGTGACTTGTACGTATCGAATAACGAGGAACAGTCACGTAACTTTTATTTCCGCGACAATTGTTACGCCCGTCAGTACGCCCATAATTTGGTAAGCATCATGGACTTCCACCAGTGACGTCATTTATTTCTTATGATTGCTCAGTGTTGACCTTGGCAAAGGAGTTGACTCGTGACGTCTTTAAATCGTGGCCCTTGGAGAATGGCATCAAGATAACTACCCCAGATAGGTCGCATTGATTTGGGGAAGACCTGGACGAAGTTCTAAGACGGAGTACTGCGCCGGCAGTGAAATAGGGCCCAGGCTAAACGATATAAATTCTGCTGGAGAAAAAAAAAACTATTCTACACACCAAAAATTTGTACGTCAGGGAACGATTCGCGATTCCTCAATTTAATCATGGGACCCATAAAGACACAGATTTAAACCCCTCAAGCGTTTGTTTCAACCCCTACTATATCTTCGGTCACGTGACCGCCCCTGGTAAATTCTTGTGTTTGCACTGTTGTTACCTTAACAGGAAAATTTGTGTAACCGCATTTCAAAATTTTGTATAACTTTGCTTGACAAACAAACAAAAGAACGTGATATTTCGGGGTCTGTGTTTGGACAGTCCCTTTGGGACTTCGATTTCAGACTCTTTACCTACCTTGTGGCCTGATTAGCAGATGGGCTTGTATAAACGAATCATTGAACCTACTGGGGCCGAAACTTTATCCCCCTTTCACTCCCAGATTATGATATCTTGGCATGAACTTTGGCAGTTTGCGCGAAAAAAACTGTGTGGTGAAGGAAAAACTTTACGCCCGGCCGACACCGCAGACCTCGGCTACCAAATCGCGCTCGGCTGGCATATCTTGCTCTCGCAATTACCTGACCTTGAACCCACGCTGGTTTTCAAATGTCGGGTTTTTGCCGCGGCGTAGATTCAGTGATAATTGTGGAAATTTATTAGTTTCACTGTAAATTGGGTGGGGTTATCGAAAAATTTTGATATTGGACCTAGATCTTTACCGTAATTCCTCTTGGTTCGTAAGTATTTGTGGCGGACTGGTAAGTGAGGTGTGCGCACAGTTTGCCTCAGTTTGGTTCTCCGGACTTGGCTCAATTTCAAATGATATATTGACTGCCTTTTTTGTAGAATTTCATGCGACATGTCAAATAATTCACTTGTTTGCCCTGCTAGACCCACGTGTGAGGCTCAAGTTTGAATTCACTGCACAATATGAATGGGTTCTTGTAGGTACTATCTGTTGGGCAGAATTTAGTTCAGGCCGGATATAATTGCAAACAGTCCAAAAAAAAAATACAAGTTATTCAGCATATATTACTTGATATAATGAGTGGTTACTTTTGCCATGATCAAATAGCTAAAACATCAAATAATTTAAACAATACAGAGATTCCGAAATGCGGGTGAGTTGCTCAGGTCCCTGCAGGATGGAGCGTGGACCATTCTAAATCAAGATTAAGTTGGTAGCCTTATTTCTTGGCTGGTATGTTAAAGGAAATTTGGATAAGCCAAATTTTGATGCCTTCCTGATATACCTGTTACAATTTAGTAATAGTCTGCCACCTTCAAATTCCAACTAGGTATTCATCAAAACCAGCAACCACAGTCAATGCAGTGATGACGTTCGGTAATTTGTCATGTTGCTGTCCCTGATGCTAGGTAATGGGGCGTATCACTGGCCAATCTTGTTAACGAGCATGGTCAATTTCGAGTAAGATTAGCCCTATATTGCATGGGATCAAGTCCACAGACTATTTCTTGTACTTAATTTTTTTTGTATGGGGCCAACCCGTTCAGTAATTCCCATCAACCAGACTAAGTGATAGACAAAAGGAATTACTATGAGCTCACATGAAATGGCTTTAGCAGTGTTGTCTTGGTCTGTGCCGCCCATTAATGGCTGGGGAGTTATTGTATTAGCTAATGATTGGTCAAATTTTAGCAATTGTCTGAATTAGATGGCACAAGGAGCTGTTCCTATTAACCGTTCTGGTCATGATGAGAATTTAACTGTTAAGTTTATTTCTTGGCTGACACCAATGTAAATGGAAGAAAAACTGTGACTGAATTTGGGCGTTGTTCGCCTGTTATAACCTAATGCCGGTTCGTAATAGTCGGGCCTCCGTAATTTCAAAATACTCTTCCAAACTATAACCACAGTGGTGATATTCAGTAGCTTTCCATGTTGCACATGAGATCGGGGTGGAGGTTATCTGAGGTTCGGCGCGGCAAGGTCATATGGTTGTTCCTGCTCATCAGTCATCAACTGTGTCAATAGCAACAGGACGGGCGATCCTTGATGTTTACCAGGCCAGCTGTGGGGAGTGCTTGTGGCAAAGAAAATGAATTAACTCACCTTGGTGTATGTTAACAGAGCTATCATGTAATCCTTCTAATTTACATATCTGAATGATTTAACAAACGTTTGTGCAAGGGGTGTAATCAAAATACCTTCTATGGAGATGTTGATCTCAGGCTTGAAGAAGGGCTGGGATTCACATTTCGTTAGTTTGTCTCTGGCTGCTAAGTCCTTGAGGCGATGTGATGGAGCATGTCTGACTAATCTTGTTCAGGTGCGATTTTCAAACCCAAACGCGATTGGTTGCCCAAATTTGAGTGGGATCACGCCTACGTCCTGTTCATTGTGTCAAAATTTATCTTTGTGCGGGGATCAACCATTCACATAATTGCCATCAATCAGTGAAGAGATTGCAAAAAAAAAACACAAAAAAGGGTTCAATTATCATGAGCTTACATGAAATGATGTTTAAAAGAAATTTCACCTAAGGCTATCACCTATGGTTGGTGGCCTCACAAATTTATCTAAATTTTGGTACACAGAAGTTGAACCTATAGCCAATTGAAACCATCAAACACTTAAAAATTCACTCGAACTGGACTGATACAACGAGCAAATGACACCGAAGGTAGACCAGGCGCACTTAACCTGACTCGAATTATCATTTCTTCCCAGTCAGGATGATCAAACGGCGTGCCGGATTGATCGCGTCGGGGGCACAACTGAGAGCTGTGTAAATCGCCACGCTTCTCCGGTCGGCGGTGGTATCAGCTGCATCCATGGCGTGAGATTCAACGACTTCCTTGATCGATCTGCGTCGTTAAGAATAAGATCAGATCAATCTGGCTCTCAAGAGATAGTGTAATTCACCCAGCTGCTAGAACCTTGAGATATTATTATGCTTGCAAGGGTTAATTTTGGTTAATTCGGGTTAATTCAAAGTTGTTAATGTATTAAGATACCGGAATAAGGCAGAGCTTTGCGTCGTTATCACGATTTTTTTTTCTGACTCACTGGTAAGCTTATACGCACAATCATGGATGGGATCACCACTGCGATCTCTCACGGCAGGGCTGGAAACTAAAGCTTGGTATACCGGACGCTAGGTGGCGAGCGAGTGCTTAGCTTGTCTGCGTGGTGGCACTGGCAACGGAACGCACAGGGCCGACGTTAGAGATGTAGGTGGCGCTGGCAGCGTGTCGTTCTGACCAGGGATCACTCCGCAAGTGGAATTGACGCTTGTGCATGCCCAAGTGGCCCTTCCCTTTCGTGCTGGTGAAAACCCGAGCTAACCGCATCGAACTGAGGTCTAATTATGAACGTTACTGAGTTCGTTGCACGAACCCCTTTGTCGTGGTTGAATAATTTTAAGGTCGTGCCGCGCGTTCAGGGGCCTGGGAAGGCGATACTTAAACTTGATAAGACAAACATGATTTAGAATGTTGATTACTACGGAGTGGGAAACCCTATCACTTGTCCTGTAACCTATTCTTGTTAGAGAAATCCTGCATTAACACGTATTGAACGGTTTGTAATACGTATTGAACAGTTCGATGTAAATGTGACCACTTTGCGTTCCTCGAAGCAACGTAAGGCGTCTATCATGGGTATGACAAAAATGTGTAATAGTAAGCTATGACTGGTTTGGGTTCTCAATGCAAGGATAAATGTAACCGATCGCTTGAAGGTATCCTTGCCCCGGGACCAAGCGCTGAATTCACAGGACAAGTCTTGACGATATGTAATGAGGCGCATTTCTGATTTCACCTTCCGTTAAAAGTTGGTTTTATTGACTCCTTGAGACTTTCATTAATAGACGGCATTATATTAGGCGCTCGAGTCACTATTGGCGGCGATTTTTCGTTAAATGTCGATTCAAGTCTAGGGTGCGTGTGTTCGTCACGGCTTTCTGAACGCTGATGGTAATTAGGCGAAACAAGGCATGAATTGGTGGGCTGACGGTTGGTGAGGCGGGTATTCACTTACAGGTGAAAAAAAAGAACATTTTTGGAACTTCGCATAAACATAAAATATTGTATGCTAGTGACTGGAATTAGTACCAAATGACGTTCATTTCGTGAAAATTCTGGACGACATTAATCTTATCTGCTTTCGGTATACCCAATGGACCGCACAATGAAGTGTTGCTGACTCAAATCTGGGTTATAAGCCAAGCCAGGCGCTCATAGCTCCGTCGTGGTGATAGTTGACCCCCTGGCCCGACCGACCGCTCCGCTGCGTGTACATAGTGTTCAACCCTGGTCGCTCTGTGCGTGGTGCGCGGCGTCATGTTTTGACCATCTGACCACTAATCGTAAGTGGTTGTTTCTGGCGTCAGTGACCTCCTTGATACTCGTCTCGCAACGCAAAATAGCTACCCCTTCCCCTTTCCCAGACAGGTTGTTTAAATTTTCACGCTTTATTTTACACTACACGGACAATTAATGACAAACTAACCAATGTGCTATTGGTAAATCGTACTCGAGATTGTCAACTTGTCAATCCCGTTGTTTACTTAAACCTAACCCTAACAGGCGCGGCCTACCTTAATGCTTAATTCTAGACTTAATTAGTGACAGCATCGCGGCGCATCAAGTGACACGTTACCAAATGGTTTCGACCATTGGCGGCGCGCTGGCCCGACGGACGGGGACCGGTGCCGCATGACGTCACTTAATGATGTCAGAACTTTCACCCCTCCTATCCCGTCCTCACACCTACCCCCGGCCCTGGCGGTCGCGTACAAAGGAGCGTAAATGGTTGGCAAATGGTCCCGGCTCCGACACAAAATGTAAATGGACCATTGCCGCACCCGGCAGTGCGGCGCCGTCGAACAATCCCCATCACCCTACCCCCAGCTGTTACATCTGCTAATGGTGGCAAGGCCTGACCCTACGGGACGGTAGGTCTAGACTGGGGTAGACGCCCGGTAGATATGGGGGAAGGGGGAGAGAATGCGTGTGTGGTGGGCATGGCTGGAGGGCTGGGAGTGGCAGGCAGCTTTCTGCTGGCGACTCACTTGAATTTTGGTGGCGTCGAAGATTGGTCTTGTTCTTGATGAGTGTTGCACCAGAGAGTCAGAGGAAGAGAGCACTGGTCCAGCCGGCAGAGACTCCCCGGGTGTTCTGTCTCTCTCCTCTTCTGCGGTCCGATTTTATTCCTTTCGTTATCCGGTTCCGGCGGGGGGTCGATTTCTGTGACCGGGACAGTTAATCGGTCCTTTCCTGGCTGATCTCCGGCGGTAGCCCCCTGACCGGGGCTTCGAGAGGAAGCACGTCCGGCGTGGCCGAAGCTTCGGATTTCTCCCCTCCTCCGCTGTTTCCGCTGGAGTCGGCCCCCGTTGCCGGTGTCGGATGTGACGTTTCACACTCGATTTCCGCCGGTTGTCGGTCCTTGGCTGCACCGGACGCGGTGTTTTTCGCACTAGCCAGCACCAGGTGTTTCGCCGGATGTCGACTTCCAGCGATGTCGGACGCAGCTGGCCCGGCCCTGGTTTTCCAGAGGATGTCGAGGCGCCGGCTTGTCGGCCACTGGCTCGGCGTCGGGTGGAGTTTGTTTGCGCTACCGGCGGCGAGCGTTTGATCTTGCGGCATTAGCCGGCTCGATGGCGCAGCTGCTCGGTAGGTGTGTGACCCGGTCTCCTCCTTGGCCCGGCGTCCCGGCAGACAGGGTACTATGTGAGGCAGTTTATATGTATGAAAAATGTAGGATTTTGATGAAAAAAAATGTCACAGCATTCAGCTGTTACACCCCCACTGTCCCCCCGGCTCCCGCGCCTATGGCTGAGTGCACCATTCCAGCGAGCCACCTGTGTGCACTGTGATATTAGTTTCGGGCCAGCTCTGGGTATCAGCTGACTGTACCTGTTAATATCGCCGTGACCAGCGATAAGCGATAGTGGCGGCGCCGTCTGGTCCACACGGTCCGGCCACCACACACTGGAGGCTGGACAGTGGACGGTGGAAAACTCATGGTATACGAACATTAGCGAAATAAGCGAGAAAAAGATAGCTACATGAACACGCATTCAGAATTGCTGAAAAAAAACCTTCTCAAGGACCACCAATATAATAACCTTCTCCATGGACCACCAATATAATTACCTTCTCAATGGACCAAAATATAAATGATGCACGTTATCGATTCAATGTAGCCATAGTGAATGTGATAACTGTCAACCAAGACGACTAAGAAATCGTATGCTGGCTAAATAATCGGCAAGGTCATCAGTGAGCGGTGTGTAGCCACCACCGCGTTCGTCAGCAGAGCTGTAGGGCACCAGCCGTCGTGGTGTGTCACTCACAGGAACACAGGTGTGTCGGCTAGATTGGTCTAGTACGCCCCTCCCCCCAGTACCCGTCCTAGCCGCAGTGCAAAGTGCGCTTTCAGCGGTTCACGCCACACACACAGCTGTTGGAGGGAGGAGGGGTGGCGGCAGGGGCTGACAGCTATACAGAGAGCTGTAGAACAATGAAGAAGTCGTATACATTTTCATTTTTACGCATTATCTGTAAAAATTTCTTCAAATACTGGGGTTTATGTAAAAGGAAATGCTCATCAATAATTAAATACCTAGCCAATAAACCAACACAGATATACAATCAACATTTTACAATCTATACCGTCTCCTAACCGATGCCTGTGACTCAAAGATCCGCTCAGTCGCAGTTTACAGCAGCCGGCAGCCTTGTGGAGCCATCGAACGCAGCGATATGTATTTGGAGTTGTCCGCAGCTTGGATTAAGTTAAATTTTAGCCTTGGTTTATCTATTGTTATGCTCGCTCCGTTGTTTTATATCCCGTTATCATTCACCCTGCAATGCAGATTTTGTTTTGTTTAAACAGCCCCTTCCTTGGCCATGCACTGGCATGTGACACGTTCCTCCACAAGCCCCGGTTTGTCCAGTTGTAATCCAGTTATACCGCAATAGACTTACAACATCCGGCCGGTGCTCGGTGGACGGGACCGGGAGCGGGGAGGAGAATAGTCGCTCCACCATTTCACAAGGTCGTCCGGTGTGACTGGACTTACCTCCCACCGCACACAAGGCGTGGACAGTGTCGGTCCGGCTCTAAACTTGTAAAGGAATCGGCATAAGTGATTGCATGACTTTCGATTCCTTTACTTTAATCATCCATAAATCCGTTGCATCAATGCGAAGTCCCCATAGTATGCACCATGTCCATGCATGGCGACCATATCGGCTCATAGCCCTCAAAGTCAGCCCACATGCCAGGTTAAAACTTCTTGCACCCGACTTGTTCACACGAAATTCCCCACTTGTGCTTACACACCAATGTAGATTGTAGACCATACCTGCCCCACAACCACCGCACACACGTGGAGAGACGGAGTCGGACACCTCGGCTTTTCAGCTCAGCGCTCTATGTAGGTTTCTACGTGAACAGGTGTTCCGTTACCTCACACCAAACCAGCCGATGAGTGTGCGAAGGTCACTCGAAGAGCGATCTGACAGGGTCTCACAGTGGATCAGGGTCACGGTTTGTGTGAGCGCGTATGTTTGATGGCCACAGCTTACATGAGTGAGATGTGAGCGTTGCGTTGTGAGCAGTGAGAGATGTCTGGTCTGGTTGTGAGTGATTGGTCAATAGTGATTCAGTGGATACGAGTTGGCCCTTTCATTCCTGGTTGGGAGGAAAGACGGACAGTTTTCCCGAGGTCACCCCCCCCCCCCTTCTCCGGACCCACCGCAGCCAGCGCCCACGTTTGTTGGACAGTCCGACCCAGCGCGAACAATTGATACTATAGCATTGGGGCTAGCTAGTAGGACACCTGAAGCAGTGGCGAACCAGTGAGACTGGCAGGATTGCACTGATCGGTGCTGTAGCAGCGGTTTGAATGGTGCATCCTTGAGGTTTTCATTATTGTATGACAGGAAATATTCATTTTGGAGACACGACACATCCTGTATTGAGCTGACGAGGAAACCGAGCAGTCATGAATGTGTTACTGTGTACAGATTCAGCTGCATGGCCTCGGTGAATGGAGAATCCTTGAACTTGAACAGTTGTCGACTCACATAGGTACCGAGCACTGCTTGAAAGAGTGCCTCAAAGGCGGCTTCAATCATGGATTAAAAGAGCGCAGCCCAGCACAAGTAGCCAAAATCAAGCTGCCTGTCATATCCCGCCGCTTTAGACAGCAGGCTCACGCTGGTAAGGTTAGGCGGCTTCGCATCGAGACTGATCTCGTCATGCAAACGTCCTCGCTTGGAACTGGTTGGTGACGTATGCTGCGGTGGGCTAATCCCTCCATTACGGAGAGCTAATATAGCGAGCTACGGAGCTGCAAAATAGCAGTGGGGGAGTGAGCTAATGCAATGAGCCATGGGGTCACACCAGCAATGGTAAGGTGTAAGCCAAGCCAATCCAATGATCCATCCATGGAGCTACACACCAGCAACGGGAAGGGAGTGAGCTAATCCAATGAGCCACGATACCAATCGCCGCCAATGAAAGGATATTCGATGAGTCAACCCAATGACCATTGACCAATTAACCACTGAACCAAACCATGGAGCACTCTGGCAGCCTGCAGCTGCTGCCCGGCCTTGACTACCATCACGCATTGAGCAGGTAAGAATCCCACTCTCGTGATTTATGGCCCTTTCACACGTAGCAACTTTTCAGTCGCCGGCGACAGCAGCAGTCGCCGGCGACCGCCAGCGACCGCCAGCCAACGATCGTGTGTGACGTAGGTATGACGTAAGCAAGTCGCCGGCGATCGCCGGGCCACGGCCGGGCAATCGCCAGCAACTGGTGACGTCAGATCCGCGTCACAGGCCAGTCGCCGGCGACTCTTCTCGAGCAGCGGACGCCGCCATGACAGTTTTGTCCTTGGTGAGTGGTTTAGGTGATTTGTGATGCATTTTTGGTTGGTGTGGCTACCTTAAATTTGTTGCACAGTAGCGTAGGGATTATTATCTTGTAGTTTGCCTGTCGTGAAGCTGTTGTGACTTGAATTTAAGCTTGATTCGACAATATTGGAGGGTTTATGTCATTTGTGGCGCACTTGCCCATGATCACCCATGATTTTTATTTGTGATAAATATGTATTTTTTCATCAAAATTGAGTATTTTAATGACATTGAAATTGACACTAGTTTCATAAGGTAATGAAAACTTGCTTGTTGTGTCACAAGAACATTGTTTACATTCAGTATCAGTGCCCTTGAGGACAAAGTGCCTACCCATCAGTCAGCTATTTGCCTACCTATTCGTGCGACACAAGGAAATATTTGATAGCAACAAAATATTATATTGCTGCTCATTAATTAGCATGACCAAAATCAAACAGGTAGCTTTGCAATTTTGTTATTGTTTCTGCTGGAGTTTTCCTTGGTACCATGGATAAACAACCCAGGCCAAACTTATCCGCATTGGGTTCGCATGTGTGTGCGTGCTCACAGGGCAAATGATAATCCATGGCTTATTAGTACATAAATAATTGCATTATGCATAGTAGGTGGTAGGTATGTCATGTATTTTGGCAAGGTATTAGGTGGTATGTATTTTGGCCCTGGAGCTGTTTCCTATTCATTGCAGCAATGCTGCCGGCATGGCTTATGTGTACCATGCGCACACAAGCTCCACCAATGTAAAAATGTCATTTTCACACAAAACTCATAATTGGAGGAAGGTAGAGCAGACCAAGAATAAGCGGGCATTTGCTGCAGTGTGGAAAAAGTCACTAGAGGCTTGATACTTTTTTACATGCAGCAGCCTGGAGATGTCCACAGAGGCATGCCTGAGGATGTCCACAGAGGTGGATCCAGGCAATAGTTTTTACAATCTTCTCCCCTTGTGCCCACTGTGTGTTGTGCTGACTGCTTATCCCCCTTCTGGTGGTGCCTAGACTTGCCTCTGCATATCTCCCCAGGCTGCTGCATAATGTCTAAAAAAACCCTCAAGCCTCTAGTGACTTTAATCACTCCAGTCTCTACAGCATATGCCCACTCATGCTACAGCTGCCTTAACAATACCAAAATTAGTAACAATGGTCTCATAACCATATTCAGTAGGAAATGAATTACCTAGAAAATTATATTAAAAATACACTTGCTTTCAAAAAGAATGAGCACTGCTAAAATGCTATTATTTCAAATAATGCTAGGTTTCTGAACCACAAATTCCAATTCTGTGTCACTGAATACTGATTGCCAATTGTACAAGACAAAAAGCGTCAACAATGCTACATCAAGGATAATGATGCTAAGATTGTTCTCATTTAAGCCTGAAGTGTAAAAACCAAACCTAACCTGATTTGGGTATTTGGGTAAACCAAACCTAACCTGATTTGGGTATTTGGGTAGTTTTTATGATGCTAAGCAATAGCCTATTCCAGGCTTCCTAATTTGCAGAGCTTTTGGTTAAAAAATGATTTTTAAAAATGTATTTGAAGTATGTTCTGACATGTCCGCCCTCTGTGCCTGGCAGACAAGTCACAGCGTTACCTGATGAGTCAAGAGGTTCTGTACCTGATGTACCTGATCAAGAGTACCTGATGATTCTGCAACACCACCTGATGGCCAACTCGACGGCATTGCTGACCCGAAAAGGAGTCTAGCAGCTGAATGTTCAACTTCTGCCACTGCACTGTTGACTCTGCCTAGAGACAGCATCTGCACCACGGCCCACAGACGATCTTCCGTGGGACGGTGTGCTCCGCACCAGTCACCACACTGACGGCGTTCACCTGTGTGCTGCACAACTTTCTGTGAGGTCAGGAGATCGACACTGACGGCCCCGGACGGTGTGCTCTGATTGCGCCGAGTGTGCTCCCTCGTGTCCGGGCCTTGATGCCAATACCGCACGCGAGGCGGCGCAAGCCCTCACATACTGCGTCCAAGGTGCAGGTGGTGTTCGGTGACAGTGTGCAGCTTCTGCCGGCCCCGTGGACGGCACCGCGTGTGATCATGGCATGTGCATTTGATTTTCTGACATAGTGCAGTGAATTCATTTGTCATTTTGCTTCTGAACTGAATGCTGTCGCCGCTCGGTAGGGTCGATTCTGCCAGAGTAAAGAGGTCGCCACGATCGGCGCCGGTGCGGCAAGCCGGAGCAAGGCACTCGGCAATCAGCTGCCGGGAGGTGGCGGCGGCGGCGGCGGCTGACGACTCGTGCCTCGAAAATCCTGTCGTGTGCGTTGCTGGCTATTATGCGTTGTTGGTGTGCGCTGTTTTGCAAGGCCTTTGGAGCGGCATGTCGAGTTTTGAGTTTTGGACGAAGGAGCCTTGGTGTTTTGTTGGTCTATTTTCGATAAAAACGGTCATGAAGAGTGAGCTGTGTCCAGGCTGATTTTAAGATTTCTGTCACAGTATTGTCACCTTTGACCTAGGCTTGTGTCTTCTTGGGTATCGGCATATTGTGCCACCGTCCTTGCCCCGTGTCCGCGCGTGCTGCATTTTTATGTGGTCTCGCGTATGGCGTCATATACTGTCACCTCGCCATGTTTAGTGATATCCACTGTGTGGAAAAATGCATTTTGTTATAAGGGGGGGGGGGGTACACTTGTGTTCCCCAATCTAGCGCTTTAGATAATACAGCATCTGTTTTTGACATAATGAAAGCCTGTGTTTTATGTGGGTGGTAGGCTTCGCCGTTCCTCAGGTCCGTTTCTGGCATTTGAATTTCTGCTACATTTCTAGAATGCCTTTTTTCTGTTTTTCACATACAAAGCACGGTTCAAATGTGTGACCACAAATCACTGTGATTGTCCCATGCTTACCACCAACCATTCCTTCAATGCTAATGTCGTTACAGCGAAGTTATTCATTTATTGAGAACAGGGTTGTAGTTGAATAAACAAGACAGGTGAGCAAAATCTGCAGCACTCGTAGTCTTTAGGAAAAATGGAGGAACTGCAAGTACACATCACTTTTCAGTTTTATGCTTGAGTGCATTGAATTCCAATGAAGAAGAATCGCAGTTTGATTGTATTTTCATTGATATTATGTATTGTTTCAATAATAGATCTAATAAATATTATTCCAATATTACCTAGACGGTAGTTATCATCCTGCAAAACATGTCCAAATATTTAGTACCTTGAATAATGCAGTAAAATAAGCTGCGCCGCTGCATGTATCAGCAGCGCAATATCTGGTGCCAACTCAAGGTCAAGCGGGTCACGTGACAGTTGAGCGGCGGCTGGCTAGAACAGTCGCCGGCGACTTCAAAATGTTGGAAAAATTGAACTTTCTCGGCAACGCCGACAACTCTTCAATGATTGGCTGACACGACTGCTACGTCACACCCCGGCGACTGGTCAGCTGATATCGACAACTGCGGAGTTGCCGGCGACTGACCCCGGTCGCTGGCGATCGCCGGCGACTGACCCCGGTCGCTGGCGATCGCCGGCGACAGTTGCCGTCGCCGGCGACCGGAAAAGTTGCTACGTGTGAAAGGGCCATTAGTGATAGTGAACTTCCACGAAACGGAGACTGAATCAGCGTGTGAGTTGGGTAGGACGCTGAGGCGTGCCTCGCGGTTCGTTCGGAAGTCTTAGATCACCGTGTAAGTTATTTCCCAACATACCTTCCGGGAGGATCCACAGTCCCCAAACATACCGATGGTATTCTGAGAGGTCACATTCCCCCCCCCCTCTTCCCCTCCCAGATCTCCCCTTCGGTAGACAAGTCTGACGTTAGATGGCTGATGCCTACTGCTGTTCCAGTTTGTTGTCCCATCGTCTGAGAAGTTTAAATGAAGCAGCAGCATCACAGGAGAACAACTGATATCTGCATAAAACACATTATAAGGGGAACATTACGCACATTCCATCACGCGTAAGGTCAAGGTCAAGGTCTTACCAGCGATCGCAACCCTGTACACATGACTCAAAACCCGTGACACCAAATAACTCACCTTTCAAGATCCAATCAGATGTCAGCTCTGCATCGCACGCACCGCGCTATATCACACAGAATGTCACCTTTTCACACGGCGCTTCCCTCGCGACCCACGCCGCCAACGCGACTGCCGGCGGCCGCCTGCCTGCCGCGCGCCGCGCCGCCCAGGGTATATGCGCCGCCCGCCGCGCCGTTTGCCGCCGCCTGGCAGGTAGGCAGACCCGCCGACGCCAGGAGTTATTCGATAATCCGAACGGCCGCCGCCGGTCGACGGCTAGGGAAAGACGGCGCCGTGTCCGAATAATGAGGTAGAACAGTGGGTGTCATGCTTCCTGGTACGACAGGAAGCTTACGGCATTCGTTAGGTGTATTGTGTGTCGAGGCAACGAGTGAGGAGTAACCAGAAGAGGAATGGGTCCATCGATATTCGATGTTGACTTATTACCTAAATATTCCATTGGACCGTCGCTAACCCATCCCAGCCCAGCGGTGTCCCTCTTTCCAACAATTGGGGATGGGGACTAAAGGCAACATTGGCAACAACCATTGCAAGGAAAGCTTTATGCGATTTGGCTAGTTGCTGTTGGGCTTCATACGATCTGCTGCATATGATTGATGATAGGGTAAGATGGGGCAAAGCGCCCACCTTAACCTTCCATCCTCATTATCTCCTTATCGTACAAATTTGAAGAACAACCAGGTAGCTGATCTGGTAGCTCATTACCTTAGCTTTCTTCGAATAACACATCAGAAACGTGTGGCATGCACAGTTCTTGAGATATGCCGTCCGATTTAAGAGGACTACAGATCGGGCCGTTTTGTCCCATCCGTAGGGCATAACGCCCATATAAGTGGGGCATAACGCCCAGTCCTGAACGTTTCATCACAATTTTGATACTCTGGCAAAATAGTGTAGCGTTCATCCATTCCTCATTTCGTTAAACCTCTACACGACAGACTGCATTATTTAACCCGCGTTTTGGTACACCTTATCATACATCAATTCTACACATGTTGTGAAAATTTTCAGAGCAAGGTCATTCAAGGTCAGGTCACCAGGTCACTTGAAGTGACCTCACCTCATAAAATGTTTCAATGTCTGCCATAGCTACACCGAGTGACAGATCGCTTTGAAACTTTCAGCGATTGATAAGGGTAACAGTATCTATAAAATGTATATCTCGGAATTTTGATATCGGTGACCTAAGGTCAGGTCAATTTTGCGACCTCCCCATTATACTCGTAAGTCAATGGGGGAAAATTGAAATGCGCCTCTTTTGGACGACAGACATTATAAACACTACCAAACACTGAATTACAAGTGGTTTAGACACAGTGAACATGAAAATGGTGTCCGTGACCCCTGTTTATGCCCCTGAGGTCATCTCAGGTCACGAATGGTGTCTAACAGTTTTTCGCAAATAACTTTTAATAGAGGCATGTTAGAGCGGTGAAAACGCCTTAGATGTGTTCATCTCGACGATACGGGTCGACTGATATGCAACAGACCTTTCCGGTCAGGTCATGACCTTGACCTGAGGTCAAATTTTCAAGTTGACCTTTCAAGGTCAAGTTATAGTTCATTCGATGCGTCTTGACGAGAGGAACACGATGCCGGTAAAAGTAAGCTCGTATAAGCCTTGGGTCAAAAGTTATTGCAGAAAAACTGTTTCCGAAAAAAAACGGCTATTTTTGAAGTTTTTGCCCCCTGCAGGCAAAACCGTTGACGTTAGGTCAAATCTGAGAACATTAATCAGAAAGGTCTGCAAACGGGCTATCGAATGCGCTTTCCGCGGCGCTGTAGCTCTATTGGTTCCCGAGTTATGCGTTGCTTCCTGGAAATTGCCGACATTCGACCTGAAAATCGGCGAAATTTTGCCTTCAATGACCTCTGGTGACCTGACCTTTGACCTGACCAAAAAAAAGACCGAAGTAATTTCGTCATTATTTTTGGCGCTCTTTCGAACGCCGCCTTCTGCGTATCGCTGCGTGGCCCAGGAGCCGAGTTAGAAGGGGGGGGGGGTGTTCAAACACACCCCCAGCAGGGCGTGGAAATCCAGGACCCCCAGCCGGGCGCGGGTTAAAGCATCTTAAGCACTGCTGTCGCCCCCCCCCCCCCAGTCCTAGTCAGTCAACGCCTGTCACCGCCTTGGGGAGCAGAGATCAGATCTTGCGAATGAATCACTCTAGACGATCCCAGCCAGAAAATTGCATTATCTATTAAAAATCCTGAGCATTAGAAACGTATAACCCGCCACTCACTTTGGGCCCAAAATGCTCGCAGTTACCCGTGCTGTATAATTCCCATTGGCCAATGATGGGCGTTTGCCCCACACCAAAGTGGGCCACTGGGCCGGGCGTATTACCCCGGCAGCACATTCAAAACAAAATTTACCAAAATTAAGCCGGTCACAGTGGTGTTGCAAAAAAAATAAATGCTCAAAGTATAGCCTGAACAACTTAATAGTCCAACAATCTGCAAATTTCGTTGCCTGCTGAGCTCGGGCGGTGTTACCCAACGGTCGGTGTTACCCCGAAAAATGTAGACATTTGCTAAATGTGGAATAATGCAATAATGAACGACACTTCAAGAAAACAATTGGTTGATATGTATGTAAAATTGATGCGACAATCTAATGAAACTGAGAGATTGATTATTTGGCCAGAAATTACGTGACTAGTAGACCCTAAAAGGTTAAGGGGGTCGGTGTTCCCCCATCTTCCCCTACCAGTCGTTGTGTCTTGTAGTAGCGCAGTGCTATTCGCAAAGCTATTCGCAATTAGGATCGAAATGCCGAGAAGTTACACCACCCGCCCTCGACCGAGACGCAGGAAGGGGCTGCATAACCGCGCACTATGATCGGATAAAAATAATATTTTTTAGATATGGAAGATCAGTGGCGGCTAAGAGGCCGCCGCATAGTTCGACGTTCCTCACCTGCCCTCGGCCCCTAGGTGGTGTGCGAATCCAATCGATCCGTATTCGCATCCCCAGTCTGGGCGGAACGAGTCTAGGCTAAAAAAAAAACACGGTTTAAACGAATCCCATCTAAATGTTTGAAACAGCTGCAAATGGACAGAGTTTCGTACACTACTTACTTCATCGTGTCAAGTTCGCATCGCAAAGCATCAATAATCAACCTGCCCGGCCAGCGCGCTCCTTGCCGTCCGTCTGTCTTGCCCCGGCTCCATGCAAGCAAGCCAGCCAGCCACCCTAGCCGTTTTGGTGCGCCCAAAGCGGACTTTTCTCGACGGAACGGACAGCCTTCTCAGCAGACGCCCATAGCCCGCAGGTCGGCTTCCAGCCAGCCCACGCTGATTGGTCGGTGGCCCGTGACGTCATCGCGGCGGCGCGCCGTTGAATGGAGTGAACTCCCAGTGGGCGGGGCTTACCGGTCGCCTCGAGTAGCCGGGTTATGTGCGTCTACTGAATATTAGTAAATATATTTGCAGCAGAGACACGAAAATGCGCTTTGGTTCCGCGGATCCCTGAAGTCGCACTGACGCAGTGGCCGAACCGCCGAAACTCGCCCTCCATGTCCGCCGGTCCGCCCTCTCTCTCTCTCCTCACAAAATACAAACCAAAACAAAAAATCAAAACACGAGTACGACAGGGAAGGATAGGAGAAAAATCCGAAACAGCAGTGTCAAAATGATATTGTATTTTGGGTATTTTGCAGGACTTGATTGAAAATCTCGTGGGCGATAAAAGATTGGAGGGATTTTGATGCTAAGCTCCCGGCTCTCGGAAATCGCCTGAGAATTGTGAGATTATTTTGTGATCATAGAGACAAATATGGTATGGTCGCAAGGATCGCGAACTTACCCGCTCCCTCGCCCCCGGACATCCTCCTTATTCTTAGAAAAACTAAGAAAATAATTATTTAGATGTGTAATGTAAAAATCAGGAATGCCATGAAAGTTCTTAGTTTTGCAACGGCTCGACCGGCAAATGCTCAGTTTCAATTTGCTTCGTGTGCCTGTCTGTTCTGTGTGGTGTGAACTGTGAACAGGGACAAATGATATGAGTCTCTGAAAAGGATATAAACTGCCTCGTCTGGGGTCTGGCACTACCCCGGAATGAAATGTCCTTAGAAACAGACTGAGACAGCCCATGTCAGGGTGTCTGTGCTGACTGCAGCTGCAGCTATCGGGGCTCGGGAGACCGGAGCTCTCGGGGGACGACCGCGGGGGAATGGCGTTAGACGGGCAGCCAGTCGCCGCATGCACGTTCGGGTTTGGGGCATTTTAGCTGAATCGGCAAACACACCACTTCACTAAAATATCGCCTGTATTGGATATGTGCTTCCAACTACCAGCATATTCATCAGCAACGGAAGCCTAAATGGCGTTCAAAGTAACGAATAGCAATGCGTCTGAATTATCGAACAATAATATAACACAATGTGTCTTGCACAGGCCAAGTGGCCTTTTGAATGCTCTTACATCGTAATAAAGAACAAATTTGCCACGAAAATACGACTCGACGATATCACTTATCAGTGGAAAAAAAATACTACGCCACAAAGTACAAACAAACTCGAGAAACGGCACCTGAAAATGTCACAGCCGTATATAATGGCGCTCAGACACTACACTATCACATTGGTCGAGCTAGCTACCAGGTTTTTACTGACCGGTCTCCGCCCAGTCCTCTTTCCAGAAGAGCGGCCGCCCCCTGCCGGATCCTCCCCGCGCCCCACCTCGACCAACTCTACCCCCAGCCCTGGATCCGGCTCTGGCTCCTGCTGTAGTCCCGCCCCTAGCCCCGGCTCGGCCGCCGCGGGACGGGCCGGCTGAGCTAGCAGTAGAAGAGGGAGGCTGGCCTGGCCTGGCGCTCTCAGGTCCAGGTGCCTGAGGGTGGAGATGAGGACAGGGGTTAGTCAGTGATTAGGTGGTTAGAGGGCACGTGCAGCGGCAAAAATAGGACTGATATTACTACTGACTAAAGTAATTACTGCTGAAATCGTTCCATGAAAAACATCAGGTTACCGACAGCTGTAAACCACATTCAAATCTTGCAAATGCACAGATACAGTAAAACGGTAATTTTGCGTTTCTAAGCTTCTGGTGGTTAGCCTTTAAGACCTGACCCAGCCCATCGTCCTGAACTAGCCCCCACTAGCACCACCTGACCAGCCCCCGTGACCTGCCCCGCCCTGACCTGCGTGTTGGCCGCTCCGTGCGGCGCAGACGGCTTCTGAGACAGTGCGGCCAGCGCCTCGCTGAGACCACAGGGAACCTCTAGCGGGTTATACTCGACCCGTCGGGACAGACCGGCCAGCCGGCGGCGGACTTCAGCCGTCACCTGGGTAAAGAACAGACGATTGTCGTCAGCGTCTCATGTTACACAAAACACACTCAATTGATGGATGTTTCTGAATTCGAATCGCCTTTGATACTGAACCACCGAGGCCGGTTTGCCTTGGGCTTGCCTACCGGGGTCTGTTTAAGTACATACGTAGTCGTCAGATAGTGACTTCGCTTTTGAGTCCCAAACTGTCTCTAATTCCCTCATTATTATATGCATTATGACTCCCTCTCCGGTCTACCCACCTGCTGCGGTACGGGCTCATCTGCGCAGTACGGCGGAGGGCCGCCAGGCGGCAGCACCAGTTCGGCAGGGACCAGGGAACACAGCAGCAGCGTTCCACCGTCTCCCTCCGGTGCAGAGGACGCTGAGGATCAGGGAAGAGCAGGACACACGGACAGTAAAGCCAAGGCTCAGCGGGGACAGGGTCAGGCTAGCTCAGAGCACAGGGCAGGACACGGGCAGGGCATGGGGCAGATATGGGAAAGAAAAGCCTCCACTAGCTACTATTCAACTTGGAGTACCGTCACACATTCAGTCTGCTTGGTATTATGATGAAACTAACTCGACGACACCCTTAGCTACCCGGCGTCCAGGAATACTACGAGACGTCACCCCACTTCATAAATGAAGTCATGTCACTACTGCACCTACCCGGCATGACGGCGAAGCGTCCCGAGACGTCTGGCAGCGTTTTACCGCCAGCCAGCCGGGCTATGAGGACATCACCGCTGGCCAGCAGCTCCGAGCACAGACTACGCAGACTCTGAGGGGGGGGGGGGGGGGAATATCGTGTCAACTCACTAACACAGAAACACGTCACCAGTTAACAGCACAGGACGTCACCACTGGCCAGCAGCTCCGAGCATAGGCTGCGCAGGCTCTGAGGACAGGTACCGTCATTAGGTCACCAACAAGTGCACGTGATATCATCAGCTCACTAGTCTCAGCATATATACCGATAGGGCCACACTGCCGGTATTCCGTATTGCCAGCTCAATGAGCAGCTGAGACCCCGACGCGGAAACATGATGCCGCTGGTTTGAGGTGTGGTGAGATCATCTCAGATCATTGACCCATGTTCTTTACTCCTTGGTTTGTCGTCGGATCCTATGAGATCAGAGATTCAGCATATAACTACTTTCAGCGTGGGATCCAATGGATCCTAGATCCTAACTTACCGTTCGCTTCGAGATCCACTGAGATCATAGATCCATCATTCGAATCCATACACATGTCTGCCTAGTTATGAGCGTGCAGCTTTATGAACGTATGAATTGACGAACAGTTCTGACTGCAGCTGACCTGCGAGTTGGCGACCAGCTCGTCCCAGCTCTGTCGCACGCAGGCGGAGGCTCGCAGCAGCAGCGGCTCTCCGTGGATGGCTGACTGGCAGAGACCGGCGCGGGCCACTCGACCCGTCACCTCCAGATGGTACACCGCCACCGCTGAGGAAGAGAGGAGACCAATCAGCCACTGACAAGACAGAGACCGGCGCGGGCCACTCGACCCGTCACCTCCAGTTGGTACACCACTACCGCTGCTGGGGAAAAGGACAGACACATTTAGCCGCAGAGACCGGCGCGGGTCACTCGACCTGGTAAACCGCCGTCCGCCACCGCTGGGAGCAGAGACGTCACTCACTGAGACGGCTGTGAGGGCACTACTACGGTATGGTGACTTCATTGGATATATTATGTGAAAAGTAATATCCTATTCGAAACATTTCAAATGACTTCACCATTCAAAATTGTTCGATTAAATTTTTGACTCATAAGCTCAATTTAATGTGACAAATTAAAAAAAAAACATTTAAATGAAATACAATTAAGGGTTATCAGGCCTTTTTTGTACCTACTCGTGACTCGTAATCGGTCGTGATTGCAATCGGTTTCGATTGGCAGCAGGAATCGGTATCTCATGATTGAAGCAAACAGCGAGAAACGGCACAATCGATCACCAGTCGGCAGTCATTTAAATACGTTCAACTCTTATTCCGGTAACGGTTTATCCGTTAACAGATTTCATTCGCCGTACGCACCAACGCAAAAATTGCGGTTGTCCACGATGGTTCTGGCGGTCCAAGAATTTTACGAACATCGTCCGGCCGCGCCCCGATCCCTAGACCCACAGCCGCCATGATTGTTCGTACGGCCCGACCACCAAGCAAGGATAGACGGACACACAGGCACGGAGACGGCTACGTTCTGCCGTCTGGATTGGCACATTGGGGGCCAATCACGAGCGGCGCACGGCCGACGCGCGGCCCGACGGCCAATGTCGGCCGGCAGCCAGTAGCTGCGCATAACCCGCCCGGCGCCGTCCCATTGGCGGCCCCGGTCACGGCACGGGCGTGATTGGTGGTCGGCGGGCGCCGGGCGGCGACGGCTGTAGGACGGCCGATCGCCGCCGTGGGGCCGGGAGTCGGCTGGGTGAATGGGTGAGCGGTGGTGGGTGCGTTTCTCGAAGACGTGGGCGTTATGGTTTTGCCCAAATTTAACGGCATTCGAAGTGAGCATACCGCATAAATATCTGATTTGCGTTAACTGCTGTAAGCACGGGATTTAGAAGACTACTTACTGTAAGCACTTGGCTACCTTAAACGAACAGGCAATAACATACATTATTGCAGTTACCCAAATCAAAACTTTTACTGAATATGATCCCACTAAAAATAAGGGCAAATTGCTATCCTCTTTTCTTCCGATATGTCTGTCGTGTGACCGGAAACTGGCTGATGAGGAGACACATACCACCAATTTCACTAGGCACAATTATTATTTACTATTCAGCACTCTCATATCCAACCCCCCCCCCACCCCACAGTACCCCAGCAGCCCGTTCTTACCACCCCGGCCGCCGGCGTGCCATCCCGTCTTCTCAGGTGTCAGCAAAAGGCGGTGGGTGAAAGGAAGGCTCAGCGGCGACACTAGCGCCGCCTGCATGTCGCAGTGTAGCGACAGTGGCGCCTCCAGCGGCGGCAGCAGCAAACGTACGTGCTCGGTGGAGGTCGATTGTTCTAGCAACCATGACTGAAAACAGGCAAGCCAATAACACCGAAAGAAATAATTCAATATAAGAACCAAAAAATGTAATACACACCAAACCTTTCCATTTCCTCAAATAAGTATTTTCACAAGACAAAATAAATTGTTCTTTAGCGTAGAAGCAACGCAAGCGAAGCAAGATAAGGCACATCGTTACAGATGTCGCCACAGTCGCGAACTCGACCGCGGTGTCCTCATTCGGCCGGTCGGGGTTATGTGCAGCTATTGGCTGCCCAGCGAATGCCGGCCAACTCTGATGGTTTCTAATGGTGTCAAGGGGCCCAGGATACGGATACGGTCGGGGAGCCCCGACGCGTGGTGCGGACAGGGGCGCTCTTCCTTGGGGCGCTTGAAGCACTAGGGGCCATGGGGTAGGGGGTTTCTTTGAGGTTTTTTCTCAGGGGCGCCGCCACGGATTTTTGACTGGGGGGGACGGACTGACCGACTGAAAACCCACAAGTAGGCATTCTTACCGTGGCTTTTTTGGTCCGATGCATTCAAAGTTTAAAGCACATATGCCACTTTTACCATTGGGTTTTGAACTGAAATAACAGTTTTGTAGCCTGAGCTGAGACGAGAACAAATCAGGAGCTTTTATGGCTCAACGATCACCCTAGCCAAATATATCGGTATCGATTTTAGGTTTGAAGACTGAAGTCATTCCCATAATTACACTTTGTCATTCCCTTACCGAGGAATCCATTCCCTTACGGAAAAATGCCAGCCAATCAGCATTCAGCTGGTTTGAACTACGTAATCTGATTGGTCAATGGGTAATCAGCTTCCGCTGCAATATAGGTAAGGCCTCTACGAAAGACGGAAATTGGTTCTTATGTAAAAATAAATAAAAAAAACATTTTGCAAATATTCATTACCTATGTTATTTCCTGACCATTTTAAGCATAAAAACTCATAAACCTGTGGCAAAACAACTGGTTTGAGGAAAGTAGTTTAGGCATTTCCTTTAGGTAGGTAATGGCTGTAGACTGAATTCCCACCGAGTACCTACCTATATACACATCTATTGTCCGATTCAATTTTGGCATGGCAAAGCCTCTATAGTGCCTCATCAACAGGGTATAATTGCTGATGTATGCCACTAATCTGATCGGTAATGCATATTGCATAGGTAATGCATATTGCATACCCTCGTGGGGGAGGAGGCGTTGTATAGTTACAATCTCTCTGTCTGGGTTGTGCATGAATTGGCGCGAAGTGCCTCGAAAATTGGCAAAAATAAAACATCAGGCAAAACTGCTCTAAAATACGAATTTTGCAGCTGTTTAACAAGCTTGATACCAGAAAACCTTTAGTCAGGTCACCAAGTCAAGTAGTCAAGTCGCCTCAAAGTTTTGTGGCCCTGTCAGTGTCAACGGTATAGCTTATTTCCTAGAAGCTGAAAATTTAGTATAGTGTGACTGCAGAACTGTGGGGTCGGAGCCGGAATCAGTCGGAGTTGACAGTTTTGGCCAGAGTCGGAGACTCTTGAGTCGGAGTCTTCGAAATTGTTCAGATTTTGACTCCGAGGTCGGATTGGTTTAAAGTCATGCTCTTGGCTGGTTAGACGAAATATACTATGCCCGTTTTTGGCCAGTCGTGTTATACGACACACGTTGATCACGATATCAAAAATCGGCAGTTCCGCGATGACAGGTCGGATAAGAGCTGGAGATTTTGTTGGGCGAGGTGGCAGGGGTCAGACCAATGCATGTAGGCCCATACCCCACATACTGAATATCTAAACCTCCTGGACCCTCTCAGATTCGGCACCGTTCCATCGCTTCCATCCTCAGGACAGTCAAATCCTTCTCCTCCACGCTGCGATCCCCTGCTCCGGGCTGGACGGGCAACTCTATCCCATGCGGGAATGACTCCACTGGAGCTATAGTCCGTTGCCGGGTACAGTGAGTGCCAGTGGGCTACCTGTTCAATTGGTCGAGTTCAGCCCAAGTGGCTCACTGGGGTGGCTGCCCAGACCAATTTCTCCCACTAATTCTCTCATCCTTCCGGCTCTGAAATGGTCTCATTGGACCGAAGGGCCTAATCAAATTTCGAGTAGGAAAACAACCAGTAAAACGCCTTTTGGGGCGACCAACGGAGCGAGCGAGGGGGTGGGCCTTTCTCGTACGAAATTGCGAAGTAGTACCTCCAACCAACTTGTGCACTGCACCCTACTAACCGGTTTCTAACGATGTGCCAAATTTGAGCGCAATCGGCCTAGCCGTTCTCGAGATCTGTAAGCGGCACCCTGCACGTGCGCACGTGCAAAATGGGTCCCAACTGACTTTTGCACGGCACCCTAATAACCGGTCCCTAACCATGTGTCAACATTCAGCACAATCGGTTCAGCCGTTCTCGAGATCTGGAATCGACCCCTGCACGTGCGCACGTGCAGCAGCACCCCAACTGTGGCATATGGTCATGGATATGCATTGCCTGGTGGGTGCCTACCTACCTACATGCCAACTTTCAGCGCAATCGGCCCAGTATGTTACCGAGATACCTATTGCAATTGTTCAGGGGCGCCGCCACGGATTTTTGACTGGGGGGGACGGACTGACCGACTGAAAACCCACAAGTAGGCATTCTTACCGTGGCTTTTTTGGTCCGATGCATTCAAAGTTTAAAGCACATATGCCACTTTTACCATTGGGTTTTGAACTGAAATAACAGTTTTGTAGCCTGAGCTGAGACGAGAACAAATCAGGAGCTTTTATGGCTCAACGATCACCCTAGCCAAATATATCGGTATCGATTTTAGGTTTGAAGACTGAAGTCATTCCCATAATTACACTTTGTCATTCCCTTACCGAGGAATCCATTCCCTTACGGAAAAATGCCAGCCAATCAGCATTCAGCTGGTTTGAACTACGTAATCTGATTGGTCAATGGGTAATCAGCTTCCGCTGCAATATAGGTAAGGCCTCTACGAAAGACGGAAATTGGTTCTTATGTAAAAATAAATAAAAAAAACATTTTGCAAATATTCATTACCTATGTTATTTCCTGACCATTTTAAGCATAAAAACTCATAAACCTGTGGCAAAACAACTGGTTTGAGGAAAGTAGTTTAGGCATTTCCTTTAGGTAGGTAATGGCTGTAGACTGAATTCCCACCGAGTACCTACCTATATACACATCTATTGTCCGATTCAATTTTGGCATGGCAAAGCCTCTATAGTGCCTCATCAACAGGGTATAATTGCTGATGTATGCCACTAATCTGATCGGTAATGCATATTGCATAGGTAATGCATATTGCATACCCTCGTGGGGGAGGAGGCGTTGTATAGTTACAATCTCTCTGTCTGGGTTGTGCATGAATTGGCGCGAAGTGCCTCGAAAATTGGCAAAAATAAAACATCAGGCAAAACTGCTCTAAAATACGAATTTTGCAGCTGTTTAACAAGCTTGATACCAGAAAACCTTTAGTCAGGTCACCAAGTCAAGTAGTCAAGTCGCCTCAAAGTTTTGTGGCCCTGTCAGTGTCAACGGTATAGCTTATTTCCTAGAAGCTGAAAATTTAGTATAGTGTGACTGCAGAACTGTGGGGTCGGAGCCGGAATCAGTCGGAGTTGACAGTTTTGGCCAGAGTCGGAGACTCTTGAGTCGGAGTCTTCGAAATTGTTCAGATTTTGACTCCGAGGTCGGATTGGTTTAAAGTCATGCTCTTGGCTGGTTAGACGAAATATACTATGCCCGTTTTTGGCCAGTCGTGTTATACGACACACGTTGATCACGATATCAAAAATCGGCAGTTCCGCGATGACAGGTCGGATAAGAGCTGGAGATTTTGTTGGGCGAGGTGGCAGGGGTCAGACCAATGCATGTAGGCCCATACCCCACATACTGAATATCTAAACCTCCTGGACCCTCTCAGATTCGGCACCGTTCCATCGCTTCCATCCTCAGGACAGTCAAATCCTTCTCCTCCACGCTGCGATCCCCTGCTCCGGGCTGGACGGGCAACTCTATCCCATGCGGGAATGACTCCACTGGAGCTATAGTCCGTTGCCGGGTACAGTGAGTGCCAGTGGGCTACCTGTTCAATTGGTCGAGTTCAGCCCAAGTGGCTCACTGGGGTGGCTGCCCAGACCAATTTCTCCCACTAATTCTCTCATCCTTCCGGCTCTGAAATGGTCTCATTGGACCGAAGGGCCTAATCAAATTTCGAGTAGGAAAACAACCAGTAAAACGCCTTTTGGGGCGACCAACGGAGCGAGCGAGGGGGTGGGCCTTTCTCGTACGAAATTGCGAAGTAGTACCTCCAACCAACTTGTGCACTGCACCCTACTAACCGGTTTCTAACGATGTGCCAAATTTGAGCGCAATCGGCCTAGCCGTTCTCGAGATCTGTAAGCGGCACCCTGCACGTGCGCACGTGCAAAATGGGTCCCAACTGACTTTTGCACGGCACCCTAATAACCGGTCCCTAACCATGTGTCAACATTCAGCACAATCGGTTCAGCCGTTCTCGAGATCTGGAATCGACCCCTGCACGTGCGCACGTGCAGCAGCACCCCAACTGTGGCATATGGTCATGGATATGCATTGCCTGGTGGGTGCCTACCTACCTACATGCCAACTTTCAGCGCAATCGGCCCAGTATGTTACCGAGATACCTATTGCAATTGTTACCATGGGCGCCGCCACCGGGGGGGACGGGGGGGACGCGTCCCCCCACTCTCAGAATGGAAGGGGGACGTCCCCCCCAAACTCATTACGGAGCGAGCGAAGCGAGCGTAGTCTTTCGGGAAATTTCTGAGTACGAGCGGCCGGCCGGCTGTGGTCACGCTTTTGCGAGACTTAAGTCTCAGGAACCACTTGACTGATTTACATGCAGTAATTTTTGTAGGGTAGCTTCATTCCTTCTAACAAGTATTGAACTATTCTCGATGCATGTGGGTGACCCATTATGCACCCGCCACGTGAAAAACGAAGAGGTGTCAGTTTTGTAACAATTGCAATAGGTATCTCGGTAACATACTGGGCCGATTGCGCTGAAAGTTGGCATGTAGGTAGGTAGGCACCCACCAGGCAATGCATATCCATGACCATATGCCACAGTTGGGGTGCTGCTGCACGTGCGCACGTGCAGGGGTCGATTCCAGATCTCGAGAACGGCTGAACCGATTGTGCTGAATGTTGACACATGGTTAGGGACCGGTTATTAGGGTGCCGTGCAAAAGTCAGTTGGGACCCATTTTGCACGTGCGCACGTGCAGGGTGCCGCTTACAGATCTCGAGAACGGCTAGGCCGATTGCGCTCAAATTTGGCACATCGTTAGAAACCGGTTAGTAGGGTGCAGTGCACAAGTTGGTTGGAGGTACTACTTCGCAATTTCGTACGAGAAAGGCCCACCCCCTCGCTCGCTCCGTTGGTCGCCCCAAAAGGCGTTTTACTGGTTGTTTTCCTACTCGAAATTTGATTAGGCCCTTCGGTCCAATGAGACCATTTCAGAGCCGGAAGGATGAGAGAATTAGTGGGAGAAATTGGTCTGGGCAGCCACCCCAGTGAGCCACTTGGGCTGAACTCGACCAATTGAACAGGTAGCCCACTGGCACTCACTGTACCCGGCAACGGACTATAGCTCCAGTGGAGTCATTCCCGCATGGGATAGAGTTGCCCGTCCAGCCCGGAGCAGGGGATCGCAGCGTGGAGGAGAAGGATTTGACTGTCCTGAGGATGGAAGCGATGGAACGGTGCCGAATCTGAGAGGGTCCAGGAGGTTTAGATATTCAGTATGTGGGGTATGGGCCTACATGCATTGGTCTGACCCCTGCCACCTCGCCCAACAAAATCTCCAGCTCTTATCCGACCTGTCATCGCGGAACTGCCGATTTTTGATATCGTGATCAACGTGTGTCGTATAACACGACTGGCCAAAAACGGGCATAGTATATTTCGTCTAACCAGCCAAGAGCATGACTTTAAACCAATCCGACCTCGGAGTCAAAATCTGAACAATTTCGAAGACTCCGACTCAAGAGTCTCCGACTCTGGCCAAAACTGTCAACTCCGACTGATTCCGGCTCCGACCCCACAGTTCTGCAGTCACACTATACTAAATTTTCAGCTTCTAGGAAATAAGCTATACCGTTGACACTGACAGGGCCACAAAACTTTGAGGCGACTTGACTACTTGACTTGGTGACCTGACTAAAGGTTTTCTGGTATCAAGCTTGTTAAACAGCTGCAAAATTCGTATTTTAGAGCAGTTTTGCCTGATGTTTTATTTTTGCCAATTTTCGAGGCACTTCGCGCCAATTCATGCACAACCCAGACAGAGAGATTGTAACTATACAACGCCTCCTCCCCCACGAGGGTATGCAATATGCATTACCTATGCAATATGCATTACCGATCAGATTAGTGGCATACATCAGCAATTATACCCTGTTGATGAGGCACTATAGAGGCTTTGCCATGCCAAAATTGAATCGGACAATAGATGTGTATATAGGTAGGTACTCGGTGGGAATTCAGTCTACAGCCATTACCTACCTAAAGGAAATGCCTAAACTACTTTCCTCAAACCAGTTGTTTTGCCACAGGTTTATGAGTTTTTATGCTTAAAATGGTCAGGAAATAACATAGGTAATGAATATTTGCAAAATGTTTTTTTTTATTTATTTTTACATAAGAACCAATTTCCGTCTTTCGTAGAGGCCTTACCTATATTGCAGCGGAAGCTGATTACCCATTGACCAATCAGATTACGTAGTTCAAACCAGCTGAATGCTGATTGGCTGGCATTTTTCCGTAAGGGAATGGATTCCTCGGTAAGGGAATGACAAAGTGTAATTATGGGAATGACTTCAGTCTTCAAACCTAAAATCGATACCGATATATTTGGCTAGGGTGATCGTTGAGCCATAAAAGCTCCTGATTTGTTCTCGTCTCAGCTCAGGCTACAAAACTGTTATTTCAGTTCAAAACCCAATGGTAAAAGTGGCATATGTGCTTTAAACTTTGAATGCATCGGACCAAAAAAGCCACGGTAAGAATGCCTACTTGTGGGTTTTCAGTCGGTCAGTCCGTCCCCCCCAGTCAAAAATCCGTGGCGGCGCCCCTGATTGTTACAAAACTGACACCTCTTCGTTTTTCACGTGGCGGGTGCATAATGGGTCACCCACATGCATCGAGAATAGTTCAATACTTGTTAGAAGGAATGAAGCTACCCTACAAAAATTACTGCATGTAAATCAGTCAAGTGGTTCCTGAGACTTAAGTCTCGCAAAAGCGTGACCACAGCCGGCCGGCCGCTCGTACTCAGAAATTTCCCGAAAGACTACGCTCGCTTCGCTCGCTCCGTAATGAGTTTGGGGGGGACGTCCCCCTTCCATTCTGAGAGTGGGGGGGACGCGTCCCCCCCGTCCCCCCCGGTGGCGGCGCCCATGTTTTTTCTATACCGTTGGGGCCGAAGATTTAGACGAAATCCTCGCAAACTGTTATCGCGCACCGCGTTGTCCATCCACCAAGTCGGACTCGGACTCGGACTCGGAGTGTAATCGCCACGCCGATTGTGGATTGCTCTTGATCGTCAATACATACATACATACATACATACATACAAGTGACCCGACGTCCGACAAAGTTTTCCTAGAGTTGAGCGACCGCGTCTCGCGATCGGGACCGGGTAGATCGCCTGGCCATCTAGTTTTTTACCCAAATCTTAGGCGCCGGTTTAGTAAGGAGGGTGAGATGTACTTGTAGGCACTGATATCTCAGTACAATGCTAAATTTTCCAACGCACAAATCACAAGTTACAGCGAAACAGCTAAAGGCAGTGCTATGTGCAGCTACTGGCTTCCCAGCGATACCCGGCCAACTCTGATGGTTTCTAATGGTCTTGAGAGGTCGCCCGCCGTCCCAGAGCGGAATACCACTGACCGACCGACCGTCCACCAGTCGCCACCGACACGCCTACGGTCCGCGGATCCCGGGCGCCGCGCTGTGAGTGTGAGTATAGGGACGGGACCGGCGGTCGGGTGGCGTTGAGGTGAGTTCCCCGGGTATGTGTGTGAATGGGGGGAGGGGTATTTTAGGAGGTTAAACTCAGGCTTCGGTAGGATTGTGATTGCAGGATTGCAAAATCCTGATTGCATTCCTTTTTGGTGGATTGCACCTGGATTTGAAATCCATTCCAAAAAATAGGATTTGATTGCGGATTGGATTGCATCATACTTCCAATTTTTGCAATCCAATCCGGATTGTGTTTGATTAGTGCTTTGAAATGGTTTGTTGCGATTGAAAATTATGAAATCGGCTTCATCGGCCTAATGTAATTTGCTATCAAGGGCTTTACATCGAAACTGGAAATAATTCAAACGCTTTTAATTTAAAGGCTCAAAATAATATACGCTGATGAACTTCATAGGAAGGGCAAAATTACGTATTTGAGGGCGAGTTTTAAAAATATAAAACACTGGTTGGGTAGAGGTTTAAATGTGCCGGGGTGTTTGAGGCAAAAAATATTTCCCATAAAATACCTGTGCCTTAGATAGGAATTACTCGCAAGACTAGGTACTAGAAATGGGTGATTTGGGGATGGAGGCACGGCCCTATGCCCCCCTCCCTCCCCCAGATCCACTAGTGCACATAATGATACAACAGGATTGCAAAAAAGGATTGCCGATTTGATCACAATCCAAGTGAAAAAAGGGGATTGCGGGTTGGAATGCAATCCACTTCGGCACTAGGAATGTGGATTGGGAATGCAATCCTTTCAAAAAGGATTTTACCGATGCCTGGTTAAACTGACCTGAAAGTGTCGGTCGAAGGGCGCCGAGTCGCCGGCCGTGGTCCGCAGCACCTCCAGCGGCACGGCCTCGACGTCTCCGTCAGCGTCCATGTCCTCGCACCACTCGGCCTCCTGGGTGGCCTCGTTCGGACCCACCACCTCAAACACCTGCAGGGGGAATAAATAACCACAGTCCACAACGCGGATGATATAATAAACAATTCGGTCCGGCAGTATGACTACGATGAAGATCGCGGGACGAGCCGGAAGGCCAAAGGAACGTATCGATTGAGCTGCAGAGTCTGCAATCAGCATTGGGCTTACGGGTGAGTAGTGTCCCCGTGTGACCCGAGCTACCTGTCTGAGCATCGTACCCCATGGGCCGACCCCAGTGGCGGTAACTACTAAACACTACTATACACCACTGGAGGCCCTACAAAAACTGACATGGCGTAGATTGCTGTTGGTTCAGACTTCAGAGGTACTAACGGTTCGGCCGGTTGTGTCGCTAGACGTTAGCAACACTTTGAATTGTGGGACCGGCTGGGCTGTCGGCTAACCTGTATCTTCTGCAGGCCAGTGGCGGCTGCCGCGGCGGCACGGCTCCAGCGGCGCAGCCGTCCGATGACCTCGGGGTCAGAGGTCAGCACCGTCAGCTGCAGCCGGCCGCTGGTCTGTGCCTGCGGCGACCGACGGGACAAAACGGGTCAGCTCATCCTCTCGATCCCCGGACAAAAAAAAAACGGACATGCGACTATGATCTGTCTGACTTCCGTATCAGTTGAGCAACCTAACCCAACGACATAACAACCTTAGATTTAAATTTTAATAGCATAATAAAATTGTGCTTTTGAAAATAACAAATGTGTTCAGCTTCGTGGCGTCACATGTTTCATGACGTCATTTTCAGAAGCATTGTATCCTTGTCCTTTGGAATTTCAGCATCCTTGTTTGTTTTGATATATTTGCGCCATTTCCGACGCGCTGCTATTTTACCGCGTATGGTAGAACTTGGGTTATAATTTCCCCGAATAATCAATAATTCACATCATATTGGCTTTAGGTTAGCATACAAAATTAATGCCATTTAATGTTCTCATATTTTTCAGGACATTTCAATTACAATGACAGGGAGTGTTGCTCGTTTTCAGAGTGCTAACGTTCCACAACAGTTGGTGACATACCAGGGAAATAAGCTAAAATTAGAGCGCTCTATTTATTGCTCCTGCCCCATGTTGAAGAGATACCCCTAAAAGCGTGATCTTTTATCGACCCTTACGCAGCAAGGCAGCACTTCTCAGACCGGTGGATGGTATCAATAGAAAGAGAATGCGTCAACGATTAACATGAATTAATTAAAATAACATTAAAATGTTAATTAAGCGTGAAAATTAGTCCCAAACATAAGCTTATTATTGCTCCTACCTCGGCGATGGCGCTCCCCGCAGTCAGCGGAGAAGCTAAAATAAAAGCCACCATCCTCCTCCGTAAGTCAATTTTAGAGCGGCGGAGTGGGCCGATGCGGGGCCACCAAACTGAGATAAGACGTGGCTAGCAATTGCAAACCGCCATAGAAATCAATATCTTTAGACGTACAATATGGGATGATTACTCTGAAGCTGGAGTGAAAGCATGAGTAGATTGCAAGAAACGAAATGCATTGATTGGTTGAATTATGCACAATAGGCACAGCTCAATAGATGAAGCCATTTCTATGATGTTGACATTTGACATAACCCTTCCTCTCCTCACCTATGACCTAAGTACATTGGCAGTTGCCGGCATAGTTTTTTTTTTTTAGCACGAATGTAATTCGCCATCGGACCGCAATGCATGTTGCTAGGCTGCTACAAGTACAACGAACATACGAATACTGCCTTCATTTGTAGACGTTTGTTTTAAGGCGGTCTTCGACGTACAAGGGGGCATACCTGTCGACAACTTGAGTTTATCCGAATTTCAAAAACTCCCAGAATTTCAATTCCTTATGCACTGTTGTAGGTACAGCTATGTTCACAAGTTTTCGTTTCCTCCTGTTCTAAAAAGGATGATATTTGTCGACTACGTGTGTCGCTGATAGGAGGGTGCGTTTAATAATTAGGCCCAACGCTTTCTGCATCCGCGAGTACCTTCAAAAGGGAACAACAGTTTCCATTTATTACACTATGGGACATGTGACAAAATGACCACTGGAACACGCATGAAACGGAGCTCATATTCCTAAAATGTCTACAATCACATCTTTTCTGACACTATTAGCAAATACCGTCTCAAGTTAGGTGGTTGACAGACAGTCAATGGAGATCTGAGGAGACTGAGTGATGCCAATTCACCACTTAACTGATAATGAAGGCCGAGGGGAGTGAAACATGCAACATGCACAACTGACAACTTGACAAGTGACAAAACACTACCACTATTGCGCAGTGCACAACAAATTACAGCAGCCAGCCCAAAAAATGCTTTTGGTGGCTAATTGCAAAACAAGTCACTAATAAATGTCTTAGTTGCAGCTGAACACTGCACAATGATCACGCTGTTCACGCATTGAGTGAGATGCCACAGAAGGTTTGAATCACACTTTGGTACAACTGCAAATCTGAATTGTTGTCATGAGGTTCATGCCTCCATGATCACAGCATTTTGGTTGTGGTTGGCATAACACTTGTAGTCTGCAGCGTTCCACATGAACTGCAAACACCTCATCTGGTGGTCTTCATGTTGCTCAACTTCTTCAGGAGGCAAATGTCGACCACCCAGCGGAAGCATGGTCCTGCAGAAAAGAAAGGTAATGCATAAGGTACAAACATTATCTGCTGAAACAGCCCCTCTTGTTGGCTGTTAAACATAACATAACATGTATTCCATGTATATTACATTTGTTGAAGTAAAATACTGCCGGCTATTTCAAAACCAGAAAATGAAATTATATTGTGGCATAATTCAAATGCTCAGCTATTAGTATCAAATAATAAATCAATTTAAAGTTTGGCATATTCTATAAAACATTCATAGAATATTCTACTTCACGTCACAAGGACTCACAATCTTTCTGTTGGGTGTTTGATGCATTAACTAAGTTTGTCTTAGGTTTTATTATTGCAAAAAGTTCATATTGCATTTTTTTGTATCAAAATACTGCCAGCAATAACAAAACAAGAACATGAAATGTCAATGAGCCAGCCGCCTTTCCTAAAAATGGGTTACTTTGAAAAGAATTTTAGTTTCTTTTAAGGAAAAGGAGGAATGATTATCAGGTAATTATCAGAAAACCACTCAACCAGCAAGTGGCTGGTTGGTTTCACAGCAAACATCAAGCCAAAACATATGCTTACATTTATCTTACAATTGAGCCATTTGACTACTACAAGGATATGTGAGCAAAATAAGAATCTTATTATCCAATGTTGACTTCCTTGCAAAGTTTATGCCTTATTTTATGAAAATGTGTCACTAGAATATGATATTTATCATCAATTATTATTAAATTTACGATTTATTTCGATGGAAACGCACATCTAGTCCCGCGCCATTTTCGTCGACGATGAATATGATCGTGTTTCATGAAGAGATAAGGGGTTTCAATGGTCTTTCAAAGCAATAATTTGATGCAAAAATTGGTAGGAAATAATATAAAGCTGGTTCCAATGGCCATCAACCATTTAAAACACCGAAAATACTCACAACTACGTCCCGACGACCACCCAGCACCGCGCACGCGTGGCGCACGCCACACTACTGGCAAAATGCCAAAACTGCTGTCACAGCAGAAATGATTTTTTTTCTCGATTTCAATTGTGGAATTATTTATTAAACAGAAGATGATCTTTCCGAAAAACCGACTGATTTCATACACAGATGCATGGAAAATAAAAAAATCCCGGTAAGTTTATTTGTATTGTTTTGCCGATTTTGACATGCTCCTAGTTTGCAGCCATAATTCGATATGTTCTACAGGGAGTTCAGAATTATTTCAGGACCAATCTTTTCCTCGTTCATTTTTCCGTCGATCATGAAATTTTTAAAGCGGAACAATTAGTTTCCAGGCGGTCCGAGCGGTTTTCGTGAGAAGGGTGCAAAAATCGGCGTCATTTTTAGAGCCTCGACACTAGCTCAACACAGGGCCCTATGGGAGACGGTGAAGTAGCGGGAGCAATAAATAGAGCGCTCTAATATTAGCTTATTTCCCTGGTGTGTCACCGACTGACAACTGAACATTATTGAGGACCATCATTTAGGCTTAGTGTGTGTAATTAATTTGTGCTGCAATAAATTTTGACATTATGATAGATTTCAGACATGTAGGAGACATTTCCAAATGAAGCTGTATTATATCAGATGCCAGTCATAAGTCAGAACGGTCAAAACTACCCGAGGACTGGAAACACCGAGCAGGAGAGGCTTTGTTGGCTTTGGCTATTAGTTTAAGTATTGCTTAATGCATTAGTTGATTTACTGGAAATTGTTCAGAGACAACCACCACTAGTGTTAAATCTCCATTTTTATTTACACTGCCTAAGACATAATTCTTGACCTTAAGTCAAAATGATCATTATGTGTGAGTGCTCTTCAGTCCTCTGTGACCACCACTGGTGGTAGGTAGTCAGGAAATATGCTGCATGCATCTTGGAAATATTCTCATTTTTCAAAATTAAGTTTGTAAGAAATATCACCTGCATGAATGCTCCTGAGTCCTGTTCATATTCCCCAGTGCCTAGGTTTCATTTTTCTCTTCACTGTTCTATATGTGCCTACATTCCTATACATTTTTATAATCTGTGGCCACTTCAGCTTCAGAGCATAAGTGAGTTCTAAAAGATCCATCCATGGTCTGAAGGAGGTCCAGTTGCCTCAGTTTTTCATTCTATGTGCTCAGTGCCGCAATAGTGATATTGTTGCTGACATGTTCTGTCCTCTGTTATCATGTCTACCTATATTGTGGAGCCATCACTTAGAAAGGTTCCTTTTGGAAATGGCAGATAAATGCATGTCTATGACTGGTTTACATCCTTAGCTGCGTTGATCTTACTTTTGATCAAATGGTTCAGAAAATCTTGAACATGTTTGTAGACTAGTGTTTGCCTAGTCAGAACAGAAGAGAACAATGATGCGACACCACGATGTTTTGATATAAAGGAATTGTGAACGTAAACCTGGATTTTAACAAAGAATAGACTTTCAGTTTTTAGTATTCTTTGCAGTGTTCCAATACAGCTGACATCACATCACTTCAAATGTACCTTCCAAGTTCCAATGTCATACATTGAAGCTTTCAATTGAAATGAATAATTCTTGTTCAAAGTGATTATCCAAGAACAACCTGAAAGCAGATAGTATTTATCTTACAAACAAGATAGCTGCTATATTTGGCTGACATTGCACCCTGTCTGCGTCTGTTGCCGACCAGGTGATTTCTCGCCACCTGGGACTCCTCGACTGAAGCATCTCTCCAGCCACCTCCCTGTGTCTCCGCCATGAGCACCTCTGAGCCGGCGACCACAGCCGAGTGGTCGATCGAGTGCTCGGACGACGAGCGGTTCGCCGACTGGACGGTGGAGGAGGGTGAGCCTGTGCCGCCTCTGGACGCCGTGCAGACCCTGTACTCGGCCGTGGAGAGCGGCGAGCCTCCCGAGCTGGTCTGGCGCTGTCTGGGGCGCCGGCAGATGGACGCCGAACAGCCCTCAGAGGACGAGGACGAACCGGTACAGCTGCCCGATATGTCAGACTTTGACTTCGGTGCGGATGATGTGTCGCAGCCAGTGAAAACGCCGCGTCGTCAGCCGGGGGCCGCGCCCAGAGGTAGCGCCAAGAAGAAGTCCACGAGTCTGGATAAAATTCTCAAGAGCATGAAGCGGACCCGGGAGCTCGAGGCGCGGGAAGCGAGCGAGGCAAACGCAGCCAACAGCAAGGAGAAAGCAGGATGATGCTAAGGACCGTGTTTGAAGTGCTTAATCGCGTGATATTAATCTAATTGACAAACTGACAACAGTGACAGCGTGGAACAATTTTTGTGACAGAAAACATTTTAAACTATCCATGAGAACACTGTGAAACTGTGCATTGTGTCGAATATCAGACGTCTGTGACTAGGACGCTCGTCATAATTGCTGCATAGTGTATACATTGGTGATACACCTCGGGAGAAAGCATGGTGCGTGGCGCGTTCCGTCATATTCATATTCATATGGGTGTTTTTCTGATTGGACATGGTCCTTACACATCATTTTCATTTTTCTTTTGTAAGCATTTCTCCATCTTTTATATGCAAAGTTACGTGTACGAGATGTATGTTTCATACGTTCCCTGTTGCGTTAGTGTGAGCATTGCTATGGTTAATGATGCCTTGCTCTGCGGTGACCTGAAGCCTGATGACAGTAATCTATCACGCTTAATTGCAAAGGTTTGAAAGAAAATCAATTACAATTAAACCCTTTACGTTGCACTTCTCGCGATCTGTGCATAGATACAAATACATTTCGTTTTACCGTAACATTACACAATGGAAGAGAGCTGGTTTGGTGTGCGCACCTGTTTAGAGCAGAAGTCGTCAAATTCTGTGTTGACTATATCCAGGGCGAATTCCAGCCGACCCGTGCCATCATCGTCAGTTGAGACTGCCCCTGGATCCAGGCTGAAAGATCGAACACAGTAATTAGTGCTGTCCCAATTTTGATACCATGGGGCATGGATGAGTGACTGCCTTTAATCCCGCTTTCATCCATGCTGGGGCCGTAAAATGGTACCGATTGAAGCTTGCGGGAATCCCCCTTCCTCCTAGAGCCGTTCAGATACCGCCTGACTGCTAGTGCTAACTACCATATTTAGCAGATCGACCGTGCTGGCAGCTGCTGCTCGCTTAGAATTGTTCAGATACCGACTACGGGTGATCTCCGTATAACAGCGCCCCGGGCGAACTGACCGTGCCCTGTCGACGAGCTGAGCGACCGCTGTGCCGAGCCGGTCCAGCCGACCCCGCGGCTCCTGCATCTGCCAGCAGATGGTCGGGGCGCGACCCAGAGCCAGCAGACCCAGTGCCGGCACGCGCGCCGCGCCGCGAACCGACGCGGCCAGAGTCACCGAGCGCAGCAGACTCTGAGGAGGCGGCAGAGGATGAGGATAAGAACAGCGTGCCTGATGACAAATGTAGGACTTGGATGGCACGGTGATAAGCGGACATCTCATGCATGGTGGAAAGGTATCAGGGAAGGGGGAGGGGTTCATCAAGACTCCAAACTCTGGTCCAGGCAAGACCCGCTATGCGTCATTTGACCACGAAGACGGCGGGACCGGACGGGCCGATGTCTGAGAGCCGCTATTATCACGGCCATGCGGGACCATGAGTTTTGCCGATCGATTGATTCCAGTGATATGGCCAACAGGGGTACGGACGTGCAGGATAGATCTTGAAGGAAATTTATGACCCTTAGTCCCTTACCTTTGTAAACGTCTGAACTCCATGAATGGCTGACGACAAAGTATCCACGATGACCGCCTGACACATTTGGTCTTGAAAGGGGACCCTAGTTTCCTGTTTTTGCATGATCAGACTACAGTTTAATCCACTAATGAATAGGCTATGAAGTGCAGTGGACGTTTGTGTCCTGCCCCAGCCAAGCTTGAGCCTTGCTTGATGAGGTTAGAGAAGAGTGATTCGCCTTGCACCGTTGACCGTTCAGAAACAGGACCACTTTGGCTTCCAAGCAATGCATCAATGCAATTGTGCAACATTTGTTATTTTTATTTACAAATTACAGTGTCGTGCACGACAAGGGTGCACGATTTGTATAGGCTCAGTTTCCCAGTTTTATTTTGCTTGTTCGTTTTTAGTAGCGTTTCTGACGCAACAAGGACGAATTTGGCAAGTAATTACATCTTTTTGTTCCTATGTTTATTTGTTTCCATTTCAGAGTTTATATATAAAAAATAGTAAAAGATGATTTTGAGTTTAAATAAAACAAATTAACTCCAAATCACGGTAAGAAAATACGTAGTTTAAAATGTCACCGCTAGGTGCACCACATGTTGTTGCAAAGAAAAGTTTAGCAGACTCGACAACTTGACCCGACCAAATTTCTTTCGTCTTCTTTTTCGGTGGGATTTGCTGGTATGGGGCTGTTTTACTCTTCAATTTCTTATTTTGTGATTACATGGCCCTTGTTCGTTTCTGGATAGCTTGAGAGTGTTGTTTCTAACCGTTGTTGGTATTGCTGCAACGTCAAAGGCATCGTACTCTATTATTACTAGTGCGCCAGTATCGTCTGCTTTTGATTTTGCCTGACCTTTGCTCAATTGTCATTTAGTTTCATGATATTTTCTAACAAAAAACTATTTCTTACATATAGTCTAATGTGAGTGCTATTGTAAATTGTAATTGTACTGCGTAGTTTGTGTATCATGCTTTCTGGGTTGAGGAATGAGTTTGTCAGCAATGCCACAACATTACCTTTGACCTTTGGCCCTGTTTTATGGCATGACGCTACAATGTGCTAGCTAGGCTGCAGTATTTGTGAGCCATCTGAGATGAATTTGCCTCTTCAAACTTGGATGGCTTACAGATGATGCTCCAGCATTGTGAGCGTCTGAGTCTGTGGATGCTTCTGTGGGAGCCCAATTCACTGGTACCACTGGTACGCGTAGCATGCTCACACTGTAGGTAGCGCCTTGCTTTGAAACCGGACTCTTGATGTAGATTTCCTCTGCCTTTGTGAAATTGTGGATTGATAAAGTGTAGGCACAATGCTGCAGAAGAAAATGATTTATTGAAAATACAGACCACAGTGAGAGCAACTGAACACAGCCATCACAGCAACTCAAACTGAACAATTCAAATTGGTCTTGTGGCCATTTTTTCCAATTGTGTGGATATCAACATTATGTGGTTAGAGTAGACTTTAAATTATGTGGGCTGGTGTAAATTGGAATCATGATTGGTGTGGGTTGGCAGATATTTTAAGTCTGGCTGACACAGCTTATTAACTGTTGCCATGCTTTGCAATGTGGTTCATGAGTTATTGGTTCTAATCTATGTACATTGATAAATTATCGCTTTCGTTCAAATATATGTTATGGGCGCAAAATGACCTCGTAGTCGGCGCGCCCCTAACCCCCAACAAACAAAAATTATCGCTTTCGGAAAAAATATGCTCTTGTCAAACTCCTACACATCTCAGCTGCCATTCACCTCTAGATGTCTGTCAAAACACACTACAGTTTGGAGCATTCTTGGAATTCTTCAACTACTTATGTGCACAAGTGATGCATATCAGTCGGGGAAACTATGGTAAAATCTGCTATTTTTAGCAGTCTGCTATTTTTAGCAGAAATCTGCTAAAAATGGGTACGCATGTGACGTCATCGTACCCAAATATAGCAGATTTGGGTACGGCCCCATACAAAAGCAGATCTGCACCCTAATTGAAGCAAATGCGCATCAAATGCCTGGCAGATTCATGATTAGAATAGTGCTGAGGATGTCCTCTGATATTTTTGTTCAGATCCGACTTTTTCAAATAACGAATTTGAAAATAGTCGGATCTGAACAAAAATAGCAGAGATCACTCTCAGCACTATTCTCATCATGAATCTGCCAGGCATTTGATGCGCATTTGCTTCAATTAGGGTACAGATCTGCTTTTGTATGGGGCCGTACCCAAATCTGCTATATTTGGGTACGATGACGTCACATGCGTACCCATTTTTAGCAGATTTCTGCTAAAAATAGCAGACTGCTAAAAATAGCAGATTTTACCATAGTTTCCCCAACTGATATATGCACCTATATGCACAGCAAGGGTTTGCTACAGCAAGGATTAGTTGCACAGCAAGATCAGTTGGCTGAACTGCACATTTCAGCTGCCATTCACCTCTAGCTGTCTGTCTAAACACACAACAGTTTGGAGCATTCTCAGAATTCCTCAACTACATATGTGCACAAGTGATGCATATATGCACTTACCGGGTGGCCCAGAAAAAACGTTCCCAACTTTAAATCAATATTTCTCAGAAAGTGATAAAGATACAACATTGAAACTTCGAATAGTCAATGCGGCACACATTTTCAGTAAGTGGTGTGATTTTCATGGTGTTCGGTAAATTACTTTTTAAACGGTTCGTGTTTCAAGCATGCCATGTAAAAATTACTTTTTTGCTCCGATGTTTACTAAAAAAAATGTGAGTGAACGGGTCACTTTCACCCCGCGGCACCGCGGCCTAGAGCCATGACTTCTACTGGCAGCTAGTCTCATTGATGGTTCGGGTCTCAGGATGACACATTCCCTCAGGCAACCGCGATGGCTCTGTGCCAGCGGCATCGGAAGAAGTTTCCAGTTTTCTAACCATCTTGTGGCTCAAATGCTTTCCTGGCTGACATTCCTGGGAAAAGGTAGCTTTTCAACCAGTTTTTTTTTTTGTCATCTGCTGGCAATGTTGCTTTTCAATTTTCATAAGCAATTCTGTGGTCTTCTGGCAAAGGAACCAGTCTGCTTTAGTTTGTTTTCCTTATCCGGTCGATTTACTGTTTGATCTACTGAAAGGAGGTTAATCAGCAGTAATTCATGCACCGTGCCACTCCTGCTCGAAACACGATTTGGTGTTGAAGCGAATGGCATCCATGAGCACCATTTTGGCTTAGTATTTGAATATTTGGCACATATGTGTGACAAAAAATATTTAAAATAAGAACATACGTGTTGGTCTCATTCACGTGCTCTATTTTTTATTCTTTTTTATCATATAGGACGTCTAGCCCAATCATCACTATCGTTTGACATCGGCAAAAAAAGCAAAAACGTCTTGCTGAATTCAACTCAAGATTCCCAGCTTGAAAATGATGGTATAGTGTTATAATTTGGCATACCAATGCGCAAAGAAATGACGCAATCTTGATGAAAATTTTGGCTCGTTATTTGTACTCGAATTTGATATATAGGCCTCCAAAGTTCGGAACGTTTTTTCTGGGCCACCCGGTATATGCACAGCAAGGGTTAGCTACAGCAAGGATTAGTTGCACAGCAAGAATAGTTGGCTGAAATACTGGCTTTTGATTGAACTGCTGGGATACATATTCTGCAATGGAGTATGCAATGTAACTATTCACAGCTACATACCAAAGTTTTAACAGCACAATGTAATTTCTGTCTAGCTGCCAAGGTCGATATTTAAAGAGAGGTTGGCAAGCGGCTGGTGTAGTGAACTTCAATAACGTTGACTGGGATCGCCTCTATACCAGTTCACAATAATCAAACAGGTTGAGCCTCCCCTCCCATTTCTACTTGTTACTGAGCTGTATAGCTCATTTCCAACTAACCAGCTCTTGTCCTTTACAGATCTCAGCTCAAGCCATTCACACACAATGTCTGAGGTCCAGCAGCTGTCGACGGCCCCCTTCGACCCCCGGTTCCCCAACCAGAACCAGACCAGGTGAGTGACCTGCTGAAAAAGAGAACCACAAACCATTAGCGTCGCCACGGGGGGGCAAGCGGGGCAGCTTGCCCCCCCCAACCTCGGACCGGGCACCCCCTGAGATCGATACAGATCCGATGAGATTTTGGAGTCGGGAAAAAATGGGGGTACCTTTCTGAGAATGCCTGTGAGGTCAGACTCGTTCAAGCCAGAGTCGGAGTCGCAGTCGTCAACATCGTCAAAACACCGACTCCAGACTCGGAAGTGTCAATACTGTGATTCATTTCATGTTCCTCGTTGGTTTTTTATTACATTTTATAGCTGATTTTCATAAGTTTTGAAGTGCTGATACAAAATTTGCGTTCAAAGCGTGACACTGAATCTTCGGGCCTTTCTCAACTCTCGTCAAATGTCTGCGACAGACTCAAGTACCGTTCAAGTGCCACAGGGCTCATGACTGCTTGCTTTTCACACAGGCTCCGAAGGAGCTCCACTGAGCTCTAAGAAGCCTTCAGAGGGCCCAAACCGGCCTCTGAGAGTCCCACTGGTGTTCATATTCTCTGAGGGCCCATACAGGAATCTTTGAGGACCTTACACATGCGTAGACCTCTGAAGGGCCGCACGGATCTTTGAGGATACTTTCAAATATTTCTGAGAACCTTAGGCCTCTAATAGCTCAGCCGAGCTTTTGAGGCGACAGATTTTGCTGAGCCTAAGCCTGCAGTTTAGGGGTCACGACTCGGGTGTGCCTCTGAGGGTCCCAGCACATGTTTCTTATGTCCCTATGTAGGGTCCTTAACCCTATTCCTGGCGGGGGGGGGGGGCCTCAGGAGCCCCCCCTGAGGTTTTTTGGTTATATCTCCCAAACGCGTTGAGCTAGGAAGCTCAAATTTTCTGACTTTTCCTAAAAGGCTTCTACGCAACATGTCTGAAAATTTTGAGTTGATCTGACCTCAGGTCAGGTCACCAGAGGCGGTTTGGTGACGCTACCTCAGAAAAGTTTGCAATCACGCCAGAGCTAGAGTTTTTGACCGATCAATTTCTTCTCTTCAGGATTTAGTTAGGGTACCAGTATGTGCAATTTGTTTATCTCGGAATTTTGATATCGGTGACCTAAGGTCAGGTCAATTTCGCGACCTCCCCATTATAAGTCAATGGGGGAAAAATCAACTTCCTGTTTTTACCACTAAAACGGGTCGGAATGGCCCCATATACCATAAATGACTTCATATACGATCAACCTTCACTACCTTGAGGTCTGTTTTGCTGTTGGGCAGCTGTGAGGTCATGTGACGTCATCAAAGGTCACCAAAGGTTTTTGGCCAATAACTCCATACAGGAACAAGATGCAGACGCGTGGATGGTCTCATTGTGTTCAGCTCATCAAGACGCATCGAATGATATACATGATGACCTCGAGGTCACGTGACCTGAGGTCAACCTTTGACCTTGACCTTTCGAGGTCAACATATATATCATTCGATGTGGATTGACGAGAGGATCACGATGATGCCCTTAGTTTGTTCCTATCTTCACTAATTCGAAAGTTATTCGAGAAAAACTCTCTCCATATCTAGTGCCGCCATTTTGACTTTTTCGACCCCTGTGACGTCAGCTTTGACCTGACCTGAAAATGACCTTAGTAAAAATTGTAGATCTTGGCCGTGCGTATCCGATGCCGTTTACCGCTTGTCGCTATCTTGCTTCGTTCTCGAGATCTCAGGGGGGGGGGCCGAATCGCCCCCCCCCGCCAGTTTCTTGTCCCGGCGGAGCCCGCCAGGAATAGGGTTAAGGATTCGACACAGACCTCCAGGGTTCACACTGCTATTTGAGGGCTCCCTGCTCACCCTGGGCCTGGTCTCTTAGCGCCCGCCCACACTGGCTTCTGAGGGTCCCACCTTGGGCTCGGAAAGCCCTAAAGCACCACATATGTACACGTAACTATTTGGGGTGACCAGCGCCGATTTTCAGGATCCTAAGCAGGCTTCTGAGAGCCCACACTGACCCTGAGTGGCCTAAAATGGCCTGGAAGTCCCAAGCCTATCGCTAAAGGATCCCTTGCCGCTATGCCGTGCGAAATTTTGGTTCCGTTAAACGTCTTTTCTTCGCGTTTGCAGCGCTTCCCTACACACGAAAAACGAGAAACTTTTTGTTCACACTACACCTCCTCTCACTGGAGCAAAGATGAATTACTTCCGATTCACACTTCCGACATTCACTCTCCGCTGAAAGCCCTACTTAGCTTCAATCGGCGGCTGGGATAAGCCCTATGCATTTTACGTAGAACCTCTGCATGCATGCGTGAATGAAAGTTTCAGCAAGGTGATTCGCTTAAGCTGAGCGTTTAACCTTTTTATGATCATGAGCGACGAGCGTCTGCACAGGGGCTCTCCAGAGTGCGTCGGCAAGCGCAGCCATTGTGATTCTACCGGTCGTTTTTTGTTCAAAAATTTAAAAAAAAATAAATTTTCTGTAAAAAATGGCAAGTCATAGCTACAAGGAAAACCTTGTCACCATCGTATTCCTCGCACCATTGCGCGTTGAATGATATGTAAAATGAATGAGTAACGACTGGAGGAAGGCAAGATTTAACACAAAAGTTGATTTTGCCCCCCCAACCGAAAATCTCTGGCGACGCCTATGCCACAAACTCATCAGGGCCCAATCTTACAAAATGCCGTGAATGCGCATTCACAGCATTTGGTAACATTCAGAACCACTCCACATTCACTTATTCATTCGTTCAGGCGACATTCATAATCATTCACGCTATCAAAATCATTGGACAAGATTAGCTGGGTGTAAATAAAAAGGATATCTATTATCTTTGATATCAGTGCCGTAAACTCTGTCCAGTGCTGCCAAATCCTATTCACGGCATTGGTAAGATTGCGCCCAGGAGTGCGACGTTCGAGTTCTGTGACATGAGATAAGAACTATTCACAAGTCGAGGTAACGTTAACGGACCTGGCGGCTGGACTATGTCGGAGTTGAGTGGGCACAATATTGCCTGATTTTTGCACGTTGTGCTGTGGTCGTCAAACACTGAGCAGTGAGCATTGCATTGTATCCATCTGTATGGCAGACTGTTGGCCAGCAAGTCCGGTGGTTGCGAACATCAATGTTCATGATACCAGTGTCGTTAGTAAGGCCCTGTGGGCTGTGGCTCTGTCGAACCCAGCAGCTCAATGAATCTCGGACGCACCCGTGTAACGCCACACTGCCCGCAGGCACTGCTACTCATCGTACGTCGACTACCACCGGTGCATCCGCAAGAAGGGCGAGGACTACCCGGCCTGCGAGTACTTCCGCAAGGCCTACCGGTCGCTGTGCCCCAACTCGTGGATCGAGAAGTGGAACGACCAAATGGAGGCGGGCACGTTCCCCGGCAAAATCTAAACGGGTCGCGGGGCCGAGTGTGCTATTGGACAATGTGGACGTAATGGTTGGATGTGAATTTACACAGATCAATAGACCGATGTAACGGGTGCTGCGTGTTTGGGATCATGGGAGACGCTGCGGAATGTGCATCGATCCTGATAATAAATATCGGCTCTGGTTCAGGGTTGATTTTGGTTGTCGCTACCACAGCCACACCTGCTAGGGGTTTTAGTTGCGTTGATTAAGCTGCACTAAAGTGTCCAATCATAGGGCGTTCATCCATGCAATCTGATCGGACGTGGAAACTGGGAGAGAGCATACTGGGCACGAGCATCATTGCGGTGAATCGCCATGGCGCTATACACCTGCACCTTACGCACCCTCCTCAAAGGCGGTACCTATATGACGTAACCGACTGATTTGTGTTATTTGTTTTCCCGGAGACTGACCGCAACATCATCTGTCTCGGTTCACCAGTGTCACACACTAAAAAGAAAACGATATTTTATTGAAAAATACTCAGCAGCGCTTATCACCATATCACTTCATTTTATCATGACTCAATGGTGCTTCACATCATAGAGAACGAACGTCGCAACTCGCTTCATTTCACGTAAAAAAAGCCCTGCTCATTGATACCTCAAGGCGGCGTAATGAACTACAGTCATGTTTACAAGCACCTTCCACAGTCGAGAAAGAGTAACAAACGAAAAGCATGTTGCGTCATCTCGATGCATTTAGGATATGGAAAGTACCCTGAACGCGATTAAGTGAATAAGATGTGATGTGGACCCTAGTTTGCAAAGTTGGCTCGTGTACGAAATCACAAAGGACGAGGAATATAAGTACGCACAGATACTGCTAGAGTGAATCCCTAATCCAGTCTCCAAACAATACACAAGCAACTGGCAACTATAGATTAACTACGAACATGCTGATTTAGAAGAAGTACATGGACACCGATCGACAATCATACCCTAAGGAATCTTACACCACGTCACTTAGAAGACTGTGTATAAAACGAAGTATCGCTTACATCCCGAGAAGAAAGACAAAAAAAAAAAGAAAACATTCGAGGCAGTCTTAGGCAAACCTTGACACAAGCCGTACCTGTCTTGTGTAACAATGTTCAAATACGATCGCAATAACGTGAATCCGTAGCCTCCTCCCTGGTCCACAACACGTTTGCTTACAACTGCTGATCCAGGGTGACAGTTGACCATCGCCACAAAACATTTGTTCAGGCCGTTGACCTTCGCGAAACATTTTTATCACTGAATAACATTCATCAACATCGCTATCACGCATCATACATCGGGATTGAAATAGAGTGCACATTCAAATCACCATCTATCACACATTGTTGTAGGATCACCATCCTGATGACTGATTCACCAAACTTAGCTAGCCTCTGACACAAAAGACTCGTACTTACTCCACGTAACAATTTACCGCCCAGTACTCCATAGATCTCCACTGCGCCGCCCGCCCGGCACCTCATCGCAGCTCCTCACGAAGCACCCACCATCCGACCTTATCGGCGCCCCTCTCAAACTCGCATATACCCGTCAGCAGCGCCTTGAAGAGCGCACTCTGCTCGGGAGGCAATCGTGCCTTGAACTCTCCCAGTAGCTCGCTCGTACTCGCACGCCCGTTAGTATTCGTCTGAAACGCCACAAAGTTCCGAATATCCGCTAGTAGATCGGCGTGCTCCTGCGCCACTTCCACCGCCTCTGCGCCATCCTCGCCGTCGGCGCGGCGTCGGATGCGCGCCAGGAGCTGTGCGGACGAGAGTGGCGCGTTGTCGGCACTGGCGGCGTTGCTGAGAGCGCCCAGACCCAGTGCCGCCGAGCCGCCGAACAGGTTAGGTGCGGCGGTCGGTGCGAAGGTCGGGGCGGCGGCCGGGCGGGCAGGACGACGCGCGGTGTCCGGAGCGAAGAGGGCAGGTAGAGACGGAGCGGCCGGCTTCTTCACAGGGGGTGGAGGGGGAGGTGGCGCCGGCTTGGCCGCCAGCAGAGGGTTCTTCTTCTGACCGAAACGCGGTCTGCGGAACACAGAAAGGGAGTCAGTGATGTTATCATTCGGCTCGGCAAAACTTTGGTAACAAGTTCAATACAGACGTAACAGAAGAATCACAGGGAAAAATAATTCAAGACATTCATGGGAAGATAAAACAAAAAAGCGTCTCCTGATGAGAGTATGTCGCCTTATCTCCGTGCGCACTGTTAGGCGCCGCCCTATTTCAGCGGACGAGCTCTCTGAGTTCGCGATCATCAGGGTCAGTTATCAGGCGACCACTGATAACGTTCGCTCACAGGCGCTGAATCAACAGCGCGGTATCAATCGGCTCGGCAGTTCTGGTGAGCGATTGGATGGTCCGTAGCTGGAGATATTGTAACTTGTAAGCATATTAATTGTAACTTTTATATCTATGCTATCATACCCAAGCAAAGCACTGCAGATGAATGCTGAAAAGAAAAAAAGGAGCGAAAGACGGATGATGTCCCGACTTTGCTCCTTTTGAGTCTAAAGCTGTGCGACAGGTGCGTGCTCTTTTGTTTTGTTCAAACACCTAAAAATGTACACAAGTGACCCTGACGGTGACCGCTACATATTCAGGCTTCTGTCCTCATGTTCGGTACACAACCAAAGCGTCGATGAGGTGTCACTCCCTACCATATCCGCCACACAACGCTTACTTGGTGGGTATGCCTGCCCGTCCGCTCTGGCCGGTCCAGGTGGGTGTACCGATACCGGCGGCCCGCACCTCCCTCCTGCTGGCGCGCAGGGCCGCCACCGCCTCCTTGGCCACCTGTGGAGGGAAAGAGGGCATTAAGTAAGGGATGAATAATAGGACACGATGTCCTGGGCTACCGCCTCAATTGCCACCTCGGCTGGCGGAAGGAGGGCGGTTGGTGGGGACCAACGATAGAACATTGTGTCCGAATGTGCCCCTGCGATACTTTGGGCTTACTCGGCCAGAATTATTCCGACCTGTGACTCACAGTACATGCAGCTATAATACTTCCCTACCGCCCGGTCCCGTTCACATCACCAGTTTGTGTTACCCGAGCTACCTTCCTCTCCGATACAGCCTTTCACCGTACCCCTTTCAGACCAAAGCGAATATCCAGCATCCCAGCCGGGCTACCTTCCTCTCCAGCCCTAAGCGTAACCCCTTCTTCTTCTTCTACACGTCACGCCGTGGCCGCCGGGGCGGCCACGGCCGTGGCCGCGTCGACCGGGGGGTCGACACGGCCCACCCGCCGCAGAAACTCGAAGATGAGAGTCGCTGATCCGCCCAGCACATGCCCCAGGCTCGGCAGAGGTCCGCCCCACAGGCGGGACCTCATGTGGGCGTACGCTGGGCATTCGGTCAGCAAGTGTGCTACCGAGTCTTCCTCCTCGCAGTTCGGGCAGTCGGGGTTTGTCGCAAGACCGATCTCGTGGAGAGTCTTCCTTGTGAGCACTGATCTTCCCACTCTCAGTTGAGACAGTGTCACCTGCTCCCACCTGGTCAGGTCCTCGTGTCCGGGCGTGGGTGGTAGGTGAGGATGAGCTTTGGCTCGGGCTGCGGTCCACTCGGCGGATCTGTGGCGTATCGCCGCTCGGGCGCCGGCCATGTCCAGCGGGACCGCTGCCTGGCTTAGCTCTGCCGCGGCTCGGTTGGCTAGCCTGTCGGCGTCCTCATTACCAGGGATGCCAGCGTGCCCCGGTACCCACTGGAGGGTGACGTGCTTCCCGGAACACGTGAGGTCATGGAGAGAGGCCCAGATGCTCGCCGGTAGCTCCTCCTGTTGGGCTGCCTGCCCGCGCTGGAGCGTCTGTAGACACGCCCTGGAGTCCCCGGTCCTGCTCCACTCTCAGGCTATCACCCCCGCAAGCTACCTTCCTCTCCCATCTATCTAGCCCTTCACTGTATCCCTTTCAGACCCCAGCCCATCCCTAGCGTCCCACCTTGGCAGCCTCCGCCTCCAGCACTGCGCCGTCGTGCGTGCCGTGGCTCTCTATGACGTCATGGCGGACCGCTGAGTGCACGCCCGACTTTTTGAACAGCTTCGTGAGCACGTAGTCGTCCTGTCGGCACGGAGGACGGTCAGTTGAATGACATAGCCCGCTGCATTGCCCACAATGAAAAACGTTTTTCATCATATTGCGGCTGGCCCAGAAGTCGTAAAATGACACGGGCGTGATACTCGTAACTATCACAATTTGATGAAAGCTTGCTCCCTATTTAGGAAAAAAATATTTAGCACCACAACCAAACGATACAATAGGCATAATTGAGGCACTCAACTTTACAGAGTTCAGTGTTTAAATCCTCGTGTAAAGTGTTTAAATCTACGCTAATAAACAGCATTGCTATTCCTCACATTTCTGTTGCATCTATGCTTTTACATAGAAGCTCGCTCCCTTCCGCCCAATGACCCGCGCATTGAGCGGACCGACGGCCCCCACCGCAGACTGACCTGTGACCGGTCACTGGGGTCGGCGTCATCTGTCTGAGGCGGCCGGTAAACCTCGCTATCCACCAGACCCTCCACAGCGCCGAGCAGCGGGTCGCTCCGCCGCTGTCGTCGCCGGCGACGCCTCTCTTCTTTAGCACTATCCTCCCTTCTTTCGCCGTTTCGTGATCGTTTTCTTTCATCTCTTTCTTTTCTTTTAGTGCGGTCGAGGTGGCTTTCCTTGCGTTTCTTGGGCTCGTATTCTGGTGACCGACTGAGTTTGGAGTTGAATGAAGTTGTCACGAGTCTAGAGGAACTGCTACCCGCTACAGCTGCAGTCGATGATGATGTACCGAGCATCGACTGGTCTTCAGCGCGATCTTGGCTAGATGAGACAGGTGAAGAGCTTGCTTCGTCTTCAACTAGCTCTCCTTCCTCCACGTTTGCTATTTCTGGCCCTGTCGCCTTTCCGGTGCGTTCCGACTCCAAGACATCTTCCTTGCTCTCTGCTGCTAGGGATGCAACCGCCACCCCCGGGTTTTCAGCTTCCAGACCTGTTGGTATCCTCCCGTCCTCCATGGAAGCTCCATCGGTGTCTCTCCTAGCTCGCCCTGCGATATCTTCATTGTCATCTTTTCCAGTAACCTTCGACGTCACAAGACCGTCTCCGTTATTCACGGAGATCGGTTGTCCCTTCGTCGTCCTCACGGCGTCCTCTGAAATACCATCGCACGTTTCCTGGGAGCTTTCCACGATCTCTCCAGTATTGACCCCATCAGTTGCTGGTATGCGCCCGGCTGCATCTGAGGACCCGTCCCCTCCCTCCGACTCCCCACTCCTGTTCTGTGTCGTGCTCTTTGCGCTCGTCTGAGGCGCATAGCCCCCAGTGAACAGCTTTCGGTTCAGTTTGCGGGCTTTTTCAAGAAGCTTGCGTCTGCGTCTTTCGGCCTCGAGAAGCTTTTGTTTTTCGCGTTCTTTCCGCAGTTTCTTTTCCTTCTGACGCCGAGCCTCGAGAACGGCCGCATTCACCTGGGAATTGAGACCGCATCGTAAGCCAAACTGTCCATCGTGACAGCCACGTAATGTAACTCGTCCTGCTTGAAGCTCAGAAACTTTAGCAGCAAGCAACTTAACCCTCTCATAAAGTTCCTCCAAAACTCAAAAGTAACTAGACAACCATCAGAAGACATCAAAATACATATACAACTCAGCTGTATCAAAATACATATACTGAACTCAGCTGTATCAGCTGATGAGTCATCTCCTCCCGTAGACCTCGACATTTATACCCCACTCAACTCTATCTCCACACCCCCTCCCTCTCTCCATCACTCACCTGGCTCCCAGAGAACATCTCTGCTGTCTCCGTGGTCTGCGAGACCACCGGCCGCTGCCTGCCGCCCGCGGACCCCGCCGCTGATCCCCCATCGTCCTCCGGTGCATCCTCAGTCAGCGTGAACAAGTCGTGCAGGTCATTTGTCTTGAAGAAGCTGCCGCAGGAGTCAGGTAGATGAAGAGCGAGCTACCCATACCAATTGAGTTGCCGAAGCCGAACACATACAAATTGAATTGTCTGTTAATTACATAAACATCAATTATGTCAACTGTGATTGATGCAATCACTAGATGACTGAGATTACATTGTTCATTTAACACGCGCAGTGGAAGGGTTGCGAGTACTACGCCCAGTGGAAGGGGGGGGGGGGGCGGATGTCTCCCCCCCCCTAAGATCTCAGCTCCCACTGGAGCTAGAAAAACGAAATTTGGAGGGTAGGTGGGGGCCATGGGGAACTCTGTTGTGTGTGAATTTCATGACCCTAGGTCAATATCTTCAAGGTCAAATGAGGTCAAATGTGGTCAAATCTGCCATATTTGCGACTTTTTTGCGTTTACACGCCGATTACTCAAAAAGTTATCGGCTGATTTTCTTTTTTCTTTCACTATACGTAGGACCAAACATTTGTGAGTATGTATGGTGAATTTCTAGTTAATCCAACAATAAATATGGCAGTTAGAAGCCTGCTAAGGGTAAGATGTCGCCGGCTGAAGCGGGATCGGCCGACGCGGGAAACGCGGCAATCACAATTTTGTGTTTACACACTCATAACTCAAGTTGTTACCGGCCGATTTTCAAAATTCTTTGACCATATGCTTGCCTGTACATTTCTCAGTCTTCTCACCAAATTTGACGCGAATCTAATGTAATCAGCGGTAAGGAGCGCGATGTAAAGACGGAACCGTCCCGCCCCGGCACAGTCTACAATTCAGGCGGCGCGTAACGGCTAGCGCCGGCCGCCGCGCCGCCGCCGCGGCAGGATGTTTGACTTTACACCGCTATTACTAGAAAAGTTGTGAACCAATTTTCTTATTTCTTGCACGGGAAGATCCGCAATTCAATTCTGGACAGGTAGCCAAAATTTCACATTAATATTATGTTTGCAGCGCGAGTTATTGGCGAAAAACAGGAGGGGTGGGCGAAATCCGCCCCCCCCCCCTTCCACTGCGCGTGTTAATGGATGGATGTCAAAACAAGCCTATCTGAGTACATCACAAACATGAATTCTTGTAAGATTAGCCCACCATTATTGACATGCAGCGACACCTGGCTGGCTCAAAACGGGACACTCCTCTGTCCCTACGGATTCAGTGAGAAAATAGTCAGTCTGTGCCAAGTCCCCGTCATGCACCGTCCCCCGGCACACCTCCGCCAAGCTCACCGCTGCTGTTTGGGGTCCTTGAGCACTCGGTTGGTGAGGAACTGCTTGAAGATCTGCCGGTGGTAGATCTTCTCCTCGATGGTGCCCGCCGTCAGAAGTCTGCGGCGAGGGTGGCTCGTCAGGACCGGGCAGTAGTAGGTACAACTACACATCACACACATAATACTGTAATGACATGGTCCCTGCAAGGCCAAAGACCCACTACGATGGTGACAATTGCGAACCTGAGATCACAAAAAAAAAAATACACAGAGCAGTCGCCACTGCACGATGAAGACCTTTCCATCCCACCCATCCGCAATTATTCCCTCTCCAACGAGAATCTGTCATCAAAACCCCCAAACGTAACATACTCAAAACACACCGACTTCACATTGACATATCACAGTCCAGTATTCCAGATCCTCGTATATGAGGACACACAGAGGGACCGAGACAGACATACAGACAGACAGACTAGAGACAGACTAGAGACAGACAGCCCCGGGCCCAGCCTCAGACCTGTAGATGGTGACGTGCCGCCCCTGGCCGATCCTCCAGGCCCTCTCTCGGGCCTGCTGGTCAGTCGACGGGTTCCAGTCCGGGTCGTAGATGACGATACGGTTAGCACCTGGGGAACAAAGTTTATGTGAATAACAAAGCATCTTCTCGCTAAGCAGCGAACATGCATTCTTTGGGAAACGACGGCCAAGCGTTCCTAGCTGAAGCGTCAATTATAAGACGAATACATGCATCAAATGTCCCGCATCAACCACATTGGTACCCAGTCCTACGTTCTAGCCAAACTAAAACCCAGTTCTCTAAAATCGTACCAAACTGAAAACCTGGGTCTTGCACCAGATTGGCGTCCCTGTCTCATATCCCGTCACTTTTATTGTAACAGACTATCACCTAACTATCTTTACTGGCCAATTCAAATGATCAAATCTCTTCTTTACCAGCCACCCTGCCGCCTCATTTCCCGTACCAGTCAGGTTGACACCCAGTCCTCCGACTCTCGTGGTCAGCAGAAAACAGAAAATGTCCGGCTCGGCGTTGAACCGCCCGATCAGCGACTGTCTGGAGCCGACTGAAGTCGTGCCGTCCATCCGCAGGTAGCTGTAGCCGCGCTCGGCCACAAACGCTTCGACGATCGACAGCATCTGTCAGAAGAGACAATAGGGTCAGAGTACAAGAATGAGTGAGGGTATATTAAAGCTGTACACTGTACAGGACAGCTGAGGTTTATGATACGTAAGCTCTACAAAGCAAAGCACTATAATAAATGTACAGTGGGACACATATTAACAAAAAATAAATGATGATGGCTAGTGAATTGGACGATAAAAAACTGCACAGCAGGTCAGCAGATTCCGTTCAATCAATGTGTTCCCAATCGCTTCAAACCAAGGCTTACAAAGAAAGTAACTTGTTTGGACACTCATGCATAAAGCAGAGTACATACAATAAAAACGATAAAAGTATAACTAGATGGAACAAAGCCGACTACCCGGAACAGCGCAGTCCGCAGCTCACAGTCCCCACGACAGACGGGACTACCCCCGTGTCACCCACCCTATAACCACACCCCCCCCCCCCCTTCTTCCCTAACCGTCACCCACCTGCCTGCTCTGTGTGAACAGCAGCACCTTGTGCTCCTGACGGCGCCACATGGCCAGTAGAGTGGACAGCACCACCATTTTACCGGCCAGTCGCCAGTGGCCGAACGGCGCCGGCTCGTCACCCGTCTCACCGGGCCGCTCACCGCCGCCAGTCAGCAGGTCCGGGTGGTTACACAGCTTCCGTAGTGCCGTCAGACCCACAAATACCTGCGGGGCATGGTGTGCTGTCAGAGAACGACGCAGGTGCCGCTTGAGCACCGTGACACCAATTAACACCTGGCCAACACATAGGTGTCGTGAGAGAACGACGCAGGGGCCTCATGAGCGCCGTAAGACTAGTAAACACCTAGCCAACAAGTCCAGTTGCGGTGACAGAACGACGCAAATACCACATGAGAACTGTCAAGCCATAAACACCTGGCCAGCTGAAACCAACTGCCGCGAGAAAGCCCAGGGTAGGTACAGCTTGGCGAGACAGTTATTGATTGGGAGATAGTGACAGCCGCGGGATAGGGTCTATATTGAGATGGTGAGGCCAGGTCAGGAGGATGCCAAGGAAGGGTGCCAAGGAACCAGAAGTTACCGATAGTGAGGCCCAAAAGAACGTCTCTTATTGGCGTGTTGCCTTTCATATGGGTATTTGAAGTCAAGACATCATTGAATTTGTTGCACATATGCTACTGCATTCGGATCGTGCATATAACACACTTTGTAAGGCTTACTTTGGATAATGTTTTACCATTAACCATAGAACGCCCTGGCGACTAATCCTTAGGCTACCACATTGGGCAGACACCTGTTCAGTGTTCCCGTCTCTTATTAACGTTAAAAAATTCATAACGCATGTCCATGATTCCTTACCTTCATGTTGCCCTGCATGATCCTCCTGAGGCCATCCGAGTTCAGGTAGTCCTGGTACAACTGACGCTGCACGTCAGTCAGACGGCAGAACAACACCTGTAAGACACGGCAAAGACGATAGTCAGACGACAAAACAATACCTGAGCGGAACAGAATCAACGTCAGTCAGACGGCAGAACAACACCTGTACGGCACGGTAAAAATGACAGTCCCAGGACGGAACAACACCTAAACGGTACAGTCAAACAATCAGACGATAGTCAATTTGCATATTTACCTTATGGTAAATATTCAAATTGAATGTAGGTTACATGCATTACCTACATTGACATCTATACAACTTATTGTACTAATTCTTATAATACTCTAGTCCGTGCTGTTTCCTGAGGTTCTGTCTGGCAACAAGCCTAGCTTAGCCGGACGGAGCCAAGGGTTTCGGCAATAAAAATAACCTTGCAAGAACATGACCAGGCATGCTTTTCCCCACCTTGAGTATGAATGCGTATTGCGTTAATTACTAACACTGGTATAAATGATAGTTGCTTGTGTTGGTATAGTGGGCAGTCATTTTGCTTCACTTGGCAATGACTACTTTCCTCCTTTTTGGCGTACTTACTAACATTTTTTAGTAGTATTGCATGCGTTATATTTTATTTATATTTTCCACTTCTTAGCAGGGAGTGCCGCGACTTGATCAATTTATTATGTTACCTGGTGTTAAAGTAAGGTCTCTGTGCGTCGCCGGGACTGTGGGAGGGGCACTCCTGGTTACCTGATCATGGGTAACGGACTATCTTAGAAAAAAAATAGTAAGACGACAAAATTACAGCTAAACCACGCAGCTAAAACGCGATCCAGAAAAAAGAGGTGAGAAACGGCAAAAATGGTGAAAAAATATGAGCGATCAGGAAAAAACGGAAGTAACACCAGCAAAACTAAAAATGAACCACGCACTCAAAAGCGTACGCTACAGAAAAAACACGTTTTTTATCATGACAAACACTCATCCCTCTACTTGCCTGTTCGTTTTTGGTGGGCAGCTGCAGTGTCTGTTGGACGTCTGCCTTCATCCTCCGTAACAGGTAGGGCGCAATCGTGTCCCGCAGCACCTTGGCGCAGCGGTACGCAGTCACCACCTGGCGGCGAAATGGAGAGCCTTTAGTGTGAGAGGTCGATCACAGATGGCACAGCGGTAAGCCGTCACCACCTGACGGTGGACCAGGGATCTATCAGAGAAAGAGGTCGATCATACATGGACAGCAGTAGGCACACCGTTCCGTGCTTCTATCCTCAGGATACTGAAATCCTTCTCCTCCACGCCACACCCCCCTCCGGGCTGGACAGGCAACTTTATCTCATGCGGGCTGCTCCCTTGGAGCGGCACCGCTGCTCCCGAGGGAGCGCACCCCGTAGCCGGGTGCAGTGAGTGCCTTGGGGCTGGGTGGCCTGTCCCCTGGACGGGCTCAGCCCCGGCGACTCACTAGGGTGCCTGCCCAGACCAATGTCTCCCCCTATATCCTATCATCCTCCCGGCTCTGAAATGGTCTCAATGGACCGAAAGGGCCTAACCCAACAAAACAAAAACAAACAAAAAAGCAGTAGGCACGGAGCAGCAAAGCGATTAAGATAATAAATATTAGGAAACGTAAGATTAGGCACTGTATCGAATTCATTATGATCAGACCGGTTTCGGTGTATTAACACCATCATCAGTGAGTAAAAATACAAAAAAAAACATACAAATACATCGCAATCATTCAGTCGTTCGTAATATATGCATTCGAGACACTATAGTCCATTTTTTTTCAAAAGGCTCATGGCCCGAAGTATTATTTTGGAGTTAGCACGTGCGGAACGCTAGAAAATAACGCAAGCCGAGATGAATTTCTCGGCCATTTTTGAAAGATAACCGCAGTGCTACGGAACGACTTGTTCAGTTGAGCTTATATTCTGTGTCACGTTTCAAAATGTTTGTAAATTCATAGATTTGAGCCATTCTGTTAATTTTGCATGCTAATGTAACGTCACTCCTGTAGTAGCCTTGATTCCACAGCCAGCCCATCACTTGAGAAACTAGCAAGCGGCAAATCTTTAACCCTCGCACGACCAGGCCATTTCTCATAACACGAACGACCAGGGGGGGGGGGGGGTTGTTACGACCCCCCCCTGGCGTTTCGAAACGGAAGGTCGTAGAGCTTAGCGGAAAAAACCAACGGATTGCTCTCAACGAGATCTCGCGATTGGTGGTATATTTTTTGGTCATAGGTCAACATTTGACCTACTTTTGACCGGTCAAAGGTCAAATTTTCGGAAAAATAGACTTTTTTCAACTTTCGGCGGCGATTGCGGCAAAACGGTGGGAGATATCGACTTGAAACCTTCACTATCGTGTTCCTTGTCCCATTCTCTATCGTTTGGTATGTATTTCGTTTCCCTAGCTCTAAAAATGGCGCGTTGGGAGCGCCGGAAGTCGGCAAGGTCACAGTCGGCGGCAGAAATTCGAAAAATCAAAATGTAAATTTTTGAAATCTGATTGTATTTTTGGATTTGGGAGGTCCATTTGCTCCCTATAGAAGCTAATATTGCTGCATATTCCCATTGAGGTGACAAGAATTAGCAAAATAGTGGTTCGGGCGCTTTTCAAAAATAGTACCCGACGCTGTTCCTCTTGTGACGTCATAGCTCCGTGACCTGACCTGACCCGGTCAAATTTCTTATACCATATGATAGCCAATACTTGCCCCAACATGCATGGGAAGTTTCATCACGATCCATCAACCGATGTCCGTACCACCGGCCAGGGGCGGATCCAGAAAATCTCCAAGGGAGGGGCCATTAGAAACCAGGAGGCCCCCCCATAATCCCACCTGTTGGAGGCCCCATCTTCCCACTTGTTGGCCCCCCCAAAAAAAACTGCGTCTATTGAGCTTATCTAGCTGTTCAGGCAACATCTCAACATCTGTGCAGGCTTGGAGGCCCTCTGTGCAGGTTAGGAGGCCCTGTAAAAGTGGTCATCTCTGTGAGTATAAGAGACCTCCACGGGCTCCAAGTTATGAAAAGCTTTACCAATCTTCTAACAAAGAAGTCTTCTCAGCTAGTCTTCTAAGAAATAACTAAGTGGGTAGGTTAAAAAAAAACTCATCGGATTTCGGCCACTTTATTTTCAGGAGGCCCCCTTTTCAGCTTTCTAACTTTTTATTTTATTTTTGAAAAAAATCGGCCAAGGGGGGGGGGCCATGGCCCCCATGGCCCCCCCTTGTATCCGCGCCTGCCACCGGCAGGAAACCTCGGGCGTTGGCACTCAGTTTGTGAAAATCCGGCCGGAGGCTGTACCTCTTATGGCGTCATAGCTCCGTGACCTGACATGACCCGATCAATTTTTTTCGGCAAAAGATGCGCAAAGGTTGCCCCAGAGGGTACTGAAAATTTCAGCCCGCTACGACAAGCCGTTTAGCGTGCACTTCGAAAAAGACAGAACAATGATTTTTGCTACTATATTCTGTCGGGGGCCAGAGTTCTGAACGGCAGGCTCATGGAAAACATGTGTCAGCCGCTGAAGCTGGTGACGCTCTATATTGTTGTCTTACATTGTGTTTTCGCATGCTACGTAGAAACTTCGGTCGTCTTTTTAATAACTCCTTCCACCGACTTTTTCCCAATGCAGAAATCGATCGGTCAGTATTGTAATAGGTCGGCAGATATGCTGGCGCATGTTTCTTTTTGTACTTACCAGGAAATAAACTTAAAACAAAATGTCAATCCGTGTGTTATTTTTGTAGGCCTGCAAACAGGTCATCCACGTGATCATTTTAATCATTTGTTTAGTGCCTATGGCTAGACCCCGTGTGGAAGCATTTTCGATTCACAGTTCCTCATTATGTGTCTTATGTCCATACCAGGGTCCATACTTTATCGCAAATCAGAGACCAGCCGACCCTGATTTCGAAACGTGCCAAGCCGGTGTTCGTTGATTTTTGTCAAAACCACCACTTTGCACGTGACAATTCTAAAATCTATTTTCGGGCCGTGCGCCTTTTGAAATAAAATGGACTATAATACAAGAAACAAGTACACTAATTCGTGCTACACAATACGCATGACAGTTATATTTGGACGCCTCTGTTGTATGAAGCGTCACTTATAGGTCACTCATAACACGATATTGAGTGGCAGCGCAGAGTTTTGGAAATTCAGTTTTGGTCTATGTTTGTGGATGTAGAGAGACTCTAATAGCCTAAGATCAAGCTCCAGGTAACTCCTCTGCAGAATTGTAAAATCGTTAATTGAGAAGGCGGTGCCACACTCATCAGAGTGGTCTTTAACTGAAGAGGGCTTTGGGCTAAATACCATTAAGCCAGTGCGGTCAGAAATCCCCATGTGCTGGCACACTCTAGTAGTGAGGCGTACATGAGTGGACCCAATGTACGACTCCCCACACGAGGAGCAACAAAACTGGTATACAACACCAGAGCGGCAAGCTTTGGGAACCCTGTCTTTGAAGTGGAAGATAGAACCGATGGTGAAGGTGTTTCTTAGAATCACCTTGGGGTCAAGATAGGGATAGAAGGACGTCAGTAAAGTTATGAGGTCTTTTCGCAGGCTAAGGGATTGTGCACCAAAGTAAGGTAGTACTAGGTACTTCTCCAGCTTGGGCACGATGACTTCGCTCGATATTGCTGCATATTGTCTGTCAAGGAACTTTCTAACATGAAAATCAAACATCTTTGTTGGAAAGCCATTGTTTTGAAAGAACTTTCGTAGGAACTTGAGTTCGCTGTCAAACAGTTTAAAATCAGAGCAGAGCCGGAATGCCCTGAAAAGGCATTAGTACCTAGAGTACCTAGTACTACCTTACTTTGGTGCACAATCCCTTAGCCTGCGAAAAGACCTCATAACTTTACTGACGTCCTTCTATCCCTACCTTGACCCCAAGGTGATTCTAAGAAACACCTTCACCATCGGTTCTATCTTCCACTTCAAAGACAGGGTTCCCAAAGCTTGCCGCTCTGGTGTTGTATACCAGTTTTGTTGCTCCTCGTGTGGGGAGTCGTACATTGGGTCCACTCATGTACGCCTCACTACTAGAGTGTGCCAGCACATGGGGATTTCTGACCGCACTGGCTTAATGGTATTTAGCCCAAAGCCCTCTTCAGTTAAAGACCACTCTGATGAGTGTGGCACCGCCTTCTCAATTAACGATTTTACAATTCTGCAGAGGAGTTACCTGGAGCTTGATCTTAGGCTATTAGAGTCTCTCTACATCCACAAACATAGACCAAAACTGAATTTCCAAAACTCGGCGCTGCCACTCAATATCGTGTTATGAGTGACCTATAAGTGACGCTTCATACAACAGAGGCGTCCAAATATAACTGTCATGCGTATTGTGTAGCACGCACGAATTAGTGTACTTGTTTCTTGTATTAGTGTCTCGAATGCATATATTACGAACGACTGAATGATTGCGATGTATTTGTATGTTTTTTTGTATAATTACTCACTGATGATGGTGTTAATACACCGAAACCGGTCTGATCATAATAAATATTAGTCCCATCCCCTTCACCTAAATCGGAACTTTATGTCTTGCATACCATGGTACCGCCGCTTTCCAACAAAAACATTGAATCGGATGTAACGTCAAAATATTCATCTTTAGCTCACATCCCACATTTCTCACCAACCCTTTCCACTTCCATCGGCCCTCACCTGAGTATCTGACGCGTTCGTGTATCCTCCCTGAGTGATGGGCACCGCGAACTGTGACATAAACACGGGCAGGGTGCCCAGTTTGCCGGGGAACACAAAGTCGAACAGCGACCAGAGCTCGCGCAGGTTGTTCTGTAGCGGCGAGCCGCTCAGGATCACCCGGTGGGGCGTGCGCACCTGAAAACGGAGACAACCGCATAAGTCATACTGTAAATCCTATGGAGAGGTTGAGACACAGCAATTGGTGGACTGCGCATGGAAGTAGAAAGGATGAGACTATCACCTTCATTGAAATGTCGATGAGCAGGTTATCTGCATTATGCAATGTCAAAGGTCGTGGAGTACAAGATGCATGAAAGCAGAGGTGTAATTAACTTTCGTAAGATTGGAGCCGGAATATGTGCATTCAGTAGCGAAATAAGATGCAATTTCATGTAACAGTGGTAATCACCTGTCATCTCAAGAAAACATAGGGATAGTATTACAATTAATGGCCGATGATAACCCTGCTTCATGAGTTAATCTACCCCATTGCTAACTAACTGAGAAGGGGGGGGGGCTAGTCAGGGGTAGGGGATCCCGAAAGTGGTAGTCAGGGGACGCCATATTTTCCAGACAGATCAATGCAAGAGTTCGCGCGACAGATCCTTATTGTCGTAACGTAACCAACTGCGAATCGGCTGTCTTAGAACTGCTTTTTGGCCCTTCAAGCAGTCAGGGTCACCTGACGCAAGCATCTTCGTTTACTATCGCTGAAATGACTCTAAAGTGCCCGTTCAAAGTACGCGGCACTTAGCATTTATAAGCGCTTTGGCGTTTAATCCAACTCGATCAATGGAGAGAGCTGCGTAAAATTAAAGCAAAACAGCTCGATTGATATTTAAAGCGATTAGTGTCTATAGCATAAAGTTGAAGGATTATGGGCTTGATGAAATTTTTTCGATTGATGTAAAAACCATTACCGTGGATAGCATAAAATTGAAGTATTGTGGACTTTATGGACCTTTTTGCCCACGACATTTCTGACACAGTCGAAATGACCATTACATCATCATGCATCAGTGAGAATTACACTAATATACGGCGTCATACAGTCAAAAACATCTGCATTCTCCCACATCAACGCAAACCCATTTAGCTCCAAAGGAATATCGATCACATTCTACACACCCATCATAAAACGCTGAATTCAACACATCCACCCTCATACAACCCTTCACACATTCGGACATCCTTTCACGCGTCTAACAGCTGAGAACGCACAAACCGTGTCTACTTAGCGCTATAAAAGCCGCCCGTATATGCCGGCGGCCCACGCGGCACGGCGGTGACCGGTGGGAAGAAAGGGCGTCTGCTCGGCCACTGGCCGCGATGGCAGCTCGTCAGCGAGCATAGAGGCGTCAATTAGTGTCTGGTCTGGCTCGCCGGGCGCCAAAGGCGGCCGGTGGGAGGCGGCAGCTGGGTAAATGACCGCCGGACGTGTGCCGCATTCGCACGCCTTCGTTACCCGCGGGACGCTCACTAGCCCGTCAGCGCTCGTTACATTCGTTACGTTGGTGAAGCTTACTGGCTTGGCAGCCTTCGTTAGTTAGGAACGTTAACTACGGAGGAAGCATTCATAGTTTTGAGCTTCAACAACTTGGCAGCGTTTGCTGCGTTCGTTGTACCTTTGTGACGAGTGGCAGCCGAGAGAACAGAGTGGACACATCTCCGAGGGCACAACACGCCTAAAGGATCTGCGACGGTGAGTTGTCGGTCCCGAGCCTACCGCGTAGGTGGCACTGAAAACCAATACAAAATGCAATGTTATCCTGAGAGGCATTTCCAATTATCGTGTGAGTTGAGTTGGTACATTCAATCCAATGACAGGGCTTGAAATGTTGCCATCCTCCATAAGCATATTGCAAAGAATTGTTATACATAAAACACGTGTTAGAGTAAGTGACATGACACAGGGTGAATGACAAGTACTTTAAATAAATGAAAAAAACATTCTTGTCTAAATCTGAAGCCCTTCAAGCAGAGTAAATATGATAGGCGGCGGTTATCGGATTGCGCCCTTCATCGATTTCCAATGCCCTCTTGGCTCTTACCGCCGGGGCGTAATGATGTCGATCACGGGAGTCCTTTGTCAAAAACAATCCACACAAAAGGAAAATGAATGGGCTGGAGCGAAGAAAACATAGCATTATGACAAAATGCGAGCCTGAAATATAATAAAACGCTTAAGACGTAAGTACCATAAGCCTCCTAAACATAAAAAACAATTTCCCTAGTGGTCCATAACGAATACAGCTTATCTTCACCAAAAAAAATGCATACGTTCTGAGACACGAGCCTTCGAGGTCATGCAAGAAGAGTTCCAGCCAAATATGTCCCTAAGTCATCAATGACGACCGCGAGTAGAGGGGGCTCAAGCCCCCCCCCCCCCCCCCCCTCCAACCCCGACCCAACCCAGTCGGAGCTGAGTTGAATGAGGCGAAAGTCGGCTACGGCGGCAGTCTCTCTCAGTTGCCCGTGCACCGAGCACGCGCCGGGAGGGAGGTGGCGAATCGACGTGGGTGAACTTCAACCACTCCTGAGAAGAAGAGGTGAAACGTCCACGAGCAGCGGCGATCCTGAATTGGGAGATCCGAAATACTCGTGCCAGATGTAGGTTTACGTCCTTTAGGTGTTTGAAGATATCGTAAAAAGTTACGGTGAGACCATCTACAAACACAGGGGGTTGTTGCGATTGATTGTCATATTTTTACTGTTAGGATAATTTCAAATTTTATCTGCCCGATTTACCTTTTGAAATGCTCAAATAACGCACGCTTGAAACCAGCGTTTCAACGTGCAGCTCATCGCAAAAATCAAGAGGACGATGAAGAGCGGATTAGAATGAAAGTATACCGAACCTGCATCGCCAGTTTATGATCGTCTCTGTTATCCAACCATTACAGTAAACCAGACAACCATCGAAGTGAACTGCGACACCACCATCGCAATGGCTCGTCTAAGCTGTTCAGTGCAAGTTGTCAGAGCAGCAATTGTTGTTCTGTCACTGAAAGTCAACATCGAAGCTACCATCGTGGCACAAACTTCAGCTGGACGTAGTACAGGAGCGTTTGTAATGCCGACTTTCTTCATGGGCACCTCCATGACGCTCCCCCAGCATTTCCCAACAAACGCTTCAGCAGAGCGTAAATCCCACAACGTGACTTCGGATCTGTCTAACCGCTTTTACAACCCCACTATCGCACCGTCGATCCTCGCGGCTGTAGAAATTCCCATATCCGAGGATCCCGTACGGGACTTTTCGATCGCAATCATTGCCTCTTTCATCAGCAAAATGCCAAGACTAGATGTGATACTCCTTACACCCGAGAGCGTACTGCCTTGCCGCAAGGTGGCAAGGGAGCTACTCGTGTCTTCAGAGTTCGTATCGGTGTCTTGCAGCAGCCGATTGGACACCAGGCAACAGCTGGTAGTGTTGGTGGATGTACTGGACAGTTTTGTCGGGGACGCCACCGCAGCACTGAATAAAGACACCAATATCGACGAGACCCAGAGTATATCGAACGGCGGTCGAGAAATGACAGATGGCCTCAGATGGGCCAGCACAAATCGAACATCACCCATGGGTAGCAACCTTGTCAATGATCGCCTAACTCAGGCGGCGTTAGCAGCTCCACCCGGGTCGACCATCCTCCTTTTGACATTCCGCTCAGAGATACCACTTCTTCCAGTGCACAACGTCCATATCTACCAGGCAACCCTAAAGTCAGGCGGTGCCATCATACGCGAAGCCTGGACATTTCCGGGCGATCCCCGGCCTGTCGTGGAGCTCAGGGGATACTGGACACCCAGTCAGGGCCTCTGGGAGGAACCCCGTCAGCACGAGGGGCCTCGCGACTTCCAGGGTCGTTCGCTTCGTGTGGCCATGCTGGTGGATCCTCCATACGTCACCTCCGACAATTCAACGGGCCAAGAAAAGCTCGGTGGCTACCTTCCCGAAATCCTCGATATGCTGGTCGCTGGCCTCAACTTCACACCCAACATCATCCAGCCGCCAGACGGCAAGTTTGGCGTGGAGCTCCCGAACGGCTCCTGGAACGGCATCCTCGGCATGCTTCACCAGCGTACAGCAGAGCTGGCCCTTGTCTCCTTCTCGATGTTCGAACCACGCCGCAAGGTCGTCGACTACATCCGCCCCGTCGAGACGAGCCACTACGGATTCCTGATCCGCGATAGACCCAACCAGCGGGGCGACAACTCCGTCAACTGGCGGGCGTACACGGAACCGTTTGCGTTCGACCTGTGGGTGACGACTGCAGCGCTCTTGGTGTGTTCGGCCGCTCTCTGGACTGTGCTAGAGTCCGGTTCGCCGAGTAAATCGACTGAGGAGGGCGAGCACCCACCGCAACCTTTCTGGTCGGTGCTGGGGGTGCTCGTCCAGCAGGGCGCTTTTGTTCTGCCGGAGACATCTAGCCAGAGGATTTTATTTGGTTCGCTCTGGGTCTTCAGTGTGGTGCTGTTTGCCAGCTTCACCAGTAACATCGTCTCTCTGCTCGCCAGCACACGCTACGTGATGCCGTTCGAGACTTTGGAGCAGCTGGCTGCACTTACAGACTGGAAGATCATCGCAGATCCCGACAGTGCTGACCTAGGACTGGTCACCAGCCTTCCCGAGATCAGCGGAAGGCACTCAATCATCAAGGCGCTCCTCCCAGACGGTCTGGAAATTCTCTTCACTGAGAGTGACGCCACTCTCTTCACAGCTCGTATCAACGTAGACCACGTCCTTCGGCGCAACTGCAGCTTCGTCTGGTCTGCTATCCGAGTGATCCCATCAGGAGGGTACCTGACTGGACAGCGGGACCTTCCCTATCGAGATGCCATCGCCACACGACTGTCTCACCTCTCCGAGGCCGGCTTACTACAGCACCTCTGGGAGCTGACGTTGCAGCAACCGACAGCAGCCGGATGCAGGCGTCTCTCTCAGTTCAACACGATGACTCTGCTACAGACGGCACCAGCGCTGGCGCTGCTGGCCGTTGGAATACTGACTGCCGCACTGGTAGCCTTCGCCGAGTATCGCTGGGCCAGGCAGCACGTCATGTCATGCCCTTCATTCAAAAAGTGCAGCGTCAGGAAACCAAGAAAACGCCTCAGAAACATGTAGGTGCGCGCTGTGGTCCATAAGTTCATCTTCCTACACAGTGTCAATGCTTTACCGTGCACCAGCCGTCACGACTCTGCACCACTGATTGCAGTAAAGAGCTAAGAAAATCATAAAACCAAATTTAACCATTGGTAGCTAATCCACACAAACTGACGGATTTGATTGCAACATAAAAGTATGATGTAGCTTCCAACATAAGACAGTCACAGGGCAATACTGCCTCCGTGAACTTTGTGTAACCGAAATTCGGCAGTAATATTTCTCGGTAATCGGCAGCATGCTTAGTGTTAACTTTCCCGGATCAACAGCAGGGCCGTTTCATCTCAACTCTAGTTAGTCCCGCTTTGGCTTATGTTACACCGTATGGAAACAGAAACTAAAAGTATCACGAAATATCTACCCTCTCAGGCATGAGCCGAGTATAATACATCCCAATCGCACAATGATACCTCCTTGTCCCGTCAATGTTTAGTCCTGTTTTCATGAGAGTGGGACATAATTTGAGCCGTCGATCAACGTTCCCTGGCTGACGTTCTGTATTTCTTTTCGCAGGCTGCGACGGAGCCGCATCACAATGAGCAGCGTGTAACGAAGCTGCGCCTCCGTTCATCAGCAGTCACCAGGGGACCGGGCTGAGCTGCCTCCCGACTTCATGCGCCGGTGATGGCGAACGGCGACTTTCGCTACACGCTTCAGAGGAGGTAGTTCCAGCCTGGCAAAATCAGAACCCCAGGCATATCACTGCTGGCGCAGAAAAGGAAGCCAGCTAGGACTGCTACAAGCGGCAGGATACATGTTCTTGCTGTGCGTCGTTACACCCGCCGCCGAGGTGTTCTGCTGAGCTTAGCGTTGCCAGATAACCTCAATCAAGCGGAAAGTTTCTCCTTTGCTTATCGGCACCCAGATTACAATCACCGACTACTTATTCAGCTGACTTCATCGAGCGCGTTGAGCCTGCTACAATGTGGCGGCACGTACCCCTGCTCTTCAGCATAATCAGCTTGCAATTCTTATTGGTGTTGATGTGTACAGCTGGAACGTTCTACGAAGGGACCGCGAAACCGCGAAAGGCAGGCGTACCCAGGCCCATCTCCGATTCCCCAAACGTAGCAGCACAAATGGGTATACCGCTGCCTCTAGCACGACATGGACCACCACTGTCCCCTGCTAGACACCGCCGGAGTTCTGACCTTCCCATGGGTCCTCCGCGCCCCCTCTCTTCCGCTATCCATGTTCAATCACCCAGCAAGTCCAAGCCGCTAACATCAGCCACTTTGCGTGACCACACACCATTCATTGTGGAGGCGTTCGTCAGAAAGCTGCGTTTGAAACACGTGACGTTGCTGACTGGCGGGCAGCTGGTGTCCTGTCGGCAGGTAGCGCGAGCCGTGCTGATGTCACCGGCATTTGTGACGGTTTCATGTGATGTTGTTCACACTACACAGCCGCAACTGGTGGTCCTTGGAGTTGATGACTTTAAAAACAACGAGACAGCTGGTGGAGAAGAGGTCAACTTTACAAAGCAAGGTCCTGATTACGCACTAAATGTAAGAGTAAGAAATGCCTTAAAGAATGAAATGACTTCAACGCATGACAACATTTCTTCAAGAGCATCGCACAATGAAGAAAATGAAATACTGAGTGATGAGTTTCACCAACTTGACGTCGTTAGTGACCATCTGAGGAAAGTTGCGCTAACGATGCCGCCAGGTTCCATCATTCTCCTGCTAACGCATCGCGTCTTGGAGCCTCTCCTATCCGTCCCAAACGTCCACCTCTTCCAGGCAACGCTTGAGCCTGGTGGTGCCGTCATCTACGAAGCGTGGACGTTCCCGGGTGACCCACGACCTCTCACAGAGCTCAGGGGATACTGGACAAAAGCCGAGGGTCTCTGGCTGGAGCCGAGACAGTACGACGGACCAAAGGACTTCAAAGGACGCACACTGCGCGTGGCGATGCTGGAGGACCCACCGTATGTGACATTGGATAACAGCTCTGGCAAGCCGGTGCTTGGTGGTTATCTTCCCGGTGTTCTGGACATGCTTGCCGCGGGACTCAACTTCACGCCGAAGATAGTCTGTCCCAAAGACGGCAAGTTCGGTTATCAGCTCCCCAACGGAACTTGGAACGGTATCGTGGGTCTTCTGCAGCATCGCCGCGCAGAGCTGATGCTCGTCTCTTTGGTGATGCTAGAGCAACGTCGCAGGGTCGTCGACTACCTCGGTCCCGTCGAGTGGACATACTACGGCTTCGTCATCCGCGACCGGACGCTGCGACTCGGCGACAGTGAGGTCAACTGGCGCGCCTACACGGAGCCCTTCTCGCCGGCACTGTGGACGGCTGCCTTCGCGCTGCTGCTGTGCGCGGCTGGTGTGTGGAGCGCCATGGCTGCGGCCGCACCGCAAGCAGAGACCAACGCTTCAGAGCCAGGCGCGACCGCGACACCAGCTGAACCATTCTGGACGGTGCTTGGGGTGCTGGTACAGCAAGGCGCGTCTGTTGTGCCAGAGTCCTCCAGTCAAAGGATTCTCCTCGGATCGCTCTGGGTCTTCAGTGTTGTGCTGTTTGCCAGCTTCACCAGTAACATCGTCTCTCTGCTCGCCAGCACACGCTACGTGATGCCGTTCGAGACGCTGGAACAGCTCGCTGCTCTGACAGACTGGAAAATCATCGCCAACCCTGAAAGCGCTGACCTTCACCAGCTATTCAGAATTCACGAACTCAACAGAACTGGTAAACTTGAACCGATAAAAGCCTTTCTCCCACACGCCTTGGATATTCTGCTCACGAACGACAAGACGGTGCTCTTTACAGCGTTCTCAAACGTCGACCACGTCCTCCGACGTAACTGCAGTTTTGTGTGGTCTGCTATCCGAGTTTTACCTTCGGCCGGCTACCTGACTGCTCAGCGGGACCTTCCCTATCGAGACGCCATCGCCACGCGACTATCCCACCTCTCCGAAGCCGGCTTACTAAAGCACCTCTGGGAGAAGACACTGCTGCAGCCAACAGCGGCGGGCTGCCGGCGTCTCTCCCAGTTTAGCACCATGACGCTGAGACAGACGGCCCCAGCGCTCACACTGCTGGCCGTGGGAATGCTGACCGCCGCTCTGGTGGCGTTCGCAGAGTGCCGCTGGGCGAGACGACGGGCCCGCAGGCAGCGGCGTGGGCAGCGCACCAAACGGTCGCGGAAACAGCCCAGCTAAGAGACTTGGGTCGAACGCTTGGATTTGTGCTTACGGTGAAGTGTATGAGTACTGTCGCAGTAGGATAATTACAGGCATAATGTAACAGCACCTGAGTGCACCACGCACCGTGTTGCTCCTGGACAGCAGATTCGTTAGTTGAAACAGCGCTTTTCAGCTAACCTTGAATCGGCTCCTTTCATGCATGTGTGCTTTCTGTGTGATCAGACGGATGAAATGAATCACCATTACACACGCCGACTTCAGTCGACATTATTCATCCTAACACATTAACGCTGCCTTTCAAAGATTAGGAGCGGGCTACTGTGAAAACTCCAATACAATAGACGCTAGACGTTAGCGCCATAACGCTGAAAGACCGAGTGAAAATACATTGCGCACAAGATTAGCCAGCTGTCATTCGTATGGAAAATATGTTTCTCCCAAATTAGCGGTTTGCATTCCTGACTGAAAAGCCCAGCTACCATTGCTTATCGGATATCATGAAAGAGCTGAAGAGAGGCAAATAATGTTTGCAATTAACGAGGAACACAACGTGATATCAAACGCTGAGAAAAAGCCAACTGACTCCATAATTAGCCTGTATATCGAAATGAAAAGCAAACAAAAGCTCAGTGAGGCTCCTTGACCTCGGTGTCTTTCAGCCCGGTCACCAACATTGTAGTATAGCTCAGAGGATGAGATCACGCGCCCGCTACTCCTCGCCGACGACCAAACTACAACACCTGCTGATAGTTCATTAACCGTAAATCACCAAACCACCCTACTATCGACGGGCAATCATTACACGTCCCCGGTTAACGTCTCATTTTGCACGCGGCGCGTCGAACGTCGAACGTCGAACGCGTCGAACGGCGTTATTAGAGGGGAAGGCGGTCGCGACACTACACGACAGCCACCTGTCTCATCAGCCCACGACACGCGGGTGATTGGCGATCAGTGATGAAACACGTTGCCGCCACTGGTCGTCTGAAGCGGCTCATTTCCGTAGCGGCTGGCAATCGGCTCGTTCGGGCAGCGTGGTACAGGCTCTGTAGCCCCTGGCGCGGGAGCTATCACCGCAAGTATTACACCGAACGGGCTCATTAGCGCCTGTGCAATATTGACCAGCGGAGTCATTTATCGGCATAACGTCCGGCGGCCTGTTCACGCAAGGCTGATTAGACCGCTTCGATTTGTCATGATCCATGGTGTAAACAGATGGATGTGACATGGATGTGACATGGAAGTGACATGACATGGAAGTGACATGGATGCTGCCATAGGACAGTCATGCCAGTTAAATGTGCAATGTTGAGTGTGCGATATAGTATGAAACGTAAAGGTGTATTTAGAGTGAGTGTCCATTTCTTACCAGCAACAGGTCTCTAGCCAACTTCGAAATAGTTTATCAAAACGTTTGCTGGAATACGGGTCCATTGGAGCAAAATCAATAAGACACAAATACGTAAGACAATACAAGACAGGGAAAAGAGGGATGGGGGAGGGGCTCAGTCATCGGCGTATCAGCGAATGACCGCTGTGCGATCTAGAAGCAGCATGCTTGCAGGAAAGCGTGCTTATTCTAACTATGTCGTCCAGGGGAGTGAAAATTGATCAAAAAAGCCATAAACTCAAAACTAGTTTACGAAAATTGATAGCTCAGATGGGTTCGACATAAATCGAGACGCAAATATCAGGTGAATGTTGCAACGAGCCATTGTTACAATATCAAATGTTACAATATCCATCCATTCATGCAAATCCTCGTAGGTACTCGACAGTCGACGGTTATGGTTACCAATTACGCAGCTCTGTCGCAGCACATGGCGACCAAAATAGCCTTCATTATTTTCTAAGGACCAAATGATCTCTTTTAGCATACGCGTCCGTTTTTTTTAAAGACGCAATTACACAAGCTTTGCGTATATCTATAACGCAACAAACGCATAATGTAGCCAGCTTGCACGGTCAAACCTTTTATGAGCCGTTCCATTCACGAAATTCCATTCACGCAATGGAACGCACACAGCAAACCAGGCAATCAGCAGTTAACAACTAAATAGGGTATGCGCCGTCATGCGCCATATACTCGTATACGGTATAACGGATCAGTTGCCAATACATGTGTCAGTTACTGGAAATGATAGGAGACGGATACGCAGTGAGAGCGCAGAGTCGAACTTGACAGACCCGCTAAAGGTCGACCAATAACGTCGGCCAAAAGTTACCTTGACATAGCGGTAAAAGTTATGGCCGGCGCACTACGCTTCAATCTTCGCATTTAATTGTGGAACGACAGCAAAAGGCTCCATTCAAAGCGGCCAGAAGTACAAATTTCCAGACATTCATTCAGGAACGATAAATCACCACCGCTCGACACCCAAAGCACTGACCTGTTTGACAGCCAGTGTGACCTGTGCGTCTGGGTTTCGTATCTTGTGCCCCTCGTCCAGTATAACGTAGTGCCAGTCCTGCGCCACCAGCGCCTCCTTATGGGAGGTCATTGCCGAGTAGGAGGCAAGCAGCACGCCACGCCGGCTGCCCATCTGGCGGATCAGACCCGTGCGACTACCTGTGGAGGGGTGGGGAGGGTTAGGGGAGTGAAAGGCGCCAGTCAGATAGAAGTTGATCGGGCCGTCAAGTAAATAATGCCAGCTGCGGACTCGTGAATCGTGATATTCAGAAGTGACCAGTGTGTGACCCTGTCTGACCTCTGTGTGACCTTGTAGAACCTCCTAGTGACTTTTCTTGACCTGCGCATGACTGACCTGCGACTGTGACCTCTGAGTGACCTCTGGCATGTGACCTGTCTTGCATGTGACCTCACGTCCTGCACGTAACCCTGTTTGACCTGACTGACCCTATCAGGCCTACATGTGACCCATGACCTGTCTGACCTGGCCAGCCTCTGTGTGACCCCCTCTGACCTGCGTGTGACCCAGACTCGTGCAGTACGGCCACCCGCAGCGGCGGCCACCAGCGGTGTAGCTCGGCCACCCATTGGTGGAGCACGGTGGCCGGGGCCAACACCAGAACCGGGCCCAGGCCGCGCTCGCCGCCCCATCTGCCGGCAAAGGAGAGAGCCAATAGTTACCAAATACCAAGTGTAGCGTGTGACTGCTGCGCCGAACGATATTATTGGAAGTACCAAGACGACTCAGGTCTCAGAGCGAATAATCAGCAATACGCACATTTAAAGGTAGTGTGCCAGCTTTCCTCGACCGTATGGAGTTAATGGCCCAGATAAGGAGAACCGGATTTTTAGAACTTATCCATACCTTCAAAACTCATGGAAACGTCTTAAATTCTTCAAATTTTGAGTACCCCAGTGCGAAATTCGCCCCGACGGGTTGTCGGTCGTACCCCAACCACATTTCACACCACTATGAACAATAAATGCACACACTGAAATCGCTATTACCGATATGCTCATCCAATCAAGTTTCGATAAACCCGTTCATCATCATCTCCTGCGGTTTCGAACACGCCTGTTAGGTGGTGCGGTAGACCGCGCCCAAAGCCAGGGCCCCGGTAACGTGAGGTAGCCGAGTCGGGGCAGCGTGCGATGACCCAAGCCGGGGCCGCGCGTCCTTCCGGTGTCATGTGATAGCCCGGGGCTGCCCGCGGGGATGCGGTAGACCGCGCCCAAAGATGCGGCCCCGGCTTGGGTCAGCGCACGCTGCCCCGACTCGGCTACCTCACGTTACCGGGGCCCTGGCTTTGGGCGCGGCTTCTGCTCATACTTTGTGGTGCGGTGGTGGTGCGTCGGGCTGCGCGCTCTGACTTCGGCCAAGAAAAATGCGTCAGCTGATCATTGTCATTTCTGCCACTTGCGTGTGGTGAAATGGGGTCATAACTTAAGAGACGGCTTTTTCATATCAATTATTTTACATAAAATCATATTTCAAACCATAAATAATGTTCGACAGCCAAAGGAAAGAAACAATACCAATACAGGCTTACAGTTTAAGGCTCGACATTGTGTTGTCTACGATTAGACAGCTGATAACTCATTCCCGTACGTCGTAACTCTATAATGACCTTTGCTTATTGTCACATGTGCGCCGCATTCGCGATTGTTGCCGACGCCTGTTTGCAGTTCAGCCCACTACAGTTGTTATACATATCGAAAAACCGATAAACTTTTAGGCGAAAAAGGCACTATTCCAGGCCCATTTTTGATTTTTTTTGCGATATTAGGTAAAAACAGAAGCTTCTTATCCTAGGAAAAATAAAATGGGAAATCTTTCAAAGGTGGCACACTACCTTTAAGCACATAGTGAAAATTCCATATTAGCCATACAGCGGAAACGACACCAACGGACCTTGTTAAGCAGCTGGTGAAGCTAGTGACATGAAGTGGCCAATGGCCATGCTAAACACTACAGCAGGGTCTGTCGACCTAAGAAATAAACGACAAACTGCACAAGCTGGTTCGTAAAAACTGACCAATTGACTGTGCCATCTGACTCCTGGCTGACTGACTGACCTGACGTTGCTGCTGCTGAGGCCGGCCAGGAAGGCGATCACCTGGATGGTTTTCCCGAGTCCCATCTCGTCCCCGAGGATACCGCCGCATCGCTGCTGGTGGAGCTCCCACAGCCATCGGACACACACCTGCTGGTACCTGGCGAGACGGCAGAACAGCGTGGGATGTCACAGGATCAAAATGATGTCATAAGACATAATGCGACGTCATAGAGCAGTCATGTGACATCAAATAAAATGATGGACATAGCCATAGAGAATAAATGAAAGTAATGCACAATGTCACACATTCAAAATGACAGCGTGTGATGTCACAATCTCTCTCCCTCTTTCTTACTCTCCCTAACTTTCATACATTTGTCTTTCACTCTCTTGTCTCCTCTTCCTTATCTCTCCCCAGTCCCCACCCGCCTTCCCTGGCCCTCTTCCTTTATCCCAGCACTGTCACCAAGGGTAGGCTAAGCGCATACTTTCTCCCCCCCCCCCCCACCTCCCCACTCACTTGAACAGTCGGTCCCAGAGCGAAGCGGGGCAGCGGAACCCTCCGTCGAACTCGACACACCGCTCCTCGCCGCCGTCGTCGTCGACGATGCCCTGTTCGATGCGCAGCAGACGCTCCTCGCGCCGCTCTCGCCGCCACTCGCGGATCCGCGCCGCGTACGCCTCGGGGTCGCCGTCGTCGGTCTCACGATGGACGCGTTTGGCTGCGGGAGTGATAAGTTGTTAGGTTGACACGGGAAAATCAAATGAGAAAAACGCGTTTCCAGACTTGTTTCAGTTTCTCACAGACATTGTCTATTGTCTATCTAATTTAGCATATTAGGAAAATAGTAATCAGCTGATAATGATTGCAGGACACTGACGACGATTTGATATGTTTTCAAAATTCAAAAAATATCGAACACCAGCATCAAGCACTGACCTGTGACTTTGGGGCTTGCGTGAGCCCGTTTCCGTTTGGTCCCTTTGGTCACCGGCCGTCCCTTTCCGTTCCGCCGGTCCTCTATTCCTCCCTCCTCGTCCGAAGGAAGGTACGGCTCGTCTGATTCGTCGGCCGACTCGTCTGACGGGACGTACTCGTCCTCTGATTGGCTATCGCCGACTGAAGGCCGTCGGACCGCCGACGCTGATTGGTTGACACTGGCGGACGGACGGGATTTGGCGAGTTCCGATTGGCTCGTTTTTGTTTGTAGTGGTGATGTTTCTGTTGATGTGCCGCGCATAGCTGAGGTCCCGGGAACGTTTGGAGGAGACTTCGCGGAAGAATGAATGAGCCTCGAAGAGGAGCTGAAACAAACCGAAGTGACTTGATTATTGAGTAGTGAACACGCATAGAGGAGCTGATTACACATCAGATAACTAAACAACGCAAAAATCGCAGAAAAAAATATCCATCTTACCTATTTCAGGTAAATATATGTAAAAAAAAAAAACGCAGCAATCTGTTCAGCTCTCTTCTGGGGTTCCCACCAGCAGTTAAACTGAATATGAAAAACTGATAACTTTAAACTTAGACACTTGTGGTTACGTCATGCAGTTGCTTCCTGAGGCTCGACATAAACAGGGACACCCACACGCACAATCGCTGATAAGCTGCCGCCCCTGAGTCCCAGCTCCAGCTGCCCCAACTGACCTGGCCGGCTCCACGGTGACTGCCGAGAGGTCAGTGCCGAACGGCGTGACCTCGCCCAGCCGGACCTTGGCCTCCAGTTCGGACTCGCCGTCGCCGGAGAGCAGGGCCGCTGCTGATTGGTCGTCACCGGTGACGTCCTGCCGAGACGAGCAATCACAGTTCGTGTAAAACCGAGACACCAAATCAAACAAACCACCGGGGGGATTATTACCGTGAGTTGCGGAATCTAGTCGAGAGCCAACCCCCTGATGTCAGAATTTGAGCTGCTTGACAATACCTGCTCCATCACAATTGAAGCATGCGTTTGACAAAGCAAAAAATCATCACATATTTGATGCCCAGGAATGCACCAGGCGTAATATCGCCGCCCGGGAAACTGATCAAATAGCACAAATGAGGGCACGACTACGCGCTCAGCTCTGGCCCGTACCTGCGAGCTCCCGGCACCCTCCAGCGCTGCGAGCTCTGCCTCGAGCTCCGCCAGCTCCTGCCTGCGGTCGGCCAGCTCCGACTGCTGCCGCTTCTGACGCTGCAGCTCCTCGTAGGTCCGCGGCGCCGTGACGGCCGAGCGCTGCAGGTGTCGGCACTTCTGACGGAGCTGGCTGTGAGGGACCGGGGCGGGGGACGGATCAGTCAGTATGCCTAACAGCATACACAGGAATGAACAGATAGAGTGGCCAGCTCATGGCTTTTGTTTTCGCATCAATAGATACCTATCCTCGATAATTGAGCATACAATATACATGCAGCATCGAACATTGATTGCACCCAGGAAATGCTGTTTTATTTTACTTTCATCTTATTACTCCATTCAAAAATGCATGCATTCAATACGTTTGTGGGACATTAGACACTGATATGTGATAAGCAGTTAGCACGCTGGAATCGGCAGCCACGAACCTGATTCGGTTGCGCAGCGTCCTGGCGCGTTTCTCGGCATTGACCTTCTGCCGCTGGGCCTCCATCCTGTCCAGGGCGGCGTCCACCTGCAGCCGGATGCCCGACTCCAGGGCGGACTGGTCGTACAGCCGCAGGCCGAGCCCATCCAGTTCGGCATCCTGGCGGCGGCATCCCGGCAGTCAAATGCTACACAGCCATGCTCCAGATTTGTCTTTATCTCAAAAACTCTATTTTTGACAGCAATTTGAAGTTCACGTCTGTTACGCCAAAATTTGCTGTGCAGAGGTCTAGAAAATTGACCCTGTGTCGTGATGTCATCAAGAAACCTAGGTCAAAAACTTTTGCCTCAGAAGATGTGAAATTGATGGGAGAAACGGTACTGAAAGTTTTGTTTTCCCATCCCTAAGCGTTACAGGAGCTATCACAAATATTCACCGGGGGGGGGGCGAAAACGCCCCAAAGGCCCGTGAGGGTTAACCCGGCAGGCGGTGGGCCTCCCGGCCACCTTCCGCGCGGTGGGGGGGGGGCATTTTTTTGCCCCCCCCCCGTATCTCCGAATCTACTGGACGGATCCGGAAAATTCAAACGGCGCTCGATAGCCCTGTCAAATTTGTCAAAGGAAACCATATTTCATTGACCTCGGGGTCACCAATGACGTTACAGGTCAGGTCAAAGATAAAATGTTTCACCGTTCACGGGTCCTCTAGGGAAAGCTCTATAACACCGAGGAAAACGCATTTTGTCGAAAATCAGCACTGGGGCGTCAGTTGTCTAGTGCATATGTTGCTATTAGAGGTCACTGGTCATACCAAGTCAGGTCACAGGTCAGGTCACCAAGGGTCACCAAGGTTCACCACATGAACCCAACTTTACTAAGGTTGTGCGATGCATGTTTTATGGCCAATTTTTCATTTCCAACTCAATGGTGTTGGTTATAAGACCACCAGGTACAGTTAAGTCACTTTCTGGTGGAGGTCAGGTCAAGGTCAGGTCAAAAAAGGTCAAATTTCAAAGTTGATAGATTTGCATAAAATGGGTATCAATTCGATGCAGCTCGTCACCGGAAGTCTAATGGTGGTCTTTGTTTTGCGCTACAAGGTCTAGAATTGCTAAAAATTGAGTTTGAAAATTTGATGTCAATTTTGAAAGTTTTTTTCGCTATAACTTGGCCAAAAAAAGATATATCGATCCATAGGCGTCGCCAGAGATTGTCGGTAGGGGGGGGGGGGGGCAAAATCAACTTTTGTGTCAAAACTTGCCTTTCCCCAGTCTTTACTCACTCGTTTTACATATCATTCGACGCGCAATGGTGCGAGGAATCCGATGGTGACAAAGGTTTCCTTCTAGCTATGACATGTAATTTTTTACAGAAAAATTCGAAATTTTGAAATTTCATAACAAAACGACTGGTAGAATCATAGTGGCTGCGATTGCCGACGCACTGCAGAGGGCCCCTGTGCAGACGCTCGACGCTCATGATCATTACCCATTAAGAGGTGAAAAACGCTCCATTTAATCGGATCCCCCTGCTAGAACCTCCATTCACGCATGCATGCAGAGGTTTTACGTGAAATGCATAGGACTTATCCCAGCCGCCGATCGTAGCTAAGTTGGGCATTCGGCGGAGAGTGAATGTCGGAAGTGTGAATCGGAATTCGGAAGTAATTCATCTTTGCTTCAGTGAGATGAAGTGTTTTGTTCACTCGAGTGTGAACAAAAGTTTCTCGTTTTTCGTGTGAAGGGAAGCGCTGCAAACGCGAACAAAAACTGTTAAAGGAACCAAAAGTAACGCACGGCATAGCGGCAAGGGATCCCGTAGAGATAGGTTTGTGACTTCCAGGCCATTTCAGGGCACTCAGGGTCAGTACTGACTCTCAGAAGCCTGCTTAGGATCCCGGAGATCGACGTGGGTCACCTCAAATATTTACGTGTACGTGGTGCTTTAGGGCTTTCCGAGCCCAAGGTGGGGCCCTCAGAAGCAGTGTGGGCGGCGGGCGCTAAGAGACTAGGCCCAGGGTGAGCCTGGAGCCCTCGGATAGCAGTGTGAACCCTCGGGGTCTGTGTCGAATCCCTAAGGACCCTACGTAGGGACATAATAAACATGTGTTGCGGACCTCAGAGGGACACGTGGGCTGTGACCCCTCAGATGCCGGCTTGGGGTTGGCAAAGTCTGTCGCCTCAAAAATTTGGCTGAACTATCAGAGGCCAGTTAAGGTTCTCAGAAATGTTCGAAGGCTCAAAGATCCCTGTATGGGCCCTCAGAGAACATGAACACCAGTGGGACTTTCAGAGGCCGGTTTGGGCCCTCTGAAAGCTTCTTTAGGGCTCACTGGAGCTCCTTAGGAGCCTTTGTTTAAAGCAAGCTCATGAGCCCTGCAACACTTGTACGGTAGGTACTTGAGCCTGTCGCAGACATTTGACGAGTTGAGAAAGGCCCCGAAGATTTTGTTTCACGCTTTGAACAAAAATTGTGTCAGCACTCCAAAACTTATGAAAATCAGCTGTAAAATGTAATAAAGAATGAACTAGGAACATGTAATGAATAACAGCATTAACATTTCCGAGTCTGGACTCGGAGTCTTGAAGATTTTGGCGACTGCGAGTCAGACTCTGGTTTGAACTGCACGCTCAAACCGAGTCTAACCTCACAGGCATTCTCAGAAAGGTACCCCCATTTTTTCCCGACTCCAAAATCTCATCGGATCTGTATCGATGTCAGGGGGTGCCCGGTCAGAGGTTGGGGGCCTGGGGGGGCAAGTTGCCCCGCTTGCCCCCCGTGGCGACGCTAATGTATCAATCTCGAATTTGGTATGTAGATAGAAGGCGGTAGGGACCATCACATATCTTCCGTTTTTTCGAAATTAAAAAAATGGGTTTTTTGGTTATTATATTTTTAAAAAATCTATTTTTTATTTTGGGGGGTCAAAATCCAAAAATTTCAAAATCCGAGAGAGCAGTTTCGTAGCCCTTCTAATTCTGCACCTTTAATGTCAAAAATATTTTTCTGTATCTCTAAAGCTGTAGGCCTGACAGCTCTTCTCGCGAAACCTTTTTTTGGGTCGAAAATGGCAGAAATGACATCACTCTGACGCCATCTGCGGCCAACCTATCATAGCATTTGGAAAAATTATTGGTCAAAATGTGCAATAGCTGCTCACGGGAGGGTACTGGAAGTTTGGTGACGATCGGCGCAGCGTTTCTGGAGACATATCGAAAAAAACTAAAGGGGGGCAAAAAAATGCCCCCCCCATCACCTGGAAGGTTAAGTGAAGCCCTCCCTGCTCCTCACTATCATCTCAACAGCATGCAAGTCTTCTGAGTTCTGATATAACCTCATAAAAAGTGAAAAAAACAATTGATATGACAAAGCCGAGGGTTACGACTTCAATCGGTCCCAACCCAGCCCTGATTCCTGAAAACTCAAATTGATCTCACCTCATCCCGAAGTGTGGCTGACTGAATCAAGGAGCTATCAATGTTTATCTTCCTTGTTTCCTCTTCCCTGTCTTCAGTGGGATCCCCACCCATACTTGCATCTTCATTGCCATTTTCCTCATTCATCATCCTGCCCCAAATGAATGCAAATACCAATGACAAAACTATGACACTACAATAGAAACAAAGCCAGCATAACGGTTCAATGGTTCACATCTTGGTTCACATCTTGACAAGTTTAGTATCATGCTAAAAGTCATTAACAAATCCACTCAGACATGGGGGAGGGGCGGGGGCCGGGGGGGGGGGGCAAATGGCCGAAATTGTTTTATATTTGAGTTGAGGTTCTAAATACCCTGGCTGAAATGGCCCATTTATTTCCATGCACCTTGCACTGCCACCAGCATAATGGTAAAACTGAGGTCTATTGGGGAATGGGGGCTCAACAGGCTTTAGGGGAGGGGCATAGCCCTAGATGCACCACCTGGAACCGCCAGTGCTGAAAATAAGTGCACCTAAAAAGTACAGATGGCAATAAAAAATCAAAAATATTTCTGATTCAGCTGAAGCAATTCAAGTTCACCTAGTTCCACAAACTGAAACAAAACCTCTTATACGACCTTGAACAAAACATGGTGCAATGTTATGTAACCATGGATAACAGCAAGGCTGAGGCAATAAGAGCGATACGAGAATGTAACCAAGAATAATATTTTTCTAACAATTTCCTAATTCACCCTCAGGAACATGCATGGGTAAGCGTCAGCTAAGGCAGGCAGGCACTTACATCCAATTAGGTACCTACTTAGTTTTCCTGAAACAAACAATCCCACCCCACACGTTTTTTTTACACGAATATTTTGTCTAGGCTGCGCCAGAACTGCTTCGTACGGTAAGAATTGACGTCTGTCAATCTAGCAGCAGGCTGATTTCCGTAATCTGCTGCATACTCTGTTGCCAAATTTACGGAAGGAGTCCACTGGAGTCCACTGCCGGCCCGCCGCCGGTACATTTCGCAGCCGCAATGGACACTTTGCTGCCGCAGGACCGAGCCAGACCGAGCGCCCGGTGAACTGCCCCCAAAGCAACGGCCAGACAGCAGAATATTCGCAAATTTTTATCTGCTGCTCTACCGAGACGTGAAGTATTTAATAAGAGTAGACACAAAGCCGTGGACAGGTCAGGCAGCAGATTCACATTTCGAATCTGCTGCTAGTGACGGGTCATATTGATACTCGATGTACCCTGGTATTGGCGTGCATCCATGATCCAGCCAGCCCCCTTCGGACTAAACTCCGTGAATCCGATGGATCCATTCACCCGTCAAGTCAAACAGCCACCGGGCTATGTCATTCACGCAGAGAGAAGACAATACGGTACTTCACATTGTATTTCAAGTCTGAACGGATGCCCCTCGCCACTTACCCCGCTTCCTGTCCGGCAGGGCGATGGCGTGGAGCAATGGAAATCCTATGCCAACACACTTACACTCAGCGGTGCAGGGAACGGAACTATTTACCCAGCCGCTCGCCTAGCGACCCACGACTCCCTGATAACTGAGAGATCTTTGCATGGCCTACAGGGGCCCAAAGAACGAACGGCACATCTTGACATACGTACACACACGAATAAGTTTCACTCGTAAATTACGATCTCGTTGACAAGTTTTACATGGCCGCACCGAAAGACAAATGCGCTTCTCGCCTCATTTCTGCAAGACCGCCTACCCCTTTTCTGTGGCCCGTCTAGTCAGAGGTAAGGTGGCGTTTACACTGGCCACAGTCGTTCACGACCCAAGTGCGGACATAGTTCCTCTTGGATGCGTCTCACTGTCTGAATTGCCGTCTTGGGTGAGAGGCGCGGCAGCGCTCGGCACTGTGTGAAGGCGGACACGGGGTCCGGGTGCTACACTCATACAGCTGCACCTGTATCGGCGGCGGCGGCGGCAGTGGCTGAGGACACAGCGGCGCTGCCGGTAGTGGTGACTGCTCCAGCAGCCCTCGAGGCAGCCGGTAGAGACCGGACACCGTGCTGGAAGGAACAAATGGAAACACTCGTTAGGCAGCGCCAGACACGTCGTTAGGGCGGTAACGTAAGCGAATAGTTTACATCACATGGTTAAATAATGTGCATATTCCCCTTGCTAGAGGCGAACCGAGGTACTTCATCGAAGTCATATACCTATTTCTGCCACATTATCGGACATTACCTTTTAAAGCAGAGGAGCTTACGACCGCTGCCCAGCCGCCATTCTCGTGGCACTGCCCCTACCTGCGTGGGGTCTTCAGCTGTCCAGTCCGGCACCATAGGTATGGTCCGTGGTCCATGGCCCGACGGCGCCGGCTGGGGATCGGGCGCCAGTCCCAACGGCCAGGGAGCCGGCGGCGCCGGCAGAAGCGGTGCCCTCGGCGGCTCCGGGGGCACCTCCGGTGGCTCCAGAAGCGAAGCCCGCCGCGCACAGAGAAGCCTCCTGAACATAAACCCAGACAAACGAATCATCAACTCTGGAATATGATTGACGGCTCGAGAGAAAATTACAGTAAGCTCCGAATTTATAACCGGTATTGTTGAGAAATCTTACCGGTATTCCCAGGATGTTGCTTAGGCTGGGCGCGTAATCATAAGCGCCCTCGGTACCCTCAAACGCTTCGTCCAGCCCGTCGTCCTCCTGGTCGCCGTGTTGAGTACCGGGGTCGAGCTCGCCTTCCACGTAATTGTCGAGCTGTCGGCCCGTCTGACTGTACAGGTAGGCGACACCAACTAGCTCACCTAAAGAAAACGAGAAAGAGTGCATGGGAACCAACCAGCCTTGACATGCAACATACACTACTGAATAGTGCAAACACTACACTGAACACCCAAATAGCGAGTATAGCGTTAGCGTTAAACGGATGGCGTTTACTGCGAAGCTGAATCCTTGGATTAGCGGCCGAAAGCTGGCAGGGAGGATCCAATCGACCCACCTCCAACTCCCTATGCCTGTGAGACGATTTGTTGCACTGATCTGAATATATGGAGTTCCGACTGACCAGTTGTTTTGCAACAATTTCCGCTGAAAATACTGTGCTATATGTATCTGTGAAAATACTGCGGAAAAAAGACTGAAAAAATACTGTGAAAATACTTAAAATATATGTGAATATACTGTGCGATTTGTGAAAATATGTGTTGTGTGTCCCAAACATGTGTGCATTTCTGTTTATCATAAAGCACCGAGTCTAGCTCTGGTAAGTGGCGTCGTAGGAACATTTACCGTTATACCAGACGCGTCCGCCGTGGTTTGTCTTCAGAAACTTTTTGTTCAGCGCGGCCAGGGATAGGTCGTTCAGAGTCGCGCGTGTCCAGTCGTCGAGGAACTGCAGCTGAACATTGTCCGCGGTGTCCGGCTCTGTCTTCGCCCGATGGTGCTCGGTGTTCCACCGCGCCACGCCCTCGACCAGGAGGGCCTGGAAATGCAGGTCCCGCAACGCAGCGTTCCCTGTAAGTGAACAAACGGTTGTAAGATATCTTGAGCGGGTAAGGATTTATACTTGGGCGACTTTTTCAAAGAAACTGTTTCTTTTACTTTACAGCGCATTCGTGATGCTGGATGTGGTATAGGCAGGGAAAAACCGCCCCGTAGCGCAAAAGTATTCATGAACAAGCGTCATTCGGGTAAGCATTTTACAGCACTGCTAGCTACGACTTCATAGCATATCTTCACACGAAACCATGCTCAAACTGCACACCTGGGATGAACTTCGCTAGATGCTTGTGGAAGCTCTCGGCGAAAGTCGTCCCGCGGGCTGAGGAGTAGCACTGGAGCTGGGCGCCGCGCCTGGTCAGTGGACTTGTTTCGCGGTACAGAGCCACCCCTGGCACGTCCTGTAGACAGGCCAGGTGCCGCTTCTGCTCCTCCCAGATGGCCCAGATTCGGGTCGGATCCAGCAGCGGCATACCCGTGCCGTCCGGCCCATCCGTGCCCGCGGGGCCCGAGAGCCGGCGCAGCAGCTCGTCGATGGCGCGGGTGGTGACGTCCACACCGCGGGTCCGGCGGCGGCAGTGACGCTGGCGCTCGGCTTCGGTCACCGCCTGCCGCGCCATCTCGTCAGTGACATTGACTAGGCCTCTAGCACGAAGTTCGTGTCGTTTGGCCCGCACGAGTGCCTTCATGTCAGCTGGGTCGGTCTCGAAGATCGCGTCCGCGAGTCCGCTCACCAGGCGTCCGTACAGCTGGTGCCTTTTGGTCGTGACACCAGCCGCCATCCGAAGCATGAAATGCTCGGCGTCGAGCCGCACTGGCACGCTCTCCCAGCCGGGGAACCAGCGGAGCGCCGGCGCCGCGGGCGTGTTCTCAGAGCCACCACAGCACCCGGTGTCCACATACAGCAGCCGCGGTAGGCCCATTGTCGCGTCCCGGTACCGCATCACAAGACTGCGGCCCATGTCCAGCAGTCCGTCGCCCGCCGCAGGGGTGAGGACGCACATCAGAACTTGGTCGTACTCGTTGGTGACTGTAGTCCAACGCGCGCTCCCCGCTGCCACTCCGGCGAACTTCTGGGTCAGCTAAGGGCAGCACAGACTTTGTTAGTTTCTATACTTTGCAGCTGATGTGTTTCCTAAAACCAACGTTATACCCATTTGTCGCCAGTCACATATATTTAAAAAGAAACAAATGCAACCGTCCGCTGCACCCCACACTGACTCCGACGAGACTCCGCTCGACCACGCCTGAGGCGGCGACTATGACTATCTGGCTGCGCATGATTAACTAACTACTAACTAACTACTACTAACTAACTACTACTAACTTACTAACTAACTAACTACTAACTAAGCACTAACCCGGACTGACGTCGGGTCACCTCTGGCGGCGAATGGAGTAACTACGGTTGCTGTGTGTAGTCGAAATGTGTTGTAATTAATAGGGAAATAGACATTTTGACACATTTGACCTTTACTTCAAGCAAAACATTCGGAAGCCAAACACATTTTAGCTCATGTCCGGTTATTGAAAGATGACGTTGCATAGAAACATCTGTAGTAAAAATGTTATGTAGGTACATTTTTCATTTATAAACCGTTTATACAATACATATTGAACATATAATTGCATTCCCCACTGCAAGGCCCTATATTTTTTCCACATTGCTAGACGTGAAAGTTTACATTATCAAGGTCATTTGAGTTATTCGAGATTTTCGTCGATGAATCCAGATAAAATTGAGCTACCGAACTGCCCCCGCCCCCAACCCATCCAGGCTAACCTGTGGCCGGCCCTAGCATGTTGTGCAGGGCTGGCCCGCCGGCCGCTCGGCTGGGGCGCCGGAAGGGCGGTCTGCGCCCCGGCGCCCCGCTCGGGCGGTCGGTGGTCAGGGGCGCTGCCCCTACGAATGCGTGTGTACTGTGTACTGTTTTATTTTCCATTTTCATATGAAGAAGAAGTAGGGCAGCGCGGGCGGGGGCAGGAGGCCCGTCTGGAGCGCCGGGGAGGTATCCCACAGCTCTCCCCGGCCGGGGAGGTACCCTCCAGCTCTCCCCGGGGCCGGGATGGCACTATGTAGCTTGAGTGTCGTCCCGGTCTGGCCAGACGGGCCCAAAAAATCATCATCATGTGTTTACTTTTAATAACTATCCTGTCTCTGTTGATATGATGAATGTGTGTGTATGTGTCAGATGATGTAAATAAACGTTTAAAAAAAAAAATGAGCTACCGAGGAGGTAGCTGTGGTGGCACCAATGTACTAAAAATGAGCTGCCGGATAGTACCGTATGCAGCAGGAACTCACTCGACCAGCTTCCTGACCTAAGCGACTTTGACATGACCTTAGCCATTGGTAACCTTTCCCATATCATTCAACGTAATATAAGAATACAAATTCAATGAAGGGTAAAAATGTTCCTATTGAACACGCAACTGCATACCATTGGTCAGCTACGATCGATATAATAACTGGTTACGGAAATGAAAGCTTCCTCCTTTCATTTTGAAAAAAAAACAGCAGCAAGGGTACGCACCTTACGGCTGGAGTCCATTTTGAGGACGTCACCGAATACACTGGTGATTGTGGCCAGGTATCGCTGTTGTCTTGCATGGGTTTCACGAAGGTAGACCCGCATCAGCCTCTTGGCGCTGGGTACCACCGGATGGGGAGGTGGCAGCGCGACCGGCCGCCGTCGCTGCGTCTCGCCAGGGGCGGCAGAGTGCTCGTCGCAGTGACTCAGGTAACACAGAGTGCGCGTGAGGTACGCCTGTCCCACTCCGTCACAGATATTCCTCTGTATCTCGGCCGGGTTCCTCCACGGGCCCGTCGAGCGAAACAGGCTGATGATGGCTTTGTCGCACGCGAGGCTGAAAACAGGTCGTACATTGGTATTCAATGGCATAACAGATGAGTGCGCATTTTGGCAGCTAGTTAGGTACTTCAAGTAGACAAATCAGCAATATCTCAATTATCTTGATTTACACTGAAAGGTGAAAATTTAGTTTATAGAAGGTTTATGTGAAATGGATATCGTTAAATTACCAGCACCAGTGTTTTACCCAGCAATTACTAGTGTTTGTGTCCGTACTTCGCTAGGTTTCGCGCCTAGCGAAGTACGTAAAGCATTTTAATTCATCCTTCTGCCTTCTGTTTCGCCGATGACAGCTGTTAGTCCGGGCGCCCAAAAACCCCGGTTTCGCTCCCCTAATTCATCTCAGTACAGTGCCGAAATTCTCTTGGCACACAGCTCTAGAATAGCGAAATATCATATGGGAAAGAGGGATAAAAGCACTGTTGAGTGTTGAATTCATTCTTGTGTTATCCAGATCAGTTCATTTAGCGACGGATGCGACTTACTCGTTTTTCAGCACAGCGGGGAACTGTTGCTGCCTGCCCAAGTCCAGCTGCCGGACGAGCCGGTGGTCCCAGGCGGCGTACACCTTCTGCGGCCGACACTGGGGGCACGTCAGACACTCGGTGGCTATCCAGTAGCCCAGACTCAGGTCGAGCGCCTTCCTCAGCCGGCTGTGCAGGCCGAACCCGTTGAGCAGGGCGCCGCACTGGGGACAGAACAGGCTGGCACCCCACAGCCGGCGGGGCAGCCACAGGAACAGAGGCACGCCATAGTAGCGGTCGGCGTCGGCGGGCGGCTCGCTGGCCACCGCTGGAGGTTCCGGTGGCCGACACCAGAGCTCGGTGAGCCCGTCACGCAGCTCGGCGTGTCTCCGTCCGCCGTGGGTGGTGGTGCGGAACAGTCCGCCGATCCACGACTGCTCCCAGGGAGACAGGTAGCTGTCCCAGCCGGGCGGCAGGGTACAGCTGCTCCGTTCCACGGCAGGACCACGCCGCTCCACAGGTGACATCTATAGACAAATCGCACATTTCATTATCGTAATTGTTCGACTTCTCTTTCAAAATATGATACTACAACATTGCTTGTTTACCTGAGCCCCCTCGCTTGGCCATGGCAGCTCGGACCGGCCGTTAGCTCTGAGTTGGCCCCACGCCCACCTCTAAGAGCCTCACGTCAGTGTGCGAGGGTCCTGCGTAGGTTTCAAACTTTCAAAGGGTCCCAGATCCCTAACCGCTGAGACGGCTGGGCCGATCTCCGAGGTATTACAATGGTCTCTGAATGTCACACATGGCTCTTTGTCAAACAAGCATGATTGCCTTCTGCGTTTCTCTGTCACGGAGCGTCGCTACAACAGTCAAGGACTAACAACCAAGGTCGTTACGGTTTAAAAAGTGCAGCGTGTAAAGTAGGTAATTCAACGCTCGATGATCTGATTTGAGGTGACCGGCGTTGGCCTCAGCCGCCCTTAAATATTTCGTGCCAAAGAGGAGCAAGGCCGTTTGATCAGGTCGAGCTCCAGCCTCCAGATGACGTCTCGTTGATCTAAGATGGTATGACTTTCCTATTCGCCAGCGCCGATCAGCGCGGTGCTATATACGCCCTTGGGTGCTATGAGGGCAACCCATGCTGGAACCTCAAGGCTGAAATACAGCTGTAAAGCGTGCAACTTGCGTCTCAGCACGAGCGCCTCACATTAGAATGCACAGCATATTTTAGGGCACTTGCAGACGCATTTGAACGCTTGAAGGCTGTGGCCCATGCTCAAGAGGTTTATAATAGCTTAGGCCTGGGTGAGTCTCGCATCGGTCAGGATATGCGACAATGGTGTACCTTGTATAATGTATAGGCCAGCTGATCCACAGATAAATTGCACACGGAAAGAGACCAATGTTTACCTTGATATCGGGTACGACGTTCAGGGGTCCTGAAGCAGGAGATTCTCCGTCCCACTCATGGCAGCTCACGTCACAAACTGCCGGAAAACAAGACAGGTCAGGGTAGTTGACCCTCTGTTGCTCTCTCTCTATATAGGTTGGACGGCTAGGAGTGCCGCCGAATAGTCTCGGCCAAGGGCGCATAAAGGGGGGGGGGGCACATGGGCCAGCCCCATTCGCATTGGGGGCCCAACTTTAAACAGCCTTCTTCTTGTGTGGTCGGTTCCATCCAGTGGATGCAATGCTTAGCCTTTTATCAGTTAAACGCTTAAACAATACGTCACAGGCGCCAGCACAACCGAAGACCGTCTAAAAATGAGCTGAAATGATTATTGAAAACCAGGTATTGAAAAGGCCGGGAAGCCCGATCTCGGGCCCAGCTCGGGCGACTTTTACGGCTGGGGCCTGGGGCTCTCTGGCATGGGGGCGTCTGCAGGTCGTGCTCCTCCCATTAAAAAATCCCGAGCACGTGCCGGGACTAGCGCACACAGCCACATTGTGGCTCTGATGTGTACCCTAACATAAGGGTTCTTCGTTGAATGCGGCTCCGGATAAAAAATCGGCTCCGGCTCCGGCTCCGGGTGAAATGTCATGGCAGCTCCGGCATCGGCTCCGGCTCCGAGTAAAATGGTCCGGCTCCGGCTCCGGCTTCAGTACTCAGTACATCCCCTATGCAACTAAATACGGGTGGCAGAAAAAAGACAATAGGATTGGTACACGTTGATTCTGTATTTGCATAACAAGGCTATTTTTGTTTTTAGGGCCTTGGCTACTTTCATATTTTGAATACCACATGTCTTACTGCCTTGTACTGTCAAGGCGAACTAGGTCAAGACATTTTTCCTCTTCAAAAAAAAAGGAGCCGGAGCCGCCCCTTTTTTGACGGCTCCGGCTCCGGGCAAAATATGCCGGCTCCGGTGGCTCCGGCTCCGCACCCCTGGTCATAATTATGGCAAAAATACTACTTCAGGACTATGATTGTCTGTCAAATTAGATAAGTTTCCTTCTGCTAATTATGCTACAAAAAGTATGACACCTTTTTCACGAAACGTAAAATTGGGAGTCTCGCAACCACCTAAAACAAAGTGGTTAACTGCCTATACCTGCACTTCTGTTGACGTCACGCTGCCAAAAGCCAGTCAGCTGTCATCCTGGACCTTTCCATACTTCTGATATCGGGGTGGGGGGTGTTCCCCCATTTTCCCCTGAGTCAATGGGAGATAATTGAAAGGCGCCTCTTTTAGACGAATGCCATTATAAACACTTCCAAACACTGAATTACAAGTAACTAAGACACACTGAACATGAAACTGGTATCCGTGACCCCCCCCCCCGTTTATGCCCCTGAGGTCATCTCAGGTCACGAATGGTATCTAACAGTTTTTCGCAAATAACTTTTGATAGAGGCATGCTAGAGCGATGAAAACGCCTTAGATGTGTTCAGCTTGACGATACGGAATACGGATCGACTGATACGCAACATGACCCTTTCCGGTCAGGTCGTGACGTTGACCTGAGGTCAAATTTTCAAGTTGACCTTTCAAGGTCAAATTATACTTCATTCAATGCGTCTCGACGAGAGGAACACGATGCCGGTAAAAGTAAGCTCGTGCAAGGCTTGAGTCAATTACAGTTATTGCAGGGGAAAAAATCCAAAAAAAAAATCGGCCATTTTGGCAGTTTTTGCCCCCTGCAGGCAAAACCGCTGACACTAGACAAAATCTGATGGATTCACTCCTAAAAGGGCGTTAATAGGAGCCCTAATCGGCGGTCGGTTCGCGCGCCAGCCCGCGCTCACACACGTGCAACGTGCTACCCCGGCAACGGGCTATTGACCAATGAGAAGCGAGAAAAGTGTTACGGCACTGCAATTTTTCATATACCTCTGGCCTTGCTCAAAACAGCCCCAGGTCCGGCGCGGGTTAAGGCCCACAAATAGAGCGCCCTTCAAAGAGTATCAAATAGCCCCAAAACATGAGCAGTACACTGACCTGACTCTGAGGATGACGGACCGGCAGTAGGAGCTGCTTTAGACTCCCCAGACGTCTCCGAGTGGACAGTCAGCTCCTGGGCCGAGTCGCCTCCGTCGTATACCATCAGCTGTGAGCCTTCCGGAATAGGGTCCAATGTCCTGCAAGTCGAAAAAGACGGAGCCATGTATGTAGGCAAAAAATCTGAAAGTAGTAGCATGAACTTTAAAACCTCGTACGGGAAAGCTCTAGTCATAAACTTTGGTAGGTTTGTGCAATTAATCCTATAACAAAGCCAGCGGAGCGAGTTAAGTCTAACGTAGAAGAGCAGACATTTCTGAGTATGAGCGGCCGTGGTCACGCTTATGCCAGGCTCATACCTCAGCAGCCACTGGACCGATTCGCTGAAAGTAATGTTGTAGAGCAGCTCCATCCCTTCAACCAAGCATTGAACTACTCTCATTAACATTGATTAGGTTTCATCCATAATCCGTTGAGCAGATTATCGAATAGTCCTAGTTAACCTCACCTGTACCGGTCCACCTCAGTGAAGCCGACGAAGTCCTCAGACGGTGACGGCGACCGGTACCGGAATTTTTCCTCCTCCTCTGGGGACTGTTCAGCGTCGTGCGACAGGGGATCGTCGTCCCACAACGGAGAAGACGACCGCTCAACCTACAACGAACCAAAATAAAACGCACTCTTTTGAGATATGTTTTACTTCTTCCTCCATAAATGAGCTAAAAGGACACAGGTACCCATATTTACATCAGTTCCATTTCCATTGTCTCACTTTCTTAGCCCTCGCCGGCACAGGCCATTTTGCGTCCTTTGACGGCACAAGGGGGAGGGTTGGTATGACCCCCCCCCCCGCGTTTGGCATCTGATCGAGCTAGAGCTTCGCGGAAAAAGAAGCGTGTTGCCCGTCACGAGAGGAAGCCGATGATACCCAATTTCAAGGTCATAAGTTATCGGTTGACCTTCCAGGTCAGGTCAATGACCCAAAAGTCGGGAAAATCGGGACCTGTTAGAATGTCGTAGAGTGTGGCTGCTGTGGGGTTATTCGGAGTGCTGATCACGAATATCGTGCTAGTTTTGATCACAGATGTTGTCTTTAAGCATTTAGGCCCGGTCGGGTCAGGTCAGGTCAGGTCAACCGGTAGGGGTCGTGACGGGTATTCGTAGTACGTGTCAACCGCCTCTGACAGCTTCGTAACATGTTACGTCGACACCAAAACTACTTCGTAAATGTTCGATGGTTCTAAATTCGAATTCAGCTCCAAAAACTAGCCTAGAAACATGTAAAAATCGAAAAAGTGGACCGAGGTCACCAAAGGTCAATGACCTGACCTGACCTCCGGGTGACCTTGACATCCACCCTTAAGCATGGAAGCAACATCAAATCACATGTTTGAACGTTTGAAACCACGAAAAACTTGCAAACGCGCGGCCAATGCGAGCCAACATACGCCGAATCGCGATTCCGGCCAAACATGGTCTCGGAAAGTAGGTCACAGTTTAAAGGTCATTTGGGTCAGGGTCATGACATTTTCAGGGTAGGTGTAAAATTGATCAATACGAGGGTACTATAAGTTTCGTTGCGATCGGTCGCTTTTCACGCGAGTTATTCGCGAAAAACCTTGGGGGGTTGCATCAACCCTTCCCCGTGCCGGAAAGGGTTAAACCTCGCATGTGTACCTAGGGGGGGGGGGGTCAAATGGACTCCCCCCATGGTTTTTCGCGAATAACTCGCGCAAAAAGCGGCCGATCGCGACGAAACTTTTGGTAACAATTTGGTAACAAATTTAGAAACAATTTGAACATTTACGAAGTAGTTTTGGTGCCTTCGTAACATGTTACGAAGCTGTCAGAGGCGGCTGACACGTACCACGAATACTAGTCACGACCCCTACTGGTTGACCTGACCTGACCTGACCCGACCTGGTCTAAATGCTTAAAGACATCATCTGTGATCAGAACTAACAGGATATTCGTGATCAGCACCCCAAAAAAACCGTAGCAGCCACACTTTACGACTTTTAACAGGTCCCGATTTTCCCGACTCTTGGGTCATTGACCTGACCTGGAAGGTCAGCCAATGACCTACTACCTAGGACCTTAAAATTGGGTATCATTGGCTTCCTGTCGTCACGGGCAGCACGTTCATTTTCTCCGCGAAGCTTTAGCTCGATCAGGTGCCAAGCGGCAAGGGGGGGGGGGGGGTCCAACCAAGAGGGGCAAACACCGCACACATGCGAGGGTTAAGACACCTGACGGATGGGCCTCTCAACCAAGGGTCGTATTCGGCCACACAAGCTTATCTCGAAAAGTAAGAAAGTTACGATGACGCAGAGAAAATCAATTGATAGCCCACATAAGACCTTTTAGAATCATACAGGCCATTTCTCGATCAGGTCATTGCTGAGGTCACCGGACATCACAAAAGTAATGTTATCACGAATTTTGGTTCACGATTTTGACAACTTTTCACAAATCGGTGCTTAAGTCGAGTCCCCTATCGGGAACCAAACGAGCTACAGCGCCGCAGAATCACGCATTTCATAGCTCTTTCAAAAGTCTTCCCGATTATTATTATCAGATTTGACCTAATGTCAACAATTTAGCGTACGGCAAAACATCCGAAAATTTGTCGTTTTTACCGAAAGCGTTTTCTATAATAACTTTTGACAACAAGCTTGCAATGTGTTGACTTTACCGACAACGCGTTTCCCTCGCCAACGAGCGCACAATGAACAATAAGTTGACTTTTTCAGTCTACTAACTTAAAAATTTCCCTCATGTCAAGGCCACAGAAACAGTCACATTTCATATCAGTATATAAGTATCACTGAGCTGAACGCATTCATGGTGTTTTCAGCGCTTTAGCATGCTAAATCAAGTTATTGTAAAAAAAAAAAAATGTAGAGGACTATCATTAATTTACAGTTTACACACTAGACTTACCTTTGGTGAAGAGACTTCCATTTTGATCTCTTCCTTCACATTCAGCTGTAAGTCGCTCTCTGAGCGAGCGTCCAGGGCGATGGGATCGCTCTCCCTCTCCGGCGGCCATTCCTCGTTAAGGAGCCCTTCATGATGACACTTTGGTTCAGCAAGTGGCTCCACTGGTTGTGTCGATGGATTTGACATGACTGGCCGTGGTTTACCGTCTGATGGAATATGGTCCTGTCGGTTGATGGTTCATCAGGTTCAGTTACAATAACCCGCTACCTGGTGGGGTCTGTTTGTAACGCGACTGGTGGTGGTGGTGGGGGGGGGGGAGGGGTATTCCCTCCATCGTATCTCCGAAACTACTGGAAGGATCCGGCAAATTCAAACGGCATTCGAAAGCCCTGTCAAGTTTGTCGAAGGAAATCCAATTTCATTGACCTCGAGGTCACCGATGACGTCACAGGTCAGGTCAAAGACAAAATGTTTCACCGTTCACGGCCCACGGGTCTTCTGGGGAATGCACTATAACACCGAGTAAACGCATTTTATCGAAAATCAGCGATAGGGCGTCAGTTGCCTAGCACACATGTTGCTATTAGAGGTCACTGATAATACCACGTCAGGTAACAAGTCAGGTCACCTCACCATGGCAAGGGTCAGCACATGAAACCAATTTTACTAGGGCTGTGTGATGCATGTTTTATGGCCAATTTTTCATTTCAAACTCAATGGTGTTGGTTATAGGAACATCAGAAACAGTTAAAGTCACTTCCTGGTGGAGGTCAGGTCAATGTCAGGTCAAAAAATGTCAAATTTCAAAGTTGATATTTTTGCACAACATGGGTAAAGATTCGATGCAGCTCGTCACGGCGAGTCTAATGGTGGTCTTTGTTTGGCGCTACGTGGTCTATAATTGCTAAAAGTTGATTTTGAGATTTTTACGTCATCAATTTTGAAGTTTTTTTTTCGCTATAACTTGGCCCAAAAAAAAAGAATTATCAATCCAAAATCCAAAAGTGCCCTGGCAGCCCTGTGGTGTTCCTGGTGGGCCTGTGGTGCCCCTGCTAGGCCGCAGGTGCTCCTGGCAGGTTTGTGGTGCCCCTGGAAGGACTGTGGTGCTCCTTACGAGCCTGAAGTGCCAGCGACAGGCCCATGGTGCCTTTGTGAGGCCGGTGGTGCCCCTGCTAGGCCGCTGGTGCCCCTGGGCCCTGACAGGACTGTGGTGCTCCTGACAAGCCTTATGTGTCCCCGACAGGCACGTGATGCCCCCGACAGTCCCAAGGTGCCCCTGCGAGGCCAGTGGGTGCCCCTAGCAAGCCTGTGGTGCCCCTGGCAGGTCTGTGGTGCCCCTGGCAGACCTGTGGTGCACCTGCTAGGCTTCTGGTGCCCCTGACAGGCCTGTGGTGCTCCTGAAAGGACTGTGGTACTGGTGCCCCTGGGCCCTGACAAGCCTGAGGTGCCCCTGACAGGTCCATGGTGCCCTTGACAGGCCCAAGGTGCCCCTGCGAGGCCGGTGGTGCCCCTGGAAGGCCTTTGGTGCCCCTGGAAGACCTGTGGTGCCCCTGACAGGTCTGTGGTGCCCCTGGCAGACCAGTGGTGCTCCTGACAGGCCGGTGGTGCCCCTGTCAGGTCTGTGGTGTCCCTGATAGGTCGGTGGTGCCCCTGGTAGGCCTGTGGTGCCCCCGGGCCCCAAGGGGGCATGACCCATGTGACCCCACCTTGGATCCGCCACTGGTTGGCACCCATACTAATTCCAGAAGCATCCAAAAACACTTTTTATTACGAGCGAGCGTGTAAAGTGAGAAGTGAAAAAGTCAGCAAAAGGTGTGTGGGGGGGGGGGGCAGTTACATTGCTGGCCCCCATTCGAGAGTGGGGACCATTGCCCCCTGCCCCCTATTCCTACGCCTATGCCAGTAACCGATCAACTAATGCAAGGCCGCCTAACATAAATTGGTAGTTTACGCCGTTTACGCATTCTGCGGCGCCAGTAGTATTGCCTCTCTTTGCAGCGCGCATTGCTTCTGACAAAGTTACATTTCATTAGGTGGAGGAAAATTGCACTCAATAACGATGAAGCACAAATCGGTAGGCGGATCTATGGTCAAGCGTACCCATTTTCGGGAACGCATTTTCGTTCCCATGTTTGGGAACGATAAACCCAAATATGGGAACGCCATGTAGGAATTATTTAAAACAAGAAAAAGAACCGTTAAATGACGTCCAAAAAATATAAAACGATCGTGAACCGCCTGATAATTGCCTCAATATTGTTGGGAAAGAGTTTGATATTGTAAGGCCCATCGTAGTTTCAAATCGTTCCCCTATTTCTAAAGCAGTCCATCATCCGGGCCGCGAGCCCAAATTTGGGAACGCTCTCGTACACTGGCGCTGCAAGCGTTCCTTATTATGGAAACGGCGTACCAAAAATTGGGAACGATTTCACCGACGCCTTTCAGGGGCTCTTTTCATTAACAAGCATCACGTCCAACGCCGCAAATTATTGTTAACGTAACAATCATCAGATGACCTTTCCGGCAAGACCGTCGCATGTTTCGCCCGGTCTTCTGCGCTTTTATTCCCGTCGATCTCGCAGCGGGACGCCCCCCTCTGCAGGATTACGTAATTCACAACGCTCAGCGATGTTCAACAAGGTCTTCCATACCTATATCCACCGTCCGCGCCGAGGGTGGAGACATGTCAAGCACCTGTCTGTTTATCACCGATAGTTGACGAGCACAAGGAAGTATCCAAAAATGGGAACGCTGAATATGTTACACCCTTAACCCGCGCACCAACGGGGGGGCGGATATCCGCCCCCCCCCCTGAGGTTTTTCGCGAATAGCGGGAAAACCGCGGCGCGTAGCGCCGCGAAATTTGGTATGACTATAACCTCATCAATTTTACACATGGTGTGCAAGTTTGAACTTCCTACCTTTTAAGGTCAGGTCACCAGGTCACTTTGAATGACCCAACCTCAAGTCACTTTTTTGCAACTTTGTCACCGTGCCACAGCTACAGTAGATGTCGGAGGCCTTTGAAAGTCGCAGGATATTATTAGGTCATTAGTAGCTACAATTTGTATATCTCGGAATTTTGATATCGGTGACCTAATGTCAGGTCAATTTCGCGACCTCACCATTATAAGTCAATAAGGGAAAAATCAACTCCCTGTTTTTACCACTAAAACGGGTCGGAATGGCCCCATATACTTTACATGACTTCATATACGATCAACCTTCACTACCTTGAGGTCTGTTTTGCTGTTGGGCAGCTGTGAGGTCATGTGACGTCATCAAAGGTCACCAAAGGTTTTTGGCCAATAACTCCGTACAGGAACAGGATACAGACGCGTGGATGGTCTCATTGTGTTCAGCTCGTCAAGACGCATCGAATGATATACATGATGACCTCGAGGTCACGTGACCTGAGGTCAACCTTTGACCTTGACCTTTCGAGGTCAACATATATATCATTCGATGCGGATTGACGAGAGGATCACGATGATGCCCTTAGTTTGTTCCTATCTTGACTAATTCGAAAGTTATTCGAGAAAAACTCTCTCCATATCTAGTGCCGCCATTTTGACTTTTTCGACCCCTGTGACGTCATCTTTGACCTGACCTGAAAATGACCTTAGTAAAACTTGTAGATCTTGACCGTATGTATCCGATGCCGTTTACCGCTTGTCGCTATCTTGCTTCGTTCTCGAGATCTCAGGGGGGGGGGGCGGTCATCCGCCCCCCGTCGGTGCGAAGTTGGCGCAGACCCCCGTCAGTGCGCGGGTTAAAACACCTAGTCCCATGGAAAATCTAGTTTTTTCCTTTCTTAATGAGTGTAAGTGGCAAAAGGCCTGGTAGGATGGGCACGAGGAATGATCGAAATCAGCATAAAAATTATAAATAAGCCACACAGAGTGACCTATATAAGAGAAATAATGAGTTTTAATGGGCGAACGGCCGAAAAGTTACCTTCCGTTCTCATAAATGGGAACGCCCGTTCCCATATTTGGGAACTCCGTTCCCCAAAATGGGAACGTTCCTATATTTGGGTACTCATGACCATAGTTCCACCTAATGAAATGGAAATCTTCATGGAAGAGCAGGTCGGAGAACCGTCAAGTTTGTTCTTCAGGGTGATACCTACAAATACATTAAAAAGTTCGGCAAAAGGTGGGGGGGCCAGTTAACATTACTGCCCCCCCCACTATGAAAAGTGGGGGGGCCACCGCCCCCCCCGTCCCCCCTGTTCCTACACCTATGGTTCTGGCACATTCAATGGTAAATTTTTTGTTTGGGTTTGACCATTCCACGGTGACTATAAAGACCATTCCACCTTCATATTAGTGGCTAGAGTTCTATCACCATTATTGTTATACCACGCGTATTTGTGTTTCACGTATTTCACAACGAAATGACACTACCTGCGAGTTGCGACAAGTACCCACGGTATACCCTCTTATACGGCCTTGGGTAAACCTCGCTGGCTCAGGCTGCTACCTACCGAGACGCGCCATTTCGATGTTTGTTTACGCGCCATGTGTGCGAAGTGCGGTAGAATTGTAACGTAACAAAACACTCTAGAGTTCCATAAATTATAAAGAATAAAAAGATTGAAAATAAAATATGGCCTGATAAAAACTAAAACAACCTTACCTTACCTGACCGGTTTACATAGCCTTGAACCGACCTAACCCTGACTCAGGTACTAATGTTACCCAATTTTGGGTATCGGTAACCCTGGCGTCGCCGGTAGCATGTTTTTTAATCCCACCCAGAAATGACAAACAAGCCCCTGATTGGCCCTTGGATTGGCCAGTTGCCGGCCAGTTGGACTTGAGCGGTCGCCATGGTGGTATCGGGGACTCGGCATGCATCGTTAGGAGTTGAATTATGTGTTTCGTTGTGCTAGATATTGCCAATTTGCTTTGATATTTGATAAATAACGTTGGCTTTTTCTTTGGTGACCTTGCATAGTAATACGACGATATTTTGGCGCCGATTATTATGCATTAAACATCTTGAGACAACTGGCGATTTCCACGCCATTTTGCAGTGCCCCCCTGAGCCCCTTCCCTTGTGTAGTGAGTTAACAGGCTTGTAAGAACCAAGTGAACCATTTTTTAGTGGTCATGATCGTCCCTACATCTAATGGATAGGTCATAGGTAATTAAGTCTTGCGCAAACTTATTAGGTACTGGAGGAAGCAGAAAAGTTACAATTTTGGAGTATGCAAACTTGATATGAAAAAATCTCGGGTATTTTGGCTATTTAAAGGGACCCTCCCACCTTAACATTAGTTTTGAGTTGAGATAGCCAAATTGGTGGCCATGGCCTGCAAATACCGGTTTGGGCACTCACAACATCGACAAATGCTTTAATTCGGAGATATGGAATTTCAAACTTGCAGTTTTCGGATTCTAAGGGGCTAGTGCATTGGTATGCCCCCTTAGAATTTGTGACGTCAGCGGAGATCTAACGATTTTTAAATCTTTTACTAAAACGTTTGGTAGCACGCGGTGGTATATGCTGCTTTGCGCGCAACAAATGCCGCACTTTCAAATAAAGTCGCTAGGAACAGCGGAGATCCCAAAAAGTAAACAAAAGTAAAAGTCTAATATCTTGAAAACCGGTGAATATTTTTCGATGAAATTTGGTAGATATTCGTTTTCGCTCTTTCTGAACCGAGCGACATCACTTTCGTGCCAATTCATTAACTTTTTTGAAGGTGGGAGGGTCCCTTTAAAGGGACCCTTAAAGGGTCCCTTAAAGGGTCCCGCGGTGGTATATGCTGCTTTGCGCGCAACAAATGCCGCACTTTCAAATAAAGTCGCTAGGAACAGCGGAGATCCCAAAAAGTAAACAAAAGTAAAAGTCTAATATCTTGAAAACCGGTGAATATTTTTCGATGAAATTTGGTAGATATTCGTTTTCGCTCTTTCTGAACCGAGCGACATCACTTTCGTGCCAATTCATTAACTTTTTTGAAGGTGGGAGGGTCCCTTTAAAGGGACCCTTAAAGGGTCCCTTTAAAGGGACCCTCCCACCTTCAAAAAAGTTAATGAATTGGCACGAAAGTGATGTCGCTCGGTTCAGAAAGAGCGAAAACGAATATCTACCAAATTTCATCGAAAAATATTCACCGGTTTTCAAGATATTAGACTTTTACTTTTGTTTACTTTTTGGGATCTCCGCTGTTCCTAGCGACTTTATTTGAAAGTGCGGCATTTGTTGCGCGCAAAGCAGCATATACCACCGCGTGCTACCAAACGTTTTAGTAAAAGATTTAAAAATCGTTAGATCTCCGCTGACGTCACAAATTCTAAGGGGGCATACCAATGCACTAGCCCCTTAGAATCCGAAAACTGCAAGTTTGAAATTCCATATCTCCGAATTAAAGCATTTGTCGATGTTGTGAGTGCCCAAACCGGTATTTGCTATAAGTAAAGTAATCTTGGGTATTTGCAGGCCATGGCCACCAATTTGGCTATCTCAACTCAAAACTAATGTTAAGGTGGGAGTGTCCCTTTAAAGTGAGACGAAAAGTTAAATTTATCATTTTTATTGCAATTGCAATAATGATAATATCATAATAATTGTACTGTCAGGTATTGATAATAGTCATGTCACGTCTTGCCACTAACCACGACACAACACATTTTCATCTACCTATATGTATCTAGGCATAAGGTATTACAGGCATGTTTTTGCACACCTGTCATGTATGAGTGGGCATGGGCTCCTTCACAGTTAAATTTTACTGTGAATAAAATACTCTGAATAAAATATCCGCTTTACAGTGGACAGCTTGAGCTGCTTCTGTGACACGCATTAATCTTGCGTTCATTGAAACACTTAGTTTTGAGTGTTTTGGCTCAGTTTTGTTGTAACGTTACCATTGTTTATGTTTTCAATAACTTGTTTTGGGCTTCTCATATTTATCACAGTGTATATAAATATTTATCTTTTATCTTATATACCTACCTATAAATTTATCTGAAACCAATTTAGGTCTGATGATTCAGGTCAAACCGATGGGTCTGTCTGAGTCGGTCTCAATTGGTTTGAGTCGGTTGAGTCGGTTTGAGTCTGCCTGAGTCTGTCTGAGTCGATCGGAACCGATTTGAGTCGGTTGATTCGGTCTGAGTCAGTTTGAGTTGTTCTGAGTCTAGCTGAGTCAGTCTGAGTCGATCTGAATCGGTTTGAGTCGGTCGAGTCAGTTGGAGTCTGCCTGAGTCGTTCTGAATCGGTCTGGGTAGATCGGAATCGATTTGAGTCGGTTGAGTCGGTCTGAGTCAGTCTGAGTCGATCTGAATCGGTCTGAGTCTGCCTGAGTCGGTTTGAGTTTGCCTGAGTCTCTCTGAGTCGTTCTGAGTTTGTCTGAGTCGATCGGAATCGATTTGAGTCGGTTGAGTCGGTCTGAGTTAGTTTGACTCGGTCTGAGTCGATCTGAATCGGTTTGAGTCGGTCGAGTGAGCTTGAGTCTGCCTGAGTCGGTTTGAGTCTGCCTGAGTCGTTCTGAGTCTGTCCGAGTCGATCAGAATAGAGTTGGTGAGTCGGTCTGAGTCAGTTTGACTGATGATAGACCATTTCATCTATCAAATTGTATTGCAAGCCATGTTTGTTTCACCAGGTATCCTAGTAAACACTGTTGTGTCACAAATCAGCAGGATTGCCGTCTTGATCCGTTTCCGTAGCACAACGTGGGTCCGTATGTGTATGATATTGATAGCACGTGACAGGTGAAGAAATCGTGCCGCGCAGGTGGGGCAGCCGTGCGGCCCACCTGCGTTCGCTGGTACGGAACTTCGCCGAGCTTTCAACGGTATACTCGTACCGTACCACCGTGCCACCTTTTTGGCGGTGTGAGAACGTCAGTGTATCAGCGTCTGACCCATCAGCGTGCATGACATCGGTTGTGTCGGGCCAGGGCTGATTGCTGGGAAAACGCTTTGTCACATTTGTCACAGCGGTAGGGCCGCTCTCCCGTGTGTGTACGGCGGTGGTTGACCAGATTACGTTTATCGGAAAACGACTTCAAACATATAGCACAGCGGTACGGCCGCTCTGCCGTGTGTGAGAGGCGGTGGACTGTTAGACTCCATTGTACGGCAAACGTTTTGTCACATATATCACAGCGGTACGGCCGCTCTCCCGTGTGTATACGGCGGTGTTTAGTCAGACTATCTTGCACAGGAAACGTTTTGTCACATATATCACAGCGGTACGGCCGCTCTCCCGTGTGTATACGGCGGTGTTTGGTCAGACTATCTTGCACAGGAAACGTTTTGTCACATATATCACAGCGGTACGGCCGCTCTCCCGTGTGTATACGGCGGTGTTTGGTCTGACTATCTTGCACAGGAAACGTTTTGTCACATATATCACAGCGGTACGGCCGCTCTCCCGTGTGTATACGGCGATGGTTTGCCATATGGTCGGATTTCCTCGTAGAGTACTGACACCATTCACACTTGAATTTGTCGTTCCTGCCGATGTGACCGTGTTTATCCTTGACGTGCATGTTCAGACGATCTTGTCCCAGACAGCTGAAGTCGCAGTGACGACAACTGACCGTTGGCAGTCCGCCTGGAAAATATGACGACAATGTTTGAAGACAGCAAAAGCGTGAAGGTATAGGTAAAGTTGACCGTGCTGCTCTCCCGTGTGCCACTTAAAGCCACAAGTCTCTAAGACTCTGCCGACACAAGACTCTGCCGTGCAAGTCAGTTGGGACCCATTTTGCACGTGCGCACGTGCAGGGTGTCCCTTCCAGATCTCTAGAACGGCTATGCCGATTGCGCTCAAATTTGGCACATCACTAGGGACCGGTTAGTAGGTAGGGTGCAGTGCACAAGTTTGTTGGAGGTACCCCTCGCAATTTCGCACGTGCAAGGCCCACCATCTCGCTCACTCTGTTGGTCGCCCCAAAAGGCATTTTACTGGTAGGTACCTAGAATAATGGAACATTCTTTACAGTTGACGGAGCGAGCAAGGCGAGCGTTGTCTTCCGTTACGGAGCGAAGGAAGCGAGCGTAGTCTTTCGTATATTAACAGAAATTTCTGAGTATGAGCGGCCGTAGTCAGTGTCACGCTTTTGCGAGAATTATATCTCAGCACCCACTTAACCGATTTACATGCCGGTAATTTTTGTATGGTAGCTCCATTCCTTCTACCAAGTATTGGACTATTCCCGATGCGTGTGGGTGACCCCAGTCGTGCCACGTGCAAAACGAAGAGGTGCCAGTTTTGTAACAGTTGCAATATCTCGGTAACTACTGGGCCGATTACTCTGAAAGTTGGCTTGTAGTTACCGGGCTTCTCAAAAAAGTTAGACGGATTTCTTTTGCTTGCGAATAGAGGACCCCTAACAACATTTAAGCAAAATCAATGCACGTGGAAAAACGGAGAATTTTTCGTAGATTTATATGACACCACGGTTTCAGCTTAAAAAATGAAGCCGTGGTCTTAGGAA